TAACCACAATATCTCTGATTAAGCGCTTTTATAACTTGTACAATAAAAGGTTGTACACATCTGAGAAACTCATCCGAATTAGGCTATGCGATGAATAGCCAATAATGATGTGTATTAAAACAAACAAACATCAGAATTAGATAACGTGTTGACATATTGAGATCAATGGTAGGAACAGGTAGCTTAGATGTTCAAACAGGCCGCTACAAACATTTGTTATAACTCATTCATTACTAATATGACTCTAGCAAAATAACATTCACTTGGATACTTTAGTTATGTATTCAGGAGAGTAGATTGTTTAAAAATCTCTTAGTTGGTATTTCGTTAAAGTTCACTGTGACATAGACATTCGATGAGGATTGCGTATCATCATGTATGTGGATGTGTGTATATCTGTTGTCTATTGTCTGGTTATCAATATGAAAGATATTGAATATCACAAATAGATAGAAGTTAGAGATGCTCATTAAAAATTAAGGACATTGGAACATGTTTCGTCTTAGTATTGAGCTGCTAAACAGTTTTGAGCATCCAAACCAGTTACTTGAAAAAAGGTTCATCAGAATATTTTATTCTTAAACGATGTTATAATCTAACTTTTGAAACTATATTTTAACTTACTTACTTACTTATGCCTACTACTCCTCGTGGAGGAGAATAGGCCGCCAACCAGCACTCTCCATTCAATCCTATCCTAAGCAATCCTTTCCAACTCTTTCCAGTTGTTATTCATCCTTTTCATATCTGATTCTATATACCGATGTAATGTGTTCTTTCGCCTTCCTATTTTCCGATTCCCTTCAGGATTCCATGTTGAGGCTTGCCTCATGGTGTAGTTTGATGATTTGCGTAATGTATGTCCTATCCATTTCCATCGTCTTTTCCTAATTTACTCTTCAATGGTATCCGGTTAATGGATGTTGAATATCTTGCATAAACAACTATTTCTAAATACTTGTACCTTCTTGATGATATTTGTAGTAGTTCTCGAAGTTTCATATCCGTACAGTAGAACCGTCTTGATATTCGTATTGAAGATTGTGACTTTAATATTAATTAACAGTTGTCTTGAGTTCCATATATTCTTCGATTGATTTGCCAATCTTCGCCTTTGATATCTGTATCTGATCCTTCTTATTTATCAATGATGTTTTTAAGCTATGTTAGTATTCTCAATCTATTAAAATCGTTTACATTCGATATGAAACCTGAAAGTTAGGTGTATAAAACTGAAGCTAAATCTTTTTGTAAGCAATGATGGATAGTGGCTAGGAGTGGAATTCAGGACAAGCGTTTCATCTTATTCGAGACTCGTCAACTGAATGTACCTGTATCTCAGAGTGGATATTCACTCTGGGAATCGAACCCAGTACCATTCGCTTCAGATACCATTGCAGTCTTAAACCTCAATGGGAAGATACAAGCCAAACAATACCAAGTGAAGTCAAATCTGTTTGTTTATCCACTAAGAAAGGATAATAAATAATTCCTTGTAAGATTTCCTCCTTTTTTTCATTTCTCCTCATTTGTTTATATAAATGAATAGGTTTATAGGTTCAAGTATATACTTGGTTAAGTTCAAGCTGGGATTATATAAGAATAAAAATTAATCATGATACTTATGATTTAATAAGTCCCTTTAAGAAGAATATAACTTGCTATCTCCGTAAGTAACTATAATAGAGATAATATAAACAATTGATCAGTTCGTTATTTCAACGTTTTATGGATGTACAAAGTGATGAAATATGTATTGAAGTATTACATTTCAGGTAAGGGAGTCGATGTAGTTGTATAATTTTGAGTAACTGGATTATTTATAGTATTTAATAAGTAACTAACTAACTTGAAATGAAGTAGAAGACTTTGGGTTTGAATCTTATGAGGTGAGATCATAGATGTGCACTACTGAGGAGACTTACAATAGGATGAAATGGACGTCTAGGGATTCCAGGTTTTCAATGGTAGTCTAGCACCACGCGGTTCATGATCACAATAAAAATATTCTGTTTTTCAACAGTTCAGATCATGAGTTAATTGAAGCTAGACCACCATGGAAAACCTGGAAACAATGGACGGCTATTTCGTCCTACTGTGGGACTCCTCAGTGACAGTGCGCATCCACGACCCCGCCTCCGGCGGAATTCGAACCCAGGACCTATCAGTCTCACGCCAGGCGCTTAACCAACTGTTTTTAGACATAATTCTCAGTTGAATGTATATGCAAGTTTACAATGATGTATGTATCGCTATTTCATAGAGATGAACTATTTGAAGCTTTCCTAAGTAATTTAATTGGGTGAGGATTTGTAAGAATACGATTTTCTATATTTACTTAACTAATATTTGAAGTTTTGGACATTGTTCCCTTTATATCATTATGCATGGTCAGTGAATAGTAAAGTTCGTAATGCTTAGAAAATTTCACTTAATTCAAGATACTACTTATATTTTGTAGTGGAATAAACTTAACAATCTCCACAACCCGTAAACTGATAATTACCATGTGCTCACTAGTGACTAGCTTCGTGACGGAATTTTCGGAGTTCTGGTAAGAAGCCGTGACCAGTGGAGCTAATCCGTGTCGGGTAGAAACAGGTGTATACCTCAGTACAATGGAAGATGGTCGCGCAACTTCGTGGATTGGTTGAAGTTAGACATTAACACCATACATTGGATGCCGGCTGGCTCAGCGGTCCAGTAGGTTAAGCGTCCACGCGCGAGACTGAAGGCCCTGTGTTCGAATCCCACGAGGCGGGGTCGTGGATGAGCACTGCCATTGAGGAGTCCCACAATAGGACGAAACGACCGTCCAGTGCTTCCAGGTTTTCAATAGTGGTTTAACATCAATCGGTTCATGATCCCAATAAAAAAATAATAAATTAGTTATTCTACCAATCAGAGATTGCATGACATTCATCAGTTACATAACGTTGTAATATGAATAATTAACCATTAAAACCCTGTATTCCATTTCTGAGTATCAATGCTACTTATAGATTATTCATGTACATTATCACATTATGGAAACTATTCGGTATGGTCTTTGTTTTTTCAAATATTTCATTTTTAATTCATATTATATTAGTCGAAATAGTAAATTTTTGAAATACCTTAAGAGTTATATCGAAGTGCTTAAAGCTTAACAAAGACTTGTTGCTGGTATCGGTCTCAGTATAAGGTTGTGGAAATTATTAAGTTTTTCGATTGAGATCATGAATCGATTGGTTAGACCACCATTGAAAACCTGGAATCACTAAACGGCCATCTCATCCTATTGTGGGATTATTCAGTAGTGTGCATCCATGATCCCGCTTGCGGGATTTGAACCTAAGGCCTTCGTTCTTGCGTGTGAATGATTAACCTCTAGACCACTGAGCCAGTATCCAACGATGTTAATGTCCTACTACAACCAATGCACGAAAATGAGCGACCATCTTCCATTGTACTGAGGTAGATACCTGTCTCTACATGACATAGACTAGCTCCACTGGTCATGGCTTCTCATTAAAACTCCGAGAATTCCATCACGAAGCTAGTCACTAGTGAGCACATGGGTTCGAATGCCGCAAGCGGACTACTGAGGAGTCACACAATAAGACGAAACAGCCGTTCAGTGCTTCTAGTATCGTTTGCCCATTTAAAAAATACAATCAGTCTGTAGGCTATAATACAAGGTGATACTATACGGTAATATTTTTGTAGTAAATGAAGTTGCCTCTTGAGATCAAAATTATTTAAAAGGTGTACAGCTGTAAATACATCTTATTCAAGTAATCTTTCTAAAGACTATTCTTAATAAATAACTTTCATGAGTAACCGATAACACGTGGATATTATCCATGCTTTGTTTGATTACTGGCACAGGGTAAGGTATTACAGTTAATATAGTATTGTGGAGATTATTCTCTTGGAATTTTGTATTTTGTGTTGACGGCATACAGACAATCATTGAAAAATAAAGAACGTTGAAATGTTGTCTTAGCCCAGTGAATCTGATTTTATTTATTTTAACACAAATATTACCACAAGAGGGCACCAAATATATATGAACCACACAAATCTCATTTTGTTTGTGTGAGGGCTGTGATACTGCTCGGGTGCCCAAAACGAAGCGGTGGTTTTCTTTAGGGGCCACACTCACAGCCTTCAAACTGAAGGTCTGATCCACAAGGCAGTGGAGCAACATCAGGAGATGCAGTCCCATGGTAGCCGGTCACCAACGATTGGTTCATACGCTATTTGTTCCCTCAGGATACTGGAGCCCATGTGCACCATTGGTTTGGGATCCGGTTAAAGCACCGGACATTCGCTTTTCGTCCTCTCATTTTCGTAAACAACACCCCCACCACGAGAAGGCAATGAGTAGAACATCCCTGTCAGAGGCTATATACGCGTGGCCATGTGAGAGCATTTGGAGAAGGAGAGCGAACTCTCCCCACTCTCGGACGTATCAAGGCATTTGGGGGCAAGTGAATCTGAGCTTTATTTCTAGTGGAGTCATGGATGAATACTACTAAACAATGACAGTCAGATAGAAAGATTAGGAATTTCAAATTCTATTGGTCAGACAACTATTTACTAAATGTGGAATATTTAAAGGATCAGTAAAAATACTCTTCAAATAACATCTTCAAACCCTAATCTTTCCGATTACTACTTATACTCTTACCACCTCTACCACTACGGGATTTGAATCGACAACTGTATCTCTGTGCTAATATAGTGTGGTAACTCAAACTGATGTATGTACGTACGAAGTTCTACGTTGTTACTGACTGACTGAACTTCAAACTATTCATTTGTATAGTTACTAAAAGAGAATACTGAAGTAACATTCTGACAGAAATAGTATCTTCATATCATAAGAATCTGTTCCAATCGACTAGCATCAACAATCAGCGTACAGAAGAATGAACGATAATCCTTTTAAGATTTCACAAGACTAGTATACCCTATTTCTAAATGATGAAACAATGTTAGATTAGACTAACCATAGCAACTAAATATCTTGTATTTAACACATACAATGAAAATGATTTATTTGAATACAGGTTATAAGCATTAAAATAGGTTAATAGGCATTATAACAATGATATTGGAATGAATGGAATCACATACGTAATGTATACGTAGCGGAAGGTAAGGGCGTGGGGGGGGGGGTAATTTCAATTCTATCATTGAATTGTCTTTTCTCTCAGTTATTTGTTTTTTTTTTCTTTTCTCTCTTCTTGATTGTTTTGTACAAGAGAAAGTGTAGAATGACAACAACAACAAGAGAACAGAATAAACAAAAGATCGAAATGATGGAACCGAAGTAGAAAAGTAAACCTCATGGAAAACACAAAAAGTAGACAGTGATACAAAGAAAACTATAAAACATTACAACTTGAATGAAATCTTAATCAAATGGGTATAAATATTGTTGTCATGTATGTGTATGTGTGAGTGGGTGGGTGGGTAGGTGTTTGTAAATTACAAGAATAACGATTTTTTTTCTTCTTCTTCTTTACATAAGTACGTATTTTATACAGTTTCTAAGTGAAATTTTATTCAGCAGTAATTAAGACTATAAACAACTATGAAGGTATATATATATATATTAGACAGTGAGCAAATCATTAACATACATTAATATAAGGATCAAAAGTATTATTGAATTCATTTGCTCAGTTCATGGAGTAAATGTTCTCGATTCCCCCCCTCCCCCATCTCTCTCTCTCTTTATCGATCTTTCCTTATTGATGTACTAATATGAAAGAGAATAAGTCAATTACATCAGAAACATGAAAGTAATATTGTTATGATAGAAATAAGAATTTTACAAGCCTAATTGATGATGAATCGATAATTAAGGTGAAACGAATACACAATCTAATCAAAGAAGAAGAAGAAAAAAATCAATAAAGATCACAGAAATATCAATGATCCTTTTTATGATGTAATAAAGGAGAGTTATTGATTTTTCAATCATTTACATTTTGTTTATTATCATCATCATCATTATGATTATTATGATTATTGTTAATATGATCATCCATTTTTAGTGTAGAATCTGATAAAAGAAGTTTAGCCAAATGATAACGTTCAGATGAAGTGAGTACAGTTTGAAATAATGTAGTTAATTCATTCGATGATAATTGTGAACTATGAATAAGGGATCTAAAATAAAACAAACAAAACAAAAAGTGTAGAAAGAAAGAAATCTAATGAAAACAAAAAAGATTTATTATGATGATTACAATTTTATGATGAACCTAGTTGTTAGACGGGAGTGTACAAAGACAAATGCCCTGGTATGACCGAGAGTGGGGTGGATCCACCATCCCTCTCGAAATGCTCTAACACAGCCACGCGTATCCAGCCTCTGTCAGGGAAGTCTTACTCATGGCAACAGTGTTGTTTACCAAAATGAGAGGACGAAAAGCGAATGTCCGGCGATTCAACCGGATTCCAAACCAGTGGTGCACATGGGCTCCAGTATCCTGGGGGAACAAATGGCGTATGAACCGATCGTCGGTCACCGGCCACCATGGGACTGCATCTCCTCACGATGTTCCACTGCCTTGTGGGTCAAACCTTTAGGTCAAAGGCTCTGGGTGTGGCCACCTAAGAAAACCACCTGTCTCGGTCTGGGCACCCGAGCAGTATCACAGCCCACACACACACAAATATGGTGTGCTGCATATGTATTTGGTGCCCTCTTGTACCAATATTTATGTGTTAAAATAAACAAAAATAAAACAAAGACAAAAAAACAATAAGTTATTATCGAAAGAGATATGCGAAGATTATTTGATTGGACTAACACTTTGGGTGAACAACTACTGAAACTGATGAGAACTACTGAACAAGGTGTTACTGTCTGGTCATCGAGTTAGTATTATCCATGGTATAAGTGATATTGAAATGATGCATAATGCGGTTGAACTTCACTGTTTACGACCATATAAGGCATAATAACACTGAAATGAGACCTATTTAGATAGTTTGGTTTTTGTACAATTTAACCAGTAGGTCAACAAGTACATAAATAAGAAACTGTTGATTCAATAACTCTACTGCCATTGTAACTGTTCTATTCCGATGATCAATGAAGTCATTATTTAAATGCAGTCAGTCAGTCAATCATCTTAAGTTCTACAGTGAAAATTATTTAAATATAATTGATTTGTCAGTAACTTGTATTTGAATTTTTCATAGAGAACACCTATTCTATGGGAATGTAATTTATTTACGGCAAGACTCTAATTTATGGACGAGCCAATCAGAGGCGTTTTAGGGATTTCAAGGTTGCAGCGCCAACTTCAGTGCTGAATGCTAACGTACGATCGGTTCACAGGGAATTTTGTACAAAACGTGATAACTGAGTGGCTGTAACAAATAAAACGGCGACAATATAATTTGTGGACGAATCAATCAAGTATAAGATAACAGATCTCGGATTTTAACGCGAAAGCCTTTCATCCATTTGCCTAAATAAATTTCTGGTATTATAGCTCATGTCAGTTCGTGATGGAAACCCTATATATAATTCCTAACTAAGGCAAATTATGACAACTATCGCGAACTGGATAATAAAAGCACCAGTAACACTGGGTACAGTCAGGTACTACAATATGTACGGATGATTGGAGAGCGTACAGACTCCTATATAGGCTTGATTATGTGCATCGTGTCGTTAACCACAAGTACCATTTTGTGCAACCAACAACTGGAGTGCACACAATCAATATTGAAACTATATGGTCGAGGCTGAAAGCGTTTTTGAGACTTTATCATGGCTCCAGTGGCCGACTATTATGTAGCCGTACGGATGATTTCCTCTACTGCAAGCATTACGATTTTACAACCTCAGAACCTCTTTCTAACCTTGACGAGTTTTTGAACCATGTATAAGAAGTGTAACCACTTTATTTCCGTGGTTTTGTATAATATCTTTTTACCTTACACAGAAGGTTTGCTGATTGGCTAATATTTCTTAAGGTGACTTAAGATTCGTTCATAGGTCATCCATACATTAGAGTCTCATCCTATTTACTTAACAACTAACACAGACACTTTCGATCGGACAAAGTATCGATTATGAATTAATGATCGATTCATTTACAAGTATAAGTGATCATATTTGATTGAATAGTGAATAGTGATCAATAATAGCATATGTGTTAAATCCTTAGTGCAGATCCAATGCTATCGACCAAGTTCAGTCAGTCAGTCAGCTACAATGTAGGACCAAGCACATATATCCATCGGTCCAAGTTGCCATACTTCATTAGCATAGCAAGACGAACACCTGATTCATGGTAGTTAACTCAATGGTTGTAATATATAAAAGAAAGATTGCATATAAGGATATGGTACAGAAAGAAAGAATTAGTTCGTAGAAATAAAGATATGAAGCGATTTTAATCTCATGGTTTAAAGAAAGACAGAGAGTGTATACACCGACGCCATTCTGATTGATTCTTAGCCATGTCAACCACAGTCTCCAACCATTGGTTACGATAGTCAAGCGGACTCCAACATGGCTCAAACTAGAAGTTAGTGACTCCAAGCACTGATGCCATGTTTTGGTTTGGCCACTTCTAACTTTCTTCCAACCATCTCCAACACCGGTTAGCATTGCACGTCGTGGTAATCGGTGTTCAGGCATACGTATGAGTATCTTCTACTCTTAATAGCCATGTTTCACTGCCGTAAATTAAAACAGAACGAATTGCCGCGCAGTATACTCGTCTTTTTATTGATAGACGGATAAAAGGACGAAAAACTTGGTCTAGGTGACTTGACATTGTGCTAGAGGTGGTAGTCAACACAAAAACCCTAGACCCCGGGGTACATTTTATTGATGGAGTACCCTATAACACAACATCCAAATCTAGAATATCCGTATTGACTACCATCTTCTCGAAATCAATCATCTTAATATTAAGTGTAATCTATAATCATATACAATATAATAGATTGAACTTACTGTTTCATATGTTCCATAAAATATACTTGACGTAATTGTTGAATTTTTGTTTGAATAATATTTTTATTAAATAATTGTAAATTAATATTATGATTATTTCTATGGAAATGATTCACTGAAGTAAATGAAAGACAATGAATGAATAGATCTGTAGAATATAATTCTTCAATGGTTTCAATCGTTGCTAATTCACATAATTCATTACAATTTAATTCATTAGCTAACCAATTACCAATAAGTAAATCATTATTATCCCATATATCATAATCATTTGCATTAGAATGAGTATTATTCAATGCTTCAATAAACCATTCTTTTAATAGAGACATTTTATAATCAGTAGGATAGGTGTAACGAATAGCTAACAAAAAGAAAAAAAGAGGAAACACATTATTGATTTAAACATGAGTCAATTGAAGCTAGACTACCGTTGGATGTCGGCCAGATCAGTGGTCTAGTTGATTAAGCGCCTGGCGCAAGACGGATAGATCCTGGATTCGATTCTCGACGAAGAACGGGATGGTGGATGCACACTGTTGGGGAGTCCCACAACAGCACGAAATGGCCGCCCAGTGCTCCCAGGTTTTTTCATGGTGGTCTAGCTTTATGATTTCAACCAGTTAAATTTGTAAAATCTTTATAAAACCTTTTTCTGATATAAATATTAGTATAAGAAGGCATCAAACATAAATAAATATACGCCATATAAATCATTCGATTTATATGAGTGGTGAGATATTAATACTCGGGTACCAAAAACCGAATCAAGTAGTTTTCTTAGGGAGATACAACACTCAGAGCCTTTGACTTAAAGGTCTAAACCACAAGGTGAAGTGGCGCAAAGTAAGCAGATGCAGTCGGGTGATCAACGATTGATTGATACGCTATTTGTTCATTCATGATACTAGAGCCTATATATAGCATTGGTTTAGAGAAATCAGGGTTTTCCAACGTCCCTAGGTGAACTCTCAGTGTCCATCAATCCGGTTAAAGCGTCAGACATTTGTTGTTTTTTTTGTCTTCTCAATTTCCTACAAAACAGTAATGCTGCGAGAAGGTAGGGAGTAGGACTTCCACGGCAGCGAAGCCTTGATCCTCAATCATACATTATTTATATTTTTGCAGACAACACAATATAACAGTCCACAAAACAAAAAATTTTTGTGATTGCATCATCAACTATTAAAAGAAGAGAGCACTTAATGAATGTTTGAACGAAGTCTAAAAAAATCACAACAAAGAGAAACCATTACCCGGTTAGCGATGGAACTTAGAAACCTTCAGTAATAATAAAAGGTTTAATTTAATCAAGCAAATGACAAGCTCTAAAAAGGAAGACACAAGTGAGCTGGCTTTCATTGTGAACTAACTAACTAACTAACATCTAGACTATAGAAATTGACTGGGTAAGAAGCAAAGTAGGAAATTGTAAATATGTACAACGCTATAAGTTGACCCGTTTGCATAGTGAGATGAAATTGTTAGTAGAAATTCCAGCGTAGCAGAAGTAGTAACTGTGCTAGTGGCACTGGAAAAAATTAAGCATTAAAGATACCATTCGAAAAGAAAATACAAATTAGTGGATCGAAAACAATTCATAATGGATTCAGAAACTAAGGCTATTGGAAAAGACAAGGAGTGAATCTACGCGAGACATTCCAAAACATTTGAAGCAGTGCCATTTAGTCTCTAACTAATGGTGACGATAATCCACCGAACCCCCAAAACATACAATAATCATCATTCTATCCGCATGGCTCAGTCCAACTGTCAATGACTTCATGAACTGATGCCATGTCTTAGTCTGGTCGCCCCTAGTTTTCTTCCAACACACTCCTACAAAAGACAGAATCACCCGTCGAAGTGACCAGTGGATCGGCATACGTTATACACGTAGTAACCATCTCAGTCGATAAAGGTTCCTTATCTTGTCAATCGTTTTCCCATCCTTATATGATACTCTGCGTCTAACTTTCAATTGCTAACTTGATGATCCATAAATGCTTCGAAGATACCTATGATCGAATACTAGTAAACTAGAAACATCCTGTAGTCTTAATCGTCATTTTTCACAGAGATAAAGTAAAACGGAGAGGACTGATACTCAGTATGCTCATCCTGTGCTCGATAGGCAGGTATCTCCCCTACGCTTAACGTGACGCGAGTTGGCAAAACGCAGTCACATCTTCTGAATCCGTGCCGAAATGTTATCAAATACCAACCTACCAGATTTCATGAGATCGGTGAAGTGATAAAGGCACTCAATTACTTCTCTCCCTACCATTTGTCCAGGTCTTGACGCATAAAAGTCCTGATAAAGCATCAACTTGTCATTCGGGTTACTTGGAGATGTTGGGTAACTGAAATGTGGCTGAAGGCTAATTGAAGTGTTCCCTAAAGTGTTCTGACCATCGGGCCTATTACCTAGATTGAGAATGAATCATAGTTTCATCTTTTTCCAAGACTATCTAACTTGTTTCCCTGACAAGCCTTAACAGTAGCCTATCGTTACCTATCGTCGCCTCCGTTTGCCATCTCTTTTGTATTCGTTACCTATCAAGATCATTGCACTGAGCTGCCTCCGCTTCTTATGACGACCGAATTTCAGTCAAAATATTGAAGACGGGATAGATAATCTAATCTATTTCAAATCGGATTATTGGTCATGGTGTCAACGTCATTAGTCATTAATACAAATGGCGTTAGACGATGAATCTGTCTAACGGATGAGCCAATAAGTAAGTGGATTAGGAAGAAAAACGGAGTTCTGCATTATAGAAGAACAAGGTTTAGCTTCCATTTTTATCTTGAGTTTCCTCAACCTTGATAAATCAAGGTCCATCTCACATATGGTGATGAGTCCCCCCCCCCCCTCGTCAAAATATCTCAATAATTTTTACATCATATAAAAGTAACAATTAAAAAGATTCGTAATTCTAAATCATGAAAATGATGCGATCAATTTGATCTTAAACAAGAAATCAAATTTTCAATCATACCGACTGAAAATAATATTAGTATGGGGGTTGTGGAGATTATTAGGTTTTTGATTGAGATCATGAACCGATTCATGTTAGACCACCTTTGGAAACCTGAAAGTACTGGACGACCGTTTCGTCCTGTTGTGGGACTCCTCAACAGTGCACATCCACGATCCCGCTCGCGGGATTCGAACCCAGGGCCTTCGATCTCGCCCGCGAACGCTTAACCTACTGGACCACTGAGCCGGCACCCAATGGTGATAGTGTCTAATATCAACTAATCCACGAAATTGCGCGACCATCTTTCAATAAATCATTGACATACCTAAATTAGGAACTTGTTTAGCAATTATATTAGCAACATCTTCTCTATTGCAAACGGTAGACTTCAAGGTAGTTGTAGAAAGTGAATATCTTCCATCGGAATTATTGGGTAGATCATTAGTTGTAACAGTTTGTGTTAAACTTTCTGAATCAAAACGTATTCTATGATTACTTTCAACACGTAGAAGTTCTGATGAAAAAAAAGAGAAATATTACTAAATACACGAATAATAGAATTTATTGATTGTTTAAAGATAACGACTTCTAAAAATTAACATTAGCACATTGAGAGTATTTACTTTTACTTACGCCTGTTACTGCTCGTGAAAGAGCATAGGCCGCTCACCAGCATTCTCCATCCAACCCTGTCCTGGGTACATTGAGAGTATTAATAATACTAATCTTAACGGTTGATAAGGTGTTAAACAACTAGTCAGTCAGCTACAACGTAGGACCAGGCACATATGTGCATCGGTCCAGGTTGCCATACCGCATCAGCACAACAAGATGAACACCGGATTCATAGCAGTGGTTAGATCAAAGGTAGTAATATGTAAGAGAAAGATTGCATATAGAGATATAGTACAAGAAGAAAGAATTGGTTCGTAGAAAGAAAGATATGAAGCGATTTTAATCTCTTAGTTTAAGGGAAGACAGGGAGTGTATACACCGATGCCATTGTGATCGATTCTGAGCCATGTCACCAAGAGTCTCCAACAACTAGAGATAAAGTTCAATTAGAATTTACAAAAAATGTAGATTAAAAGAAGAACTGTTGCTAAGACATAAGATGTCATTGAAGATGAAGGATAAGTATATCTATGACAAGCCAACCAACTTCAAATCATGTTGTATTTATGATTTTCAATCATTTTATCAAGAAATATCACAGAAGTGTTACTAAACTGTAACTTAGATAGCTTCGAATTTAAACAAACTATATTAGTTGTAACACTATTGATTGGATTTATTTGCTTTTCCGACAAATCATGAAGAAATACTCTTTCACAGAGTGGGCTACCTAGAAGTGACAACTTTCTTTATACGTCTAACAACACTAGAGGTTTTCTTATTTACAATCAAATAACTTCATCAATTCTTAGTATTACTTCTACCACCAGCAACAAATTTTCCCGTTACAGCTTCGCAACCAAGAGCCATCGATTCTAATTACTACAGTCCATCTGATGGTATCCACAAATAGTGCTACTGTGGTGCGTGCTACTTATATTGATATAAGTAGTATATAACGTGAGTCAAAAGAACGTAATGGCTGGCAGCAGAAGATGGAGAAGATCAAGAAAAGAAGAGCGAGAAAACAATGGAATTTGTAAGAAATCGCATGAGCAATGAAATGCGAGACAATGGATTGATGATTGCAACAGCAACAGCCCGGTTTGATATGATAGAATGATATTTTGCAAATTAACGATTTACTATATGGTTTTTCTATTTTACCAAGTAATTCTGTAATTTGTCCTAAATACAATTTGGCTGTCCCACCCGTGTTCTTCTTCACTACACTACGATCTACATGTTGGAGATTTCAATGTACATATCTTATGTTATGTAAGCTAACAATGTTAGCTAAAACAATAAGTATATTTCAATAACAATCAATCATACGATATGACTGGAGTCACATCCCGAGCTACTAAAAGACAATCAGAGGGACTAAGTAAAGGAAGCGAAAAGAAGCAATCGAAGCGAAATGACACGCGGTGGAGATGGCAGATGAGCCAACTTGATTTAATCAAACGTTAGTCGATATTTACAGGCGAACAAAAATAAATAAGTTACAGACATGTGATGAATAAGATAAGAAATAAACACAAATACGCTTACATAAAAACAATCAGGGCTGATAAGTGAATAATTGACAAAGTCAAAATGTGACTCAAAAAGAATGGATAAATTCACCTATCCAGAAGCTAGAATAAGTTATGTGAGTTGACATAGTAACTTGAACGTATGTACACATGTGCTAGTGTTCGCGTTAAGTAAGACTAACTGACCGACTGAACTATTGGACGTTATAAATTTGAATCTTGAGATTAGAAGGTGAACGACTAAAAATCTATAGATGTGCTGAATCGGCATTTTGGGGATAAACAAAAAATTTGAGTACAAGACTCTATGTCATTTTCCAACTAACTAAAATCATTTCAAGTTAATCCGTTGATCATGAGGGGCTGCTGGTGAGATATCACATCACACTAATTAATGATACAATATGGCTGTAAAAAAAAAGATTAGTGGAATAAACACTTTGTGGTTAAATAAGAAAATGAAATAAAAGAAGACTTACTACTAACTGATGATTGTTTAGACACCATCTCCTCTTCTTCTTTCAATGAAATCTCTTTACTTTTATTAGTCTCACAATTAAAATTTAAAACTGGTACATTATGATTAGTAGTAGTGTACTTCATATCAATTGGATATTGATCAGAACTATTTGATAATACACCATTGATAAGATTCAATGCGGATAATTCTAATAGACGACGTCTAAGACGTGTATAAAAAAAACTACGACTAGATGACCAATCGACTAATCGACGAACAAGTTTTCTAGCCAATAAACGACCAGGTGTATCATGTAAATCAGCAAATTTGCAAGCCACCTTCATAATGGATCACAAATAGAAAACATAATGAAAATATGGAATAACAGGAAAATGAAATAAAAACAAACAAACAAACAAATAATAATAACGTAAATTCATAATTACACAAAAATAATCTGTAGACGCCCAACTACGAGACCAACAAGCAGGATTCCGTAAGGATAGATCGTGTATAGACCAAATCGCAACTCTACGGATCATTGTGGAACAATCAATTGAATGAAATTCATTACTCTACATCAACTTCATTGACTACGAAAAAGCATTTGGTAGCGTGGACAGAACAACACTATGGGAGCTTCCTTGATCAAACTGCAAAATCGTGCATGGAGGACAGCTCACAAACTCGTTCGAAGTAAAGACCGGTGTCAGGCAAGGTTGCTTACTCTCATCTTTTCTCTTTCTCCTGGTGATAGACTGGAACATGAAGACGTCAACATCTGAAGGGAAGCACGGCATACAGTGGATATCTAGGATGCAGTTGGACAATCTACACTTCGTAGATGATCTGGCCCTCCTATCCTAAACGCAACAACAAATGCAAGAGAAGACGATCAGTGTAGCAGCAGCTCCAGCAGCAGTAGGTCTCAATATACACGAAAGGAAAAGAAAGATTCTCCGGTAAAACACAGAATGCACCAATCCAATCACAGTTGACGGAGAAGATTTGGAAGATGTAAAAACCTTTACATATTTGGGCAGCATCATTGATGAACACGGTGAATCTGATGCAGACGTGAAGGGGAGGATCGGAAAGGCGAGAGCAGCACATCCACAACTGAAAGACATCTGGAACTCAAAGCAACTGTCAACCAACACCAAGGTCTGGATTTTCAATACAAATGTCAAGACAGTTCTACTGTATGGGGCGGAAACTTGGACAATTACGAAAGCCATCATCCAGAAAATACAGGTGTTTATTAACAGTTGTCTACGCAAAATACTTCGGATCCGTTAGCAGGACACTATTAGCAAAAACCTACTATGGGAGAGAACAAACCAGAACAAACCAGTGGAGGAAGAAATCAGGAAGAAGCGTTGGAAGTGGATAGGACACACATTGAGGAAAGCACCCAACTGCGTCACAAGTCAAGTCCTCCCATGAAATCCTCAAGGCCAAAGGAGAAGAGGAAGACCAAAGAACACATTACGCTGAGAAATGGAAATAGACATGAGAAAAATGAACAAGAATTGGATGGAACTAGAAAAGAAGGTGGAGGACAGAGTGGGTTGGAAAATGCTGGTCGGCGGCCTATGCTCCATTAGGAGTAACAGGAGTAAGTAAGTAAGTATAATTCACTTACTACATGAAAGAAAGAAAGAAAGAAGTAAACAGAAAAATGATTACTGTTCCCCTTTCTATAATAATTAATCTTAAACTTAACCTGATTTTACATTTAGGCTAATGTATCTTTATCACTGATTGATTAACTGACTGACTGACTGACTAACCGAATCTTTGTCAAATACAATGCAATTGTGAATAGATTATTGAATAATACATGAAAGTATTTTATTGAATGACCCAAAAAGAGAAGAAAAAGCAAAACAGAAAAAAAACATTCAATGAATTAACCTTAGTGTCAAAATTAATTAAAACAACCAATCTTATTACATAATTCTCCCCCCCCCCTCATCCTCCACCCAGCCCCCCCCCTATATATATATCATAAAAGAATAAGTTTATATTGTATAAGTAAGTTTCAGTCTTAATTTACTTTATTATCTAGGGAAACCCGGTAAGTTTTTTCTTTAAAATTCTTTAATGAGTTTTACTATCATCTATCACTGATGGGTTGGTTATCTTGTTATTTATTTTATTGATTTATTTGATCATATTTTTCCCATTTTTATATTCATTTACAATCATATAATCATTACAATTTTTCTGATATCTTCTTTTTTTGTTTCTAAGTGTTTACGTTAATTATAGAAAGATCAGAAGATAACCTTCAATGATCTGTAAAAATTAAGCAATATATAACACAATCAGTCAGTCGGTCAGCTAAAACGTAGGACCAGGCACAGATGGGCATCAGACCATGTTTTCATACCTCATTAGCACAACAAGATGAACATCGAATACATAGAAGTAGTCGGTTCAATAGTGGTAGTGATATATAAAAGAAAGATTGTATATAAGGACATAGTACAAGAAGAAAGAATTAATTCGTAGAAAGAAAGATATGAAGTGATTTTAATCTCATAGTTTTTAGGGAAGACAGAGAGTGTATAAACCTACTCCATTCTGATCGATTCTGAGCCATGTCACTAAAAGTCTCTAATCATTGGTTACGATAGTCAAGCGGACCCCAACCAAGTAGTCTGCATCTACCAACATGGCTCAAAATAGAAGTTAGTTACTTCAAGCACTGATGCCACGTTTTGGTTTGGCCACCCCTAACTTTCTTCCAACCATCCCCTACACCGGTTAGCATTGCACATTGTGGTAATCGGTGTTCAGGCATACACGTAATACGTGGCCCAACCATCTCAGTCGATGAAGATTCATAACCTCATCAACTGATTTACTATCGTTCCCTAATACCCTGCCTCACTAGTACTTACCTGGTGATCCCAGCAGACGCCAGCAATATATGTTAGATAGATATAAAATTTATTTCAATGTTTTAAATAAAAGTTACAAGAAATATTTCGATGAAAATTAAAACCCAACTAACCTGTTGATAAAATGGTAATAATTCTTGTTGTCTAGATTCTAATGCAGTACGAAGTTGTTGACGATGTTCTTCTATGGAAATATTCAATAAATTTGTATTGTATTCTGAATCATTATTCATTGACAAATTGTTTGTATGCTCATTTAAATGATTTAATTCTTTTAATAATAATTTACATGAATTATCTAATCGATTAATAGTATCAATTAAATCTTTTTGTCGATATTTAATTTCAACTGTACCCTCAGGTTCAAGAACACCAGCTCGTGATGATATTGGATCAGCGTACATTTCCATAAAATCTGGATTAATTGCTGGATCTACTACAACCCAAGCACCACCACGTAATTGTGAATTTGGTGGAAGATAGACAAAAACTGGTTTAGTGTAACGACGTAATGAATCAATAATCATTGAACCAAATTTTAATACCTTAAAAAGTAATATAAATTAATAATGTGTATCAATAGAAATTGAACAAAAAGTACTGATTGAAGAATAGATGAAACCATATAAATGACTCAAATTCTGATTTGGCATTAGTTTCAAGGAAAAAGGTTTTTTCAAGTATGATGAATAAATCAGTACGATCATTGCAACAACTAATCTCTCTTCATGATTGTCTATATAAAGAAGTAATGAAAATAAGCATTGTCTAGGATTGTTCATTTATGTAAATTTACATAACTGAGTAACGTTAATGAGGAAACTATTGGAGAGTTACTGGACAACTGTTACAACGTATCACAAGATTCTTTGGATATGGATAACTGAATAGTTCAGTACTACAATAATTAGATGTCTAATCCACCCCCACCCCAGTTTTTGATGGCTGTCTAACTAACGTCATTTCGTAAGCTGCAACTGTAAATCTCAGTTCGAAAACGCTAACTAATCGCGGATGTTAAGAGCAAATGTAACGCGAATTCTGACTTCATGGGAAATATCATCAAAGTGAAGGAGAATGATTCATTCAACCGAGTTTGTTACCCCGATCTAATCTAAATCCAATGCGTACATATCATGTATAACTTCGTCTAACCAATCAACTCGAACCGCTTAGCTACTGCAGTGTTAGAACAGAGAATTCGAAAACAAGGCAAGTCAACAGTTCATATATATTCAAATCAACATTTCTCCTATGACTAATGGAATGTTATGGTACGTTAGATATTTAAAAATAAAGTTTTGAACCTTATATAAATATCTCGATCATGAATCTTCAATCTACGTAAATCTATATATGTGTTATGTCGCTCATGTAGTTCGTTTGCTATGTACAAGTTTTGTACAATAATACTGAACGAAGGTAAAACAGGATTCGAACCTACAACTTAACTCCATTAACCGTCAAACACTTAACAAACCTAAAATAATATTATCTAGTTATGAATGTTTATAATACAGAATACTGGTTGAGCAATAATGGAAACAAGCAATCGAAAATATTAACGAGAGAAAGAAATGAGATGATTAAGTGGGGGGGGGAAGAAAAGGACCTCAAAGGGCACTAACAAGTTAATGTGCATAACAATACATCTATTAGAGCATAACAATTATTAAAGCAGGCGAAATGAAATATAATCCCATTGGTTGCTACCTTGACGTGGTGGTTGGGCTGGCCTATCGTTATGAGCCAATCGAGCTATACTGGCTAGAACAAACGTTCCTCAACGTCCTACCATGTCAGACAGGTCGGTTAAAGAACGGTAACACTAAAAGCAACAAATTCAAGGTCCGAAGGCAAAGTCGTACTTCTGACTGTACAACAAAGGTGTGACAGTAGTAAGGTGTTTCCTTCAGACAATCAAAATGACAGCGATTCTGCCTTCCCACAAGGAGGGGTGGGGTTAGAAAAGGTCGACCCTAAAAATGCACACCTCGCCGGCTTATCACACGGATATCCGTCTCCAGCGGTAAGGTCTCAACAAGTACGGAGCTAACACAAAAATTACTCATAAAAAGGTCGTGTGTGACCGACCTCAAGCAGTTGTCACTTGGGCACTGCGGTCACGCTCTCAGGTCACTAAGACCACCTCTAATCCAATTTCCTTTTCAGGTACCTCCAGAAGAACCCTTCCTCGGTGTGGGCAACCGGAAAGTGATAATCGCCCTCATACCTCTGACAGCACTCAAGACCACTATATTTTATGAACTTGATTTATGTTTATATACATAAAAACAAGTTACACTGTAATTAATCTGAGCAACTGGTAGATAACAACAACAACAGCAAAAGATGAAACAAAACATAATAAGGTAAATTTAAAATACTATTCAATGAATGTATTCAATAGAATGAGAGATTTCCTTAAAATCCTCCCTATTACCATCCATAACAATAATCATGTTTATGGATTATTATTAATAACCCAGCTCCAACCTAATTTTTTTTTGCTTTTTTACCTTATCAACAACAGAGAACATAGGAAAATAAAACAGGATATTATTACATAATAACACCAAATAAAAATATAAAACATGAAATAGCAATTAAATTAATTTAAGTGATTACAAAGGGTAATGGAGGTTGAAGATAATAGCGAGAGAGAGCGAGAGAAAGAGAGAGAGAAAGACAGTGTGTGTGTGGGGGGGGGCGAATGAGTTAATTACATATGAATTTCCGGAAAATATAGTTTCAGTATGTAAAAACTGTAAAAATCTGGTTTAAAAAAACATTCCATGACGATGAGTTTAGATGACATTACGAGGTTTTGTTGAAAATTGACATTATAGTTTGCTGAATTGTTGAAATTCCAAGAGAGTAAGCAGCACTAGAGAAGTATTTCTTTCCTTGGTTTAGGATTTCAGTATTGAACTCATGTTAGAATATTCAGTGAAAACAATTCATAGTGATAATTGATTGTTAGTAACTTGTTTGTCTATTCCTTAGTGTTGAACGAAACCTATTGATCAAATTGAAATGTGGTCTGTAGTCTTAGTAATTAGTCGCACTTTGACTAATCAAGAAAATTCGATCACTACTGAGGGTTAAACAAACAAGACATTCGTTGCTCATCAATGATCACATGTGTTAGTCTTAGTACTACGAGAGGTCAGTCGCTGTTCAAGATGACATCACAGACTGTGGGATTAGGTAAGGCGGGTTCGAACCTTACAAGTAATGTCAGTCCTCTGAAAATTGCATGTACGCCTTGATGACTATTGTTACCTAGCTCAAAACAAAGATGGAAGGTTTCCAGCCGATTATCTTCAACCAACCATTAGTCGAAGTAACTAACCAACGGACAGTAGTTAGGAATACCAATTAGTTAATATCACTTTTAAGATTTCGATCAACAAACACTATTTCATTAAGCATTCAAAAATATTATGCTGTTTTATCATATTTATCAACTTATGAATATTCGAACAGAAAATTTTCTTTTTCTCTTCGACTGGAGATTAACAACAGTATATGTATACAATTGCTTCACAAACAGCGTAGTCTATTGAGTTCACATCATTAATAATGTCTGAAAATTCCACACTTTCAAATATGCTAGAATAAAGAATCTTTACAGACTGAAGTCGTTGGGACATGTATTACACATGACCAACCACCGCTAATCTCAACGTGCAGTGACCGCTCGTGAAAATATAAATGCCTCCTTATGATTACAGGTGGTTTACGTAGATCATTGAACTACATAGTTAACCTCATGGAACTGACTAATGGTGCTGAAAGATGATTGGGCAGTATCACGAATCGATTTAGAATTTAGAAATGTAAAGCGTTAGATGCAGATTTAGTGATCGGAAAGTTAATCGATTATCAAGGGACCTGTAGGTTCTGAGTTTGATAACAGGTAGGGTCATTGATGTATACCAATAATTATAAATAAGACTCAGTTAGTCAGCTCACTTGGTCATACATATCTTTCATCCCACCAGAAAATCCTCGCCAGTTGGCAAAAATGAATAAAGGTAAATGTTCACGTGACAAGTCAGCAATAGCTTGTGCAGTTTTATACGCTGAATCAGGATACCATACTTGACCAGCTTGATTAACAATTTGTGCTTCAGAGGATAAATTAGCCGGATCAGCAGGTACACGGCAAACAACAGATCTTGTCTCCGCTGTGATAACACCACAGGGGATACCACCTAAACGTGCTCGACCAGTTACAACTCCGGCAGCCCATGATGACAATGTTTCTTGCCATGTTCCCCAGTCAAAAAATCCTGATATCCAATGATCGGTATTTGCATTTTCAAATTGTTGGTCAGATGACGAAGACTGTTTACTGGAGGACTTACAAAATGCCTCGAAATGAGAACCTGTTTGTAGTAAAAGAAAAAGAGCATGGATACCGCGAACAAGTTTTAGAAAAAAATCAAGGTTATGTGCAACTTGTACACTCTTCGCTGTGTGATATATATCTAGCACTTTCCGTAACTTTCACGTTTTACTTGTGCGCGACTGCAACATGTCAGAGCGTAAGTATCATTAAAAGGACTTCATTATAAGTGTTTCAAGGTATCCACAACTTTCTGCTATCATCATTATGTTAGTGCAATGTAGCCCGACATATTTCAAATGAAAACCATAATGATGGTAAAAATTTAGGGAGTGAAATAAAATCTATGGTAACCATTACATTTTAGTATATAGAATTTATCCTCTAAATGAACGGAAAAAGTGAATAAAAGTACTAGAACTCGTCGAGTAAATGTTAGGTATGCAGAGGAATATACCAATAATTATCGTGTTAAGTCGAATGGTGTCCTTGGACGTTAATGTACACTCCCTATTGGTCGATATTTATTTCACTTGTTAAATATTGTGTAAATGTTGTTTTCTATTTTATGGTACGATGTGGTTTGTTTGGTTGGTATGTAAACAGAGTATGTCTGAAATATAATGATTCATATCTCAGAGGGTGCGACTTGCGTTCTGGACTCAACTAGCTGGGCTAGACAGGGGAGCGGGACCAGTCGGGAATCTAGGTCGTCCTTACGTGTCACTGGATCGATCGATAAGTACGCTGCGCATCTAACCTGCAGTCCACACGTTACAACAGAAAGTTAGTATAATAACCCGAAAACCCCTTAATTGGAATATGTGAAGCTTGGTTCAAATAAGAAAAGGATGAGTAACAACTGGAAAGAGCTGGAAAGGATTTCTTGGAACAGAATTGGACAGAGAGTGCTGGTGGACGGCCTATGCTCTTCCATAAGGAGTAACAGGTCTTAGAATAGAATTAGAAAAGCCATCAACTTCGTTAAGAAATAACAACAGATGTAATTCTATGCTTACTTACTCATAATACCGGTGAACATCCATCGAGGATCATCATTTGGTCGATCACGACTAGGTATATATTCAACAATTCTATCAATAGGATCAAATGGTAAATAAAAATCAGTTCGTTTATTCACTTTCGGTTGATGAACTTTTAATTGTGATGAGATTTCAATTTTAGCTAAATTATTTCTATTGAAATTATGTCCTGGTTCAATTTGTACTGGTTTATATAAAACAGAAAATGTTTCATTTGGACGTTGAGGTATATAACTAAGCCATTCAATAGCTAATTGTAAAGCAGAGAGTTCATCTGATGCAACCAAATGAGAGACACCATTAGTTGCCATCACCTAAATATATAAATATAAATGAAGAATTGGAATGAAAACAAAATAATTTATGATACATTCATTAACCATACCAAGTAAATCGATATTTTTCACATAGTTTTTAATCAAATTTAAGTATAGTATCTACATAACATTAACTCCGCCTGGAGCCCCTCTGGGGATACTGCCAGTCCCAAACCCAGATAAAGAAGGAGGGTTAGACATGAGGTCAGCGACTCCATCTCGTAGAAAACTAACTTGCTGGGAAAACGCTAAGTAAAGTAAAGTAAGTATCTACATGACATTACTTCAAAGCAAGAGACATAGGAAAACAGATCATACATTGTGATGCCTATTTGCTACCAATTATTGAAATTTACTACAGAAAAACACACATAGTGAAGTCATTGTACCATATGCTGCGTTTATTTGATCCTTTGTTTTGAATAGTAGTTATGTTGATATCTGTTTGGAACAAAAATGGTTACCAGGCACTTAACTGACAGTTGTCGAAACATATTTCATTGTTTATGAAAAATAAACAACTTCATAATGTAATTTGCTAAAAAAAAATATTGTAGAGCACTACATACCAGACAAAAAATGGCATTGATCAAGGTTACAGTCTGAATAGTTCATTTGGTCAAGTTTCTGTGTGTGTGAAACTGAGTCATACAAATTCTCATCTTATCTATAACATTAAGAACTCACCCTGGACATTGAAAAGTACCAACTAGCAAGAAATCAAGAATGAACAAGGCTTCCTACTACTAGTTATCTCCAACTATCTAATACATGAATTAAATAACGCTTAAAAGATTCAAATTATGAATGTTCAGTACGTGAATTATTTTACAGTCAGTTAATTTTCAGAAGACAACTGTTCAAAAAGATGAAAGTATAGTCATCATCTTAGTTGATCGAAAGGATGTTTAATCATTGATTAAAGTGTATGACATAAACATTCTTAACATAATTTTATATCTTCAAACATGCCAGTTCGTTGTTGCTACCGTGACGTGGTCGTCGGGCTTGCCTATCGTGATGAGCCAATCGAGCTATACTGGCTGGAACAACCGTTCCTCAACGTCCTACCATGTCAGACAGGTCGGTTAAAGAACGGTAACACTAAAAGCAACAAATTCAAGGTCCGAAGGCAAAGTCGTACTTCTGACTGTACAACAGAGGTGTGACAGCAGTCAGGTGTTTCCTTCAGACAATCAAAATGACAGCGATTCTGCCTTCCCACAAGGAGGGGTGGGGTTAGAAAAGGTCGACCCTAAAAATGCACACCTCTCCGGCTTATCCCACGGATATCCGTCTCCAGAGGTAAGGTCTCAACAAGTACGGAGCTAACACGAAAATTACTCATAAAAAGGTCGTGTGTGACCGATCTCAAACAGTTGTCCGTTGGTCACTGCGGTCACGCTTTCAGGTCATTAAGACCACCTCTAATCCAATTTCCTTTACAGGTACCTCTTCAAACATGAAGTCAAAAACTTAAAAAACCAATCAGGTACGACTACTAAAGCGAAATAGTTAATGGTCTTGCATATGATGTAATACGCATCCACTGTGTAAATATGTGCCTCAAAGAAACAATTCACGTTTTCTAACTTTATAATATGGAGTAATATAATTTCAACATATAAACGATGTAATAAACTGGATTAATAAGAACTTACTAACAAGCAGAGATACTTTTATGTTTCTCTTTATCAAGAACCTTAACTGTCATCCTCCAGTTACATCTTAGAGTACAACATGTTACATTCATAAATCTATCTCTAATGAGATAACGTATACAATTCACATATACCTCCATCATGTAGTTCATAATACAAATGATTTGATACAACCAAATAAGAATGTTCATTTTTTAAAAAAAAAGTAAAGACAACACTTGAATTTTATGGTTGTTAGTTAGAAGTTTTGTTAGAAATTGTAGACTACTTTTATGAATGAATCTATTAACCATTCAGGATAGTTGGAAGAGAGTTAAGGGTGGCCAAACCCAAACATGGCACCAGTGCTTGAAGTCACTAACTTCCAGTCTAAGCCATGTTGATAAATACAGACTACTTGGTTGGGATCCACGTGACTATTGTAACCAATGGTTGGAGACTGTGGGTGACGTGGCTCAGAATCGATCATGATGGCGTTGGTGTATACACTCTCTATCTTCCTTTAAACTGACTAACTATTGACTAGAAACTGAAAATACAGTTAAGAACTGAATAGAACAAATGTGTAACATGATATATTTAATCACTAACTTGTACACCACCCAATTGACTATTGCTAGAATATACTTCACGGCCAAGAAGTTTATTAAGAGCCATTGCACCAGTTAATATAATATGTGAATTATTCACCTGTAATTTAGAAGAAACAATAAAATCAGAATTGAGGAATATTAAAACACACACACACACAACTGAAAAACCAATTCTCAAAATCTGTAAATAGAACTACTTACTTGAATAACTCGTTGACCAAGACGTGTTAAATAAGCTCCAATACCGATAGCACGATTTGTAACAATTGTAATAGTAAATATATCATCATACGCTGCAGATGTTTCACCAGCAATCATTGCTGAACCACGAAGATTTTCCGCAGACATATCATATTCTTTGCCTACAATGTAATAAAATGAAATCAATCAATCAATCAAATTACCAAACACTTATGTGTAGTATTAAATTATACAATATAACTCACATAATTTTGTAGAACTGATGCTAATACAAATAATGTGTATGATTTCTATTGATAATTGATGACTGAAAGTGAAATAACTCACAGGGGGGGGGAGTTTATATTGAGATTTGATGGTTGGAATTTAGGATACTCAAAACAATGAGCTATCGTATTCACTAGATTACACATGATGACATGCACATATCAGTAAAATCAAGGTTCTATTCAAAACAATAAAAAGTACCAACTATAAAGGATCTATCCTATAGGAAAAATTACATCATCAAAGCACTCAAAATTCAAATGAAGAGAAAATTAATTTATTAAAAAGAAATTCGAACGAATCACTACTGAGCAAGATTTGATTCGATAACTTATGAAATATCAAGTAATCTGAACGACCTATGTAATCACTATCTTGATTTTCTAACATGATTCTATAAAAAAGATCATAAGGTTACGAGGTAAACAATGATGAAATTATGGTTTTCCTTGAAATCTTCATTATAATGACTACAGTTGAAGTGAAATTTTATGAAATGGTACATAAACTACGAGAAATCATTTAGCGAATCTGGGATCGACTGGATAATGGAGAATAGTTATAGTTTGAGTGAATAATTTACATGATTTTTCATTCACTAAGGTTCATGGTATAACTAAGAGACTTTCAGTGTTTTTCTGGATAACACTGATGTCTACTTCCAGTAGATAAAATTACGGATACAAATCTGGCGAGACTCTAATTTAGGGACGACCTTTGAACGAATCTTAAATGACCTTGACAATTATTAGCCAATCAGAAGACAGTTAGTATAAAGTGAAAATATATTATAAGTAATGAATTGCAGTGGATATCCTTCTTTTACATGATTTAAAAACTTGGTAAGGTTTGATAAATGTTTAGAGGCTCTGAATTCAGAATCCATACGGTATAGAAACTCGTCCATAGGGTTAGTGGTTAGGGTTGTAGCCTAGGGTTAGGGTGCTAACATGCGAACAGTTTACAACGGATTTTAGAGAAGAGGTGTTTATTGAGAGGCTACAACCCCAACCCTAACCCTAACGAAAAATTACATCATCAAAGTACTCAAAATTCAAATGAAGAGAAAATTAATTTATTAAAAAGAAATTCGAACGAATCACTACTGAGCAAGATTTGATTCGATAACTTATGAAATATCAAGTAATCTGAACGACCTATGTAATCACTATCTTGATTTTCTAACATGATTCTATAAAAAAGATCATAAGGTTACGAGGTAAACAATGATGAAATTATGGTTTTCCTTGAAATCTTCATTATAATGACTACAGTTGAAGTGAAATTTTATGAAATGGTACATAAACTACGAGAAATCATTTAGCGAATCTGGGATCGACTGGATAATGGAGAATAGTTATAGTTTGAGTGAATAATTTACAGGATTTTTCATTCACTAAGGTTCATGGTATAACTAAGAGACGTTCAGTGTTTTTTTTGGATAACACTGATGTCGACTTTCAGTAGATAAAATTACGGATACAAATTTATTAGGGAAAATATCGGAAATTTTAGATGACTTCTAAGAACAGTAAGGAATTTCAGGTCAATAGTGCACTTAAGATGAAGATCGATATAGCTTTAATCAATAACATATGGTAGAAACTAAGTGGATAAAACAATTCATGAGGATGCGAAGGCTTATAAATACAGGAAAAGTATGATGACTCTTTGAAATGAAGTTTCATAACAAAGATGAAGCAATCGAGAATGAGAAAATGAATTGAACATCATAGCACATATGTAAAAACAACTGATTATAGATCGACTATATTAAAAATAATTCAACATTGAAAGGCATCATAAACTATTTATAAAACATTTAATTGTTAAGATGAAACAACCGTATGTTGGTGAGACTGTAATTTATGGACGATTTTCGAGAGATGTTAAGTGACTTTGAGAGTGTCTACCTACTTACTAGGGCTAAGTGAGGGTTATAAAGCAGTTTGAATCATAAGGATTATGATTAATAGTTGATGGTTTTGGTTAGGAATTAGATTTAGGGTTATCATCTCAAACTGATATCAGCTATAATACCAGGATTCTATTTATCCAGATGGATGAATGAATTTTGAGCCAAAATCTCAAACCTGTTATTGTAAATCTATCTGATTGGTTCGTCCATAAATTATAGTCTCGCCCGTATATGGACTACTGTAGAGAAATGCCGATGAATAACTCGGAAGAATTACGAGACGAGTTAATATTTCGTTGTAATTTATGTTGTTGTGTATCAAATCTATTAAAAATGTTTTATTGGCGGGACGACCTTTGAACGAACCTTAAATGACCTTGACAATTATTAGTCAATCAGAAGACAGTTAGTATAAAGTGAAAATATGTTATATGAAAGTAATGAATTACAGTGGGTATTCTTCTTTTCCATGATTTAAAAACTTGTTAAGGTTTGATAAAGGCTCAGAAGTTCTGAATTCATAATGCATACGGTATAGAAACTCGTCCATAGGGTTAGGCTTAGGGTTAAGGTTAGGTTAGGGTGCTAACATGCGATCGGTTTACAAGGGATTTTAGAGAAGAGGTGTTTATTGAGAGGCTACAACGCTGATCATAACCTAAACCCTGACCCTAACCATATCCCTTACACTAACCCTACCCTAACTTAACCTAACCCTAACCCTGACCCTAACCGTATCCCTTAACCTAACCCTAACCCTATGGACGAGTTTCTATACCGTATGCATTATGAATTCAGAACTTCTGAACCTTAATCAAACCTTAACAAGTTTTTAAATCATGGAAAAGAAGAATATCCGCTGTAATTCATTACTTTCTTATAATATATTTTTACTTTATACTGTCTTCTGATTGGTTAATAATTGAAATTGCTCAAACGCTTCTGATTGGCTCGTCCCTAAATTAGAGTCTCGCCGTTTTATTTCCCAAACTGCTAATGTGGCGAATTATGTTATTGAATAATGCCATTGGATGATAAGATCCCAATTGAAAATTTCAGAAGCTTTGAAAAGTGTGTCACAATACTAATATAACAACTATTCTACAACCGATTTCGATTATGGTTAATTCTGGTTAAGCCCCTTTTATTAACTTACTTAAGAGACAGTGTTATTAGAACAGTAACAATTCGTGTATTTCATTGTACCGTTACGACTACTAGATCACATAACACAACCTAATTAAAATGTTAATTATCTTAGTTGTTGCAAAATCATTCATTCTCCTCCACATGTATATATGTACTCAAATTCTAGTTTTAACGTTTGCTTTGCCTTTCTGAGCCCTTATATGATCTGACTATAAATTTGCCTATGTATTAGTTCGTATATACATATTTGCCTCTCTGCTTCAAGTTCACTTGATGTGTCTTACAGCTTTATAATCTGTGCTATCTGCTGATAAACTGTAGTTGCGGCTTTTCATTGCTTTCATTGATTTCACACACCGCCTTTAAAATTTAGACAATAACGGTTACAAGGGTGATTGAATAATGAAGCAAAGCAACAACCCTGTAAAGCGATTTACTCTAAAATATTGATCAAGTTATTTATGATCACATAAAAGTTCTCAAACAAAGATGATACGGTGCTGTATGGACGAGCATCTTAAATGAGTTTTTAAAAAAAATTAGTTTCGAAAAGTTTTTACTAGTAACATAAAAACAATATATACATGTTGATTGGAAATTCTATCATTTTCTACCATAAATCATTCATGTATAATTATTGTTTTCTTAATCACTACTAACTTTTTCCTGGTGATCTAGTGGATCATGAAGACGACAATGTCTGAGGGGAAGCATGGGATACAGTGGACAGCTAGGATGCAGCTACACGACCTAGACTTCGCAGATGATCTGATTCTTATATCGCACACGCAACAACAAATGTAAGACAAGACGTCTAGTGTAGCAGCAGCCTCAGGAACAGTACGTCTCAACATACACAAAGGGAAAAGCAAGATTCTCCGATACAACACACCATACAACAGTCGAATACACTTAACAAAGAAGATTTGGAAGATGTGGAAACGTTTACATATTTGGGCAGTATTATTGATGAACATGTTGGATCTGATGCAGATGTGAAGGCGCGGATCGGAAAAGCAAGAGCAGCATATTTACAACTGAAGAACATCTGGAACTCAAAACAACTGTCAACCAACACCAAGGTCAGGATTTTCAATACAAATGTCAACAGTTCTACTGTATGGGGCAGAAACTTGGAGAACTACGAAAGCCATCATCCAGAAAATACAGGTGTTTATTAACAATTGTCTACGCAAAATACTTTGGATCCGTTGGCCAGACACTATTAGCAACAACCTACTATGGGAGAGAAAAAACCAGATCCCAATAGAGGAAGAAATCAGAAAGAAGCGCTGGAAGTGGATAGGACACATATTGAGGAAAGTACTCAACTGCATTACAAGGCAAGCCCTCACATGGAATCCTCAAGGCCAAAGGAAAAGAGGAAGATCAGAGAACAAATTACGCCAAGAAATGGAGACAGATATGAGAAAGATGAACAAGAATTGGACAGAACTGTAGAGCAAGGCGAAGGACAAAATAGGTTAGAGAATGCTTGTCGGCCGCCTATGCTCCATTAGGAATCACAAGCGGAAGTAAGTAAGTAAGTAAATAAATGAAGTAATCACTCGTAAACAAGGTCAAGCATTTTTAAGGGATACAGCTAAATGAAGAAATAAAAAACAAACAAACAAACAAACATCCATTCTATATAACTTACCAATTATATCGATAATTTTAAAACGTATCTCTCCATTTTCTTCAATTTTTTCACAATTCACAGATTCATCATATTTAAAACGATAATAATCATCGGGTGTTAAATATAAATATTTGTAACCCTTTTTTTTTGTTTTAAGTAGGAAAGTGTTGACAACAAGAAATGAGATTAAAAAGAAAGGGTTATAAGTATATATTTACTATAAATAATAATAAACATTTTAAGCAATGGTGGAATCCAAGATGCATGTTTCGTCCTATTTAGGACTCTTCAGCTGAATGTACCTGCATCTTAGAGATGATGTTCACAGTTAATCAATTGGAAAATGATATTAAGATGGCAATAGTTTTAATACATAATAAAATAATTGAATATGAACTATTAGTCTAAATATGTTTTAATCAACTAATAAGTTTGAATATGCCTTCAACAAATAGTTTGTTGAATAGAACAACAATAATGTATATCAGAAAGAGGTTTTTGTGGATCTTATAGTAATTTCAATAGTTGAGATCATGAAGACAGTGGTGGATGTATCGTTTGATTTCGTGGATTAGTTGAAGTTAGAGACATTAACATCGTTGGATACCGGCCGACTCAGTAGTCTAGAGGTTAAGCGTTCACTCACGAGACTAATAGGTACTGAGTTCGAATCTTGCGAAGCTCCTGAGTAGTCCGACAATAGGATGAAACGGTCATCCAGTGCTTTTAGGTTTTCCATGGTGGTCTAGTTTCAATTGACTCATGAATTCAACTATTGAAAAGTGTGTTTATCCATCTATTCTCATTTCATGCATGATTTGATACAGTTAATTTGTTTCTATCAATCAGATTAACTAGTATTATCCCTGAACATAGCAAACAGTTATATATCTATTCAATGACATTTTCCATATGAAATCTGAATACACTCTTATATATAGCCTCTGCTTACTATAACTTCAGCATATCTCACACTGAATGATTCATTCACATTAACGTGTTTAATATTCAATACCCTAATATGACTGAACAATCGTTTAGTATATAGTTGTTTTATAAAGCTTATTTACATTCTAGATGTGATTATTTTCCTGACGAAGCTCAGATTAGAGTGCCAAGTGAAACGTTGAAGCTGTTTCTAATTTCAATCTCTGGGATGCTAACGAAAATGATTTCACGTGTAGTAATACAATGATGTTCGACAAAAGATTGAAAAGAAGGTTGACAACAAGTAAAGTACACTTAGAGATGGGGAATTATTGAAATTGTTTGGAATAATTCTCAAGTATGACCAAAGATGGTTGTTTTGTGTAAAACAGATAGTTAACTATTTTTGTTATTCAGTATCCATTTGAGTAATACGAAGTAACAGTATTCATAGTCATCATGTAAGAATACATTATTCAAAGCTTCGATCTGAGTACAAACACACACACACACACAAAGATATTCCTTTACAGGAAGCTGTGGTAAACGCTGTTTTATACAATAAACAAAAGAACAAAATCATTTCATTCAATAAAATATGGTAATGAAAACTTTTACATAGGCCATAAGAACAACTATGAATTGAATGATCGAGATCTTAATGTAATAACAAACCTTTTCAGGATGTTCAGTATCAATCCAAGCAATATTGAATACACTTTTAATATCTTCAGCAATTTTTATTCGTGCACCAGTATTCGATGCTAAGTAAATACGTGGAATACCAAAATGTCGAGCTAGTTGACTAGCACGATGAAATGTTAAATCTTCTGCAGGACCAAATGATCCAGCTTTAACTGTTGCATCATTTGCAATAACAATAATTGGACGACCAGATGGAGTTTCTGGTGTACGTAATACCATATACCAGACAACCATTCCAATCTATAATAAAATGAAAACAATTAATCACACTTTTTAAAGAAAACACACAAAAAAACAACAACTGAACAATAATAAATATCACTGGATCCCCAAATGTAAATATAGCTTAACTTCCTACAAAATCAATAAAGATGAAACATTCCAAAAGTAATTACATAATAGATGCCAACTAACAAGTATGAATAGTAATTTCAATGGTTAAGATCATGAGCCAGTTGAAGCTAGAGGGCGAGGTCGTGGATGCGCACTGCTGAGGAGTCCCACAATAGGAAGAAACGGCCGTCCAGTGCTTCCAGCGTTTTCCATGGTGGTTTAGCTTCAATTGACTCATGATCTTAACCATTGAAATTACTATAATATCCACAAAACCCATCTGATATTAATCAACATATGCTCACTAGTGACTGGCTTCAAGAGGTATATCCAGGAGTTCTAGTGAGAAGTAGTAACCAGTGGAGTTCAACCAGGTCTGTTGTGAGATAGTAACTCACTGAAGACAATGGTGGATGTGTCGCCCAATTTCGTGGATTACTTGAAGTTAGACATTAACACCGTTGGATGCCGGCCGGCTCAGTGATCTAGTGGTTAAGTGCTCGCGCGCGAAACCAGTAGATCCTGGGTTCGAACCTCGCAAGGGGGCGAGGTCGTGTGTTTACCAATTTAATGGTGTGTGTAGTTACAGATACATAGGGAGGAGCCATCGTGATCTCAAAATTAGGGTGTGTGAACATGCATCAAAGTGGTCGCACAAACAAATAAAATCAAGTGATCCAATAAGAGTAGAGGATAAAAATCCATCATCCTTGTAGAACTATGGTCTACTATGATATAAGTACTGCTCTAATAATAGACCTAATCCTAAAATTGTAGATTTGTCATGATATAACTGCCTAATCTATAAGATCTTACATCGAAGTCACATCATCGTCTACACCAACTCACTGTATCGTAACAATTACCAATACATGATGGAGAACAAGCTTAGGTTAGAGAAAGAATAATATATTTAATATGAATAAAAGACATAAAGTAATATTCCGCAGGGACCACGCCTGCATGGCCGAGCCATGCCATTCGATCAACTCCAATTAATTCAACTCCTTATTCCCGCCTTCTCCAGTGTTAGGTATTTCTCCGCGTTAAATATTGAATATCTATTTTCCGAGTTGTCTCGTGTTCAGCATTGGGGATTGTGTGGTTATGGTCCAGTGCCACTATATCCTCTATTGCTAAACACATAATTGAAACAGGTCATAAGATTGATCTTAACTCGACTTTTGTGGTGTTGTACAAGTGTCAAAGGATGTATACTAAGGGTTTATTGAAGCCTTAACTATACGAAATTTCAAGCCCCCTTTGTGTATTCAAAAACAGTTTGTTCTTACCTTAAACCCACCCTGGTAATATTGACTTATTATCCAGAGTGATTAGGTTTCAAATTGTGTTCACATGATTATTATTACTCTTATTATTATCCTTATCTCTTCTTACCCCATTTCCAGTCTAGTTGACCTTTTATTTTTAACATATAAATGTTCATAACACGTATATGTGTGATCAGATTGTTCGAAATGTACTGCGCTAATATATCACATTGTTCTGATAATCTTCGTCTTCTTATTACATGGTTTACATTATCGATATTTTTAACACGACCAACTAGTTTGTTAACTTACTACGGTCATTTGGAATATATTTAAATGATTAACCGATCCACCTCAGTCATTTATGAAGTATCCGTTAATGTAATCGTCGATTTACAGGACAAGTGTTAATATTTGACTGCCAAAAATAAAGTAATTTGGATAAAGTTTGAATGACAGGTTTGGGATTTTAGCGAGAAATTCACTCAATCATTTAACTAAATAAATTCATGGCATTGTAGCTGATGAAAACCCTTAAATCTAATTCCTAACCTTAATCATCAAATGTAAATCGTAATTGTAATTCCTTACATTCGTTTATAACCTTCATCTCTCAAGATTAGTTTAGCGTCATTCAAAGGTTGTTCATACGTGATAGACTCATTATGTAATTAAGTATTTTCTATTGATTGACAATCATTAATACAGGAGAATAGAAATATGAATGAAAAAAAGAAAAAAACTGAGGCAATAAAGAATATAATCAGAAGGGGTTTGTGGAGATTTTTAGAAATTTCACTAGCTGAAATCATGAGTCAATTAAAGCTAGATCACCATGGAAAACCCTGGAAGCACTAGACGGCCGTTTCGTCCTATTGTGGGACTCCTCAGTGACAGTGCGCATCCACGACCTCGCCCCTTGCGAGATACGTACCCAGGACCAGTGCTTCTAGGTTTTCCATAGTGATCTAGCTTCAATTGATTCATGATTTCAACCAATGATAAAGAATATAAAAATGATTAATATCAAAATAGAGTTCACTTACTTCATTTGTACCTAAAGTATTTGTATTTGGTTGTAAATTACCATGTTTATCTAATGATAATTCAGTACATGTAATTATTAAATTCTCTGGTATATTTAAAGGGATTAAATTATGAAATTTTGATAAAGCATTATTATTATTATTAGTTAAGTAGGATATTGGTTTATCTAATGAATCATTTATAATATGATTATGATGTTTTTGATTTCTATAAGGACAATAACTTTGCCATACACCAGTTAAAGCTTGAGCTAATAATGCAGGATAATCATAAACATAAGTGGTGTTAAATTTTCTGGCCTGTAACATAAAGAAAAAAACACAAAAAACTTTCGTTATCAATGGTGTTAGGTTTGAAGCTGTCACGAATTCATTTAATCGGCGAACGAGAAACAAGACTCGGTGATCAAAGACCAGGAAGCTAGCTAGTTGATGCGTTCCAGCCCCGCTAACTAGAGGGAGAAGTACAAGCTTGGAATGGGATGTATATTCTGCAAAACAATCAGGAACGAGCGATAACAACAAACACAATTCAAAACGTATATATATACAGTACAAAACCGTCCTTGGGAAGAGTTACCAAATAGCATACTAAAAGACGCAACGAACCAATAAGATATTTCCCAGTGGGAAATACGACATGAAGGTGACAAGAGCGCCTTTGGAGCGAAAACAAAGAAATTCCAATTTTCTAAATAAAATTACAAAATTAGGTCCTTTGTCAAGTGAGTTCTGGGGATCTAACGTCCCTAACAAATGGTGAATATTCTTTAAGAAAACCAAACAAACAAATTGAAAAAAACACATTCACTTTGCACCAATTAAGTTGTATCTAAAATGGTAATTCCACAATTCACTTTGTTTATTTAAACACATAAACAAGGAATCATCAAACAGATATGCATCACATAAATCATTCGATTTATATGAGGGCTGGGATACTGCCCGGGTGCTCGAATCGAAGCAGGTGGTTTTATTAGGGGACTATAACCTGAGCTTTCGACTTAAAGGTCTGATCCACAAGGCAGTGGAGCAACGTAAGGAAATGCAGTCTCGTTGTAGCCGGTCACCAACAAATAGTTCATACGCCATTTGGTCCTAAAGGGTCCCGGAGCCCATGCACACAATTGCTTTGGAATCAAGGTTTTCCAACTCCCCTAGGTGGACCCTCCATATCTATTAACCAGATTAAAGCACCGGACATTCGCTTTTCGTTCTCTCAATTTCGTAAAGAATAATAATGCCGCGAAAAGGCAGTTACTAGGACTTCCCTGACAGTGGTTGTATGCATGTGGCTATGTGAGAGCATTTGGAGAGGAAGAGCCAACCCTCCCCACCCTCGACCGTATCAGGGCATTTGAAGACCGCAAATTACTTAGACTATAATCAAGATTAAGATGATACTTTCAACTGTAACCTTAATTTTAACATAATGATCTGATTGGATTATCATTTTAAAATAACTGACATATATCAACTAAAACTTCTATGAGAGTTGTGCTCTCTAAATTAAACGGTTGGTTCAACAGATTTCTTAATCGTCCTGGACGACTGCAGATTGATTGAAATACATATATATTTCTTGAAATTATCTAACATTTTTTAGAAGTCTCTTAATTTAAAACACTCACAAATTCAAGTAACGTCACTGATCATTCCTAACGCATATCGCGCAGAACCTGATTAGGTTAGTTCACATATTTACGTATAAGGTTGATTTCTAAAGTTAACCATTTGGTAGCTCTTACATTTTTTGTCAGTTCACTCCTACGTGAGTATTCATCAAGGTAGATGAGAAGAGGTCACGATATCACACAGAAAGAATTACATACATCATCAACATAAATATATGTATTATTTAAATGAAGAGATCTATGATTAAATGTAGGTGAATTATGCATAATACCCCATAAATTCAATAGTCATATTCTACAATGACCAAAAATATAAAACTGAAGTTGAAATGAATAATGATAATTACCTGAAAACGTTTAACTTCAAAAAAATCTTTATTCTCATGTACTGTAACAGCTGGATGTCCATTTAATTTACCATTCGGTGGACTTATCGATTGTAGAATATAAATACCAGTTATTGGATCTAATATTTCACGATAAACATCTAATCCTAAATCATAACCATGTTCATCACGAAGCATAACACGAATTGGTACAATAGGATCAGATGCATGAAATCGTATATGTAATTTTAATTCTGCCTATAAGAATTAAATCAGAAGTATATACATTGAATTAATGTGCTACCTATTAGATGAATGTAAATCAATATTCTGACTTCATAGAGTTTGATTACTTGATTGTGACAGGAACGAACCTTAATTATTATATAGATACTCTTCTGATATTTGGATGCAATATGAAATGGTTATACGTACAGTGAATATTTCGATTAAGACAGTTGATATAGTTGACATCATTGTTCTAAGTCACACAAAGATTCCAATGCACAATTGAATGATAATATCTCATTTGACTTGATAGATTAGATTATGTAAGAAAAACATATATGTATGCTTGTTCATTATCGATTGGTGTTGACATATTTTGATCCTTTATAGAACATAAGTAGTCAAGGTTTTCAAACTATGTATACAAAGATAATCACTCCGTCATATATGTATAAATCGAAGCAGAGTCCGGTAAACTATTGTTATCTGTTGTATCAATTGATGAGCACATTAGCAATGGTGAAGTTTACTGAGACATTATAAGTCACATTCCATACGAACTCCAAAAACTAAAACTAAAACTTATTAGAATGAATGACTGAATAACACCGTTGGATACCGGCTCAGTGGTCTAGTAGTTGAGTGATCGCGCGCGAAACCAGTAGATCCTGGGTTCGAATCTCGCAGGGGGCAAGGACGTAGATGCGCACGGCTAAGGAGTTCCACAGTAGGACGAAACAGCCGTCTAGTGCTCCCAGGTTTTCCATGGTGATCTAGCTTCAACTGACTCATGAACTTAACCATTGAAATTACTATAATATCCACAAAACCATTCGGAATAAAGAAACTTTATTATGGAAAATCCACAATGTAACATCAAGATAACTAATCACTAGTTAATGGTTCCAATAAATTATTTTACATAAATAAACGGTAAATATTAGTAATACTGTATTAATCATAAATTTACCTACTTGAGATACACGTAAACGTAGAAAACGTCGAGCATAACGCATTACAACTTTTCTAATTGTTGACTTTAATCTATTAATATCTTCTAAGAGTAATACAGGAACAAAATTTAAAAATATATGATTTCCCATTGTTCGACTAGCATCAGGATGTCCTGAGGCTAAATCTAAAGCATCCATTGCTTCTAAAAGAATTTGTTCAGCTTCTGATTGAAGATATTCAAATGAAGCTTCACGTGAAACTAAATCAGCATGACGAATAATACAACGAACAAAGAAACGATAATCTACTACATCTTTTCTTCCATTTATCTATGATATAAATTCAAAGAGAAGAGAAATGATTAAATGTTAGTGTTTTATGTTTTTCATGATATCTCGACTGAAAGTACTCGATAGTCAGTTAGTACGTCAGCTAAAACGTAGGACCAGGCACAGATGGGCATCAGACCATGTTTTCATACCTCATTAGCACAACAAGATGAACATCGAATACATAGAAGTAGTCAGTTCAATAGTGGTAGTGATATATAAAAGAAAGATATGAAGTGATTTTAATCTCATAGTTTTTAGGGAAGACAGAGAGTATATAAACCTACTCCATTCTGATCGATTCTGAGCCATGTCATTAACAGTCTCCAACCATTTATTACGATAGTCACGTGGACCACAATCAAGTAGTCTGCATCTACCAACATGGCTCACACTAGAAGTTAGTTACTTCAAGCACTGGTGCCATGTTTTGGTTTGGCCACCCCTAACTTTCTTCCAACCATCTCCAACACCGGTTAGTATTGCACATCGTGGTAATCGATGTTCAGGCATACGTAACACGTGGTCCAACCACGTAAGTCGATGAAGATTCACGACCTCATGAACTGATTTACCATCATTCCCTACTACCCTGCGTCTAACTTTACTATTACTTACCCGATGATCCCAGAAGATGCCAGCAAAATTTCTAAGGCATCTGTGGTTAAATACTAGTGGCTTTCGACTATATTCAACTCTTAATGGCAATGTTTCGCCGCCGTAAAGTAGAACAGGACGAACTGCTGCGCAGTATACTCGTCCCTTGATAGATAGACGGATATCTCGCCTTCGCCATAGGTGACGTAAGTTTGCAAAAGCCAAGGTTATAACTGTTGGGCGGATTCACTTTATGTTATGAATCTTGTTGCTTTTTCTTCATTTCAATGTTAACAAGGTGATGTAGTTGTTTAATTAATTAATTTATTTAAACACATAAACATTGGTACAAGGAGGCATCAAACAGATATGCGCCACATAAATCATTCCATTTGTTTACGGGCTGGGATACTGCCTGGATGCCGAAACAAAAACAGGTGCTTTTCTTAGGGGGCCAAACCCGGAGACTTCAACTTAAATGTCTAATCCACAAGGCAGCGGAGAAACGTCAAGATATGCAGTCACACGGTAGTCGATGACCAACAATAGGTTCAAACGCCATTTGGTCCTTCAGGATACTGGAGCCCATGTACGCCATTGGTTTAGAATCAAGGTTTCCAAGTCCCCTGTATGGATCCTTCATAATCACCAACCAGGTTAAAGCACCGGACATTCACTTTCCGTCCTCTGAATTTCGTAAAGAACAGTAATACCGCAAGAAGGCGATGAGTAGGACTTCCCTGGCAGTGGTTGTATGCAAGTAGCCATATGAGAGCATTTAGAGAGGGAGTGCTAACTCTCCTCACTCTCGACCGTACCAGGGCATTTGTGGGCTTAAGTGTAGTGTCAGGAGTGGTTAAAATCGAATAGGTGGAAATTTTTCAGTATCATACAATTAAAGTTGTACATTACTAAGATGCCAGCATCGAGTTGGTAAAACTTGTTGACTGTAGGATTCTATCACACTTATATAATTGTTTTAATGAAGATTACAGTAATAAAAGTACTAAATGAGAAGTTACAGTTACTAATGAGAAAAACATTTATATATATAGAAGAATTACCTTACTACAACCTAAATACAAATGCATTCGACGATTTAATGTTGGTAAATGTTCAAGATTATAATTTTTCATTCGATTTAATTCTAACTGAAAAGCTAAAGCTGGTTCTAAATGCCGATAAACACGATCTTCTCGATAATTATCACGTGCACGAAAAGTATACAATCGTGGGAATTCACGCTGAAATTTTTAAAAAAGAAAAAGAAATAAAAAAAAATTAATGATTTCAACAATTGAAATCATGAGTCAATTGAAGCTAGACCACCATGGAAAACCTGGAAACACTGAACGGCCGTTTCGTCCTATTGTGGGACTCCTCAGCAGTGCGCATCCACGACCCCGCCTCGCGGGATTCTAACTTAGGATCTATCAGTTTCGCGCCAGGCACTCAACGAACTAGACCACTGAGCCGACATCCAACGGTGTTAATGTCTAACTTCAACTAATCCACAACTAATCCCACAATAGGACGAAACGGCCGTCCAGTGCTTCCAGGTTTTCCATGGTGATCTAGCTTTAATTGACTCATGATCTCAACTGTTGAAATTACTACAATCTCCACGAAACCCCTTCTTATACAAATATTAATGAATGTAAAAACAGACAAGATATGAGATAAATTAGATCGATCTTATGAAAACTTTGATTATGATACTTTAGAATCGAAACAATAATCATAGTTTCCAGTCAGTCAGTCAGTCAGTTAGTTACAACGTAGGACCGGGTACAGATGGGCATCAGTCTATGTTTTCGTACCTCATTAGCACAACAAGATGAACATCGAATACATAGAAGTAGTCAATTCAATAGTGGTAGTGACATTTAAAAGAAAGATTGTATATAAGGATATAGTACAGTAAGAAAGAATTAGTTCGTAGAAAGAAAGATATGAAGCGATTTTAATCTCATAGTTTTTAGGGAAGACAGAGAGTGTATAAACCTACTCCATTGTGATCGATTCTGAGTCATGTCACTCACAGTCTCCAACTATTGGTTACGATAGTCACGTGTACCCCACCCAAGTAGTCTGTATCTATCAAAATGACTTCCAACTTTACAAACAGTAATAGAACAGTTGAAGTAGTAAGTAACATAAAACAGATACTATAAGACTTTAAAACTACTGAAACGGAATACAATGGTCTGCAAAATTCCAACTCTAATCGATATCCAGTATTGTGCAGAAACCATATAATACCATTGATGGTATCATTCTAGGATAGAAGCCAGAATAGAACTTTGAAATGAATGCTAAAACCACGTATGTTATGAAACAATACTTTACTGGCTATCATTACAATCTTAGAAATGGTTAACATAACTTGGAAAGGCTTTGTAGATAAGCATTCATTTATTAATCTTGTACAGTAAGAGCTATTAAATGAATACATGATTCCATTGACATAGCATAACTAAGCAATGATAGAAAAAACAATAGAGAAGCAACAAAACACTAACTCACTGTCTTAACAACTAAGAAAGTAATTCTTCGAATACCAGATGCTCGTAATTGATCAACATGACGAGAACAGAATTCTTCTAAATGTGTCACATCACTTGTTTCATTAATTACTGAATCAGGTAGTAGCAATGAGTTTTTAGTGAATCCAGAAGGTCTCGATTTTGACGACATTGATGTATCATCATTCGATGATGATAATATGCGAGTAGGTTGTATGTATCTATATGTAGATTGACGCAGAGCAATATTTAATATATGAATTGGTTCTCTTTGAGGATCAGTCTGAAGCAAAAAAAATTAGAAAAAAAAGATTATTATCAATTGAAATAGGCAGAATGAAAATGTGACGACGAACCACGGATGAACAAGAGGGAGTTGTAGGAGGCTCAGGAGCCGAAGATATTCCATCCAATCACTTTTTAGAAGAATGTTCTAGAATTCCTACGTGTGGCTTGCAGATTGGACAATACCAATAACCTCCAGTATGCGGATTGGAGGACTTTAATGATGACTTCGTTCTTACTAAAAAGTATAAATACTTGACAATTTTGTACTATAATTGACACTGTCTGGGAATAATATTCCTTTCGTTAGTCTTCTGTCTTCTCATTGCGACTTGGAAGGGTTCTGGCGTTCCAGTGCCCACGTTATATGCTGTATATCAATAACAACCTTCTGGATATAACAACTGGCGACGGGGATGGGATTCGAACTTACGCGGGGAAACCCCAATGGATTAGCAGTGTAGAAAGAAATTTGAGTTTGTTGCAATGTATCTATTACATTGCATTTGCTCTAATTCTTACACACACACACACGTAAAAAAGGAACTAACCTCGTAAAATACTGAAATATCAAGTCTGGCTTTATAAATATGATCAATAAGTAACAAGTATAAAGAGATAACTTGATTCAAAGGCCAATACTACATATCTAATCTCTATTGAAACAAATTAGATGAGCACTGCTGAGGAGTCCCACAATAGAACGAAACGACCATCCAGTGCTTCCAGGTTTTCAATAGTGGTCTAACATCAATCGGTTCATGATGTTAATCAAAAACTTAACAATCTCCACAACCCTTAAACTGATCATTTCAATAACATTGAGGAATAATATCTGACATATGAACAATAATCCCGTTTATAGTTTAAGATAGTAATCATAAAAAGGATGGTGAGATATGAAATGTGCTCCAACACCCACGCACGCACACACACACAAACACACAAAATGAGAATGATGTAATAATATTAACAGTATTAAATGATTTCTAAAATTGACTATAGCATAGGTGTGCTAAAAATGAAGCACATTTGTAATGTGTTAGAAACAAACAACAATTTCTTAGATTAGTGTTAAATCATTTCGGACATACATAGATACACACACACACACACACACTTAGAGTCAGAGAAATATTGGGCGAGATTATAATTTATGGACGAACCAATCAGATTTAAGATGACAAATCTTGAATTTTGGCGCGAAATTCATTCATTCATTTATTTATTTAGCTAAATATCATTTTGGCATTATAGATCTAATTCCTAACCTTTAACTATCCACTGTGAATCAGTTGATTCGAATAGCTCACACTGGTTTCTAACTGTTATTTAGTTGTTGTATATAGGTAGACACTTCAAAGGTCTTTTAAGCGTCACTCATAGGGTCGTCCACAAATGATAGTCTCATTAAATATTGTTTTTATTTCAGTAAAACACTGTTGTTGTTTTTTTAAAGAAAAGATTTTGTTATTGATTAATTGTAATGATATAAAACTAATGAAAATGAGTATTATGGTTATCATAAACAAGCGCCTCTTCAGGAGATGGATCATAATGAAGAACAAAGAACATATATGAAATCAACAATTCTATAACATAATATTCATGATAATTACATACTATTCGACCCATTATTAGTGGTTATCTTCTATGATCAAAGTGAATTTACTAAAAAGGTACACACATAAATCTCTTATGTATTATGCAAGCATTGATCATACATATTGTAAAACCAGAAATCTGCGAACACATCACACGATTACTTTCAACATAACAGTCTCAGTTACTTTGATATTACCGTCAGGGGCGGCCAAATCCAAACATGACATCAGTGCTTGAAGTCACTAACTTGTAGTCTTAGCCATGTAGGTAGATGCAGACTACTTGGTTGGGGTCCACGTGACTATCGTAACCAATAGTTGGAGACTGTGTGCGACATGGCTCAGAATCGATCGATCAGAATGGGGTATGTTTATACACTCTCTGTCTTCTCTTAAACTAAAAGATTAAAATCGCTTCATATCTTTCTTTCTACGAACTAATTCTTTCTTTTATATATTACTACCACTATTGAATTAGCTACTTCTATGTATTCGATGTTCATCTTGTTGTACTAATGCGGTATGGCAACTTGAACCGATGCCTATCTGTGCTTGGTCCTACATTGTAACTGACTGATATCACTGTTTATTCCTTCACATTTTACAATAAATTAAAATTAATTCAAACCATCTTAATTTATAACTTGAAAACCTTTCCTGTCAAAACTAATTTAATCATGGAAGATCATACCATACTCTTTCACCTTGTTATTTGTACTTTTCACCTTTAGTCTTTTATAAGTGATGACATATTTGAGCATAACCATGATAATCGATCCGTATAAACTGTAGTACACGATGAGTTCCATTTATGATACACGTGCATAGTAACAAAAAACTCCTTTATATAGAAAATAACTACAGAGTTTTTCAGAAGAAACTTTACCTTCGTGAAATATTTGTTGTATAGTAGTATTAGTATAAAGTGAATGTTCAATCTGACTATGAAGAGTTATGGTTCATTACTATGTGATGATAATTTCCATTTCTTTTTAAGGTCAAAGGCCTATGTATTCATGAAATCAAGTGATTTAATAAAGAAGATAACCAAGATTTCAATTTCAAATCATTATTAAACCATCACACAAAGAACCTAATCATCGGTTTATTTAGCTACTGTAGAATTTTACAATTCTATTATATGGGACTCCTCAGCAGTGCGCATCCACGATCCCGCACCCTGCGAGATTCGAACACCAAACCACCACATGATTTCAATGAGTGAAATTTCTAAAAAAAAAATCTCCACAAAACCCCTTCTGATCATTCAATTGTATATCATTTTACGAAGTTCGGATAATCGAATTTCAGTCCAATAGTCTATGTTATGTACACATTAAGTATAGGGTTCATAGAGCTGGAAAGTTCTACACATGAATGAATACAATTATTCGGTGACGTATACCTACTATGATAAGCGATGTTATTTAGCTGTTATTTTAGTGATTCGCATTTCCATAGATATCATTTTTCTGCACTATACAGTGTAGTATTTAATAGACGAGATATGACTGAAATTGGATTAAAAGAAACACTCTGATCAGAATGCAATCTATTGACCAAGTACTCATTTGCATATTCAGGTTTGCGTCAAATTTAATGAGGGGTTAATGATTCAACTGTAACGTCCAAAGGTACGGTGGGATGGAGTTCGAGACACATGTGGCAAAACAACGAGCATAAAAAATATTAGATAACAAGGAGAATCAAAGGTTACGAAAGATCTCACAAATTTTAAGAGCTTCCACTAATTAAACGTCAGGAATTCGAAGTAAACATTTATAAAACACTTTAGCACTTGTGTCAGGAAAATCCTGATCATGATGTATTAATTACCACAAAGCCATTAATGATGTTCTTCAATGTGAATTTCTGATGAAAAGTTATATCCAGTGAAGTTCAATCACTTGGTAGTAAGGAACTTATCCATCGATAACACAGGATTATGGTAGTATATAAATTGTACGTACATAAGAAATATGAACAACAGTATTCCCAATCGATCGATTTACATATAGTTTACTCATCGTGAGACCTGAAGATAATCAATTGAATCAATGATGCCATGTGGACTGTAAGGGATTAAAAAGCCGCTTTTCACTGAGCCTTGGGTTTCGAAGATTCATCCGAAGCTAATTCCAATTTATAAGTTGTAATCGTCACAGATCGTTTTTAGTTCAGATACTACTATAAACTAGAAAGTAAGAAATAGCTGCTTCATTTTATAATGGGACTCCCTAAAATTAATCATAACAGATGTCACCATGTATCGAAACTAGAACCTTCAGGTACATCGGTGAACACTTGATCATTAAAACCACTCGGCTGGCATACAACGATAGGATTCGAAATTTAATCAATTTGTGAAATAGTTTGACGACATCCAAAGTTATTGGTAACAACTGTTTCATTCCTCACATGTTTGAACATCATCAGTTACAACTTTCCACTAGAATTTCAAGAACATCTTCAAGTGATTAATAAACTGGTGGTTATAATTTCAGTTGATCAACATACGAAATCATCACAAAAGATAAGATGAATGAAATATGGCCAAGAAATAAAGCAAATAACATTAGTGTGCACACATGTATACAAAAATGGACTTATTAACACAGCAAAATGAAATAAAAAATGGTATTGTTAAACGTAACAGTTATGGTAGTAGTAGTAGTAGTAGCAGCAATAACAGTAGCAGTAGTAGCAGTAGTACTAAATTATCAAGCATAAATTACCTTGTTAAATCTATTGAAATACTGTTAATATAAAATGATGATCAATTATTCAGAATGTCCACAGAAGAATAACATGCAACAACATTACATAAGAAATGAATGATTTATATTACATGTAAGTATAGTAAACAAGATATATATATATATATATATATATATATATATATATATATATATATATATAATTGGAGGCGAAATCCGACTCACACGTTTGCGTCGTGTCTCCTGGATAGTGAGACGAATGACTTATGAACTAATGTGAGCGGTAACCCGGGTGGTGGAGATCGGGCTAACCACCCACTGTTACCGATACCCACCAATCGATTACCAAACCCACAGAGAAACATAGCATATATATATATATATATATATATATATATATATATATAATACATAATTGTTAAGAAAGTGAGATCACTTTACATATTATCTGATATCAATTACAAGGGTAGTATCTTAATGAATTCACGAAAGGATAAAGGTCTTAGAATCAATCTAGAATTCGAGCCAAACACGATCATTAAATATTTAGTGTATAGAAACTCTGATGGTTAAAGAAGAAGAAGAAGGAGAAGCGATACATTTGGTAAAAAGAAAGAGCTTAAAATATTGACTATTTATTTGAACTACAAACTTCTACAATATTCGACACTTGAACTCTAAAAGAAATTAAGAGGAAATATGAAAAAGGGCCTTATGTCCAGTGTATGTTTAAAAGTGAAAAGGGTGAGACTATAATTTATGGACGATTCTTGAGAGATGCTAAAGTGACCTTGAATGTTCACCTAACAATTAAGACTAAATGAGGGTTATGAAACTGTGTGAGGAACTAGAATTATGATTTAGAGTTGACGAATAAGTTTAGAAATTAGCGAAATGGATCGTTGAATGTCGCGCCAAAATCCAAAACCTGTTATCTTATATTTGATTGGTTCATCCAAAAATTATAGTCGCGCCATGAAAATAGAACTACTGGTAACCTTGAAGTTCAAGTAGATCCCAAAAAAGGAATACTAAAATTTATAATAAATTTGGTACTTACTACACCAGTTCAAGTAAAATAGTAATTAATTGGTTTCTAAATTTTAATAAAACTTATCTAGAGCGCTGATTGGATAGAAGTATATCTGAACAATTTACAGACGTTTCGATATAATTTATTCATTACATATGATAGAAAATTTGTTTGTTCTCGACGTTCCAGATTAACCTTTCAGGGAATCAGTTCTAAGCGTCTTAAAATAAAAGAGGAGTAGAGTAACGTACACCTCACTCATTGAACGATACAGAATACTACCAGATAGTTAACTAAGAAGGTCATTTCCTTCTATCTTTACTTCAACATTAAGTGCGACCATGAACCAGATACTTAAAATCACTTGAGAACGAGTGCTTCATCAGAGATTTAAAGAAGTACCAGAATATTTCATACCTGGACAGAACATACTGACTCTACAATTCGGGTTCACCACTGAACTCCTATTATGTATCACTAAGAAAACGAAGATTTCACCATGATTGTTGTCACATTAGCCTGACACGTCCCAATCAACATTGAACTAAACTGTAAAAACTATCCCCCTATTACTTTTAACCTCATGACAGTAAAATGCAACTATCTCCTTATTGTATCAAATGGATTACTGAAAAAAAGTTCAAGAATGAAAATCAGTTTGCCTTCTAAGTATACTTTACAATAAACACAGTCTTACAGAGAAGGCAAATCTGAATATTAAACTTTTGACATGTGTATATGATTAAAAGACACCATCGTTTAGAAAGCCATTGACATAAGTAATACATGCATTATTTATGTTATCAAGCTAAATTAATCCATTTATATGTAACAGAAAGTGTCCCATGTACTAATTTACAGCACTAAGAAAAAATCAAACATGTAGACCACATTCAAACTCATAGAATTAAACAATGAGATTTTTTACTATAGAGTATTGTGGAGATTGTTTCATATAAAGTTCCACATTATGAGACTGATTTTGTTTACATAGCCAGTAATGATGAAGAAGTAATGAATAGGTATTTCGTCCAAGTATAGAATCCTTCAATAATGCATATTTATATTTCCATCAGCGAAGAAAACTCAAAAACTTTAAACCACCGATTTAACATCCAATGTGTACACACTTCTAATTTCCAATTTTAACAATAGTAAATATAATGCGTTGATTATTATCCGTAAAATGTAATTTATTTATTTTTTTTATTTTAACACATAGATATTGGTACAAGGAGGCACCAAATACATATACGCCACACAAATCTCACTTGACATGTGTGAGAGCTGTGATACTCTCCAGGTGCCCGAACCGAAGCAGGCGGTTTCCTTAGGGAGCCCACACCAGGAACCTTCAACCTGAAGGTCTGATCCACAAAGCAGTGGAGCATCGTAAAGAGATGCAGTCCCATGGTAGTCGGTGACCAACGATTGGTTTATACGCCATTTGTTCCCTCAGGATAGTGGAGACCATGTGAACCATTGGTTTGGAATCACGGTTTTCCAACTCCCCTGGGTAGACTCTCCATATCCACCAACCCGGTTAAAGCACCGGACATTCGCTTTTCGTTCTTTCAATTTCGTAAACAACACTCCCACCACGAGAAGTCACTAATTAAGACTTCCCTGTTAGAGGCTATATACGCATGACCATGTGAGAGCATTTCGAGAGGGAGAGTGGACTCTTCTCACTCTCAGCCGTACCAGTACCTTTAGGAGCTTAAGATTGATAATGAAATCTAATTCAATTCAAATCTGAGATAGATTACAAAATAAAAGTACTTACTGTATGATAAGGTGGATCTTGAAAACTGATCAATTTTGTTTCATTATTTGAAATATTATTATTATGATGATGATGATTATTATTCTGTGATTTTTGATGAACAATATCAGAAGTGAATTGACGAGAATAATCAAATATTGGTTCAGATAATGAAGTATGAATACTTTTAGCTTCTTTACAAGCTGAATTGAATAATCTAATAAATTCATCGAATGATCTACAGAAATATGTAAAAGTGTAAATAATGATTTGTATTGTGTATAAAACATGATCTCATGTCAACATCTAATTGAAAATCTCATTTCAGTATACATAAACATTTATAACTTAATATCTAAACAGTATTGATCATAAAATAACATTATTTAGTCATCCGTCTATCAATAAAAGGATGAGTATACTAGGCGGCAGTTCGTTCTGTTTTAATTTACGGCAGCGAAACATGGCAATTAAGAGTAGAAGATACTCGTAAGCTATTAGTATTTGACCACAGATACCTTAGAAATATTTCTGGCGTCTGCTGGGATCACCGGGTAAGTTATAGTGAGGTTAGACTCAGGGTATTAGGGAATGATGGTAAATCAGTTCATGAGGTTGTGAATCTTCATCGACTTAGATGGTTGGGCCATGTGTTACGTATGCCTGAACACCGATTACCACGATGTGCAATGCTAACCGGTGTTGGGGATGGTTGGAAGAAAGTTAGGGGTGGCCAAACCAAAACGTGGCATCAGTGCTTGTAGCCGCTAACTTCTAGTCTGAGCCATGTTGGTAGATGCAGACTACTTGATTGTGGTCCACGTGACTATCGTAACCAATGGTTGGAGACTCTTGGTGACATGGCTCAGAATCGATGGATCACAATTGCGTCGGTGTATACACTCTCCGTCTTCCTTTAAACCATGAGATTAAAGTCGTTTCATATCTTTCTTTCTACGAACTAATTCTTTCTTCCTGTACTATATCCTTATTTGTAATCTTTGTTTTATATATCACTACCAACATTGAATTAACTAATTTCAAGAATTCGTTGTTCATCTTGTTGTGTTAATGAGATATGGCAACTTGGACCGATGCATATATGTGCCTGGTCCTACGTTGTAGCTGAATGACTGACTGATTTAGTCATTCATTATTACTACGAGTCAGTCAATCATAGTCAATGTAGATTTTGACGCAAAAACGCATGAATACACGTTTTCAAATAATAACAGCATAAGGAGATAAAAAAAGGCTGGAATGAACATCAAACGAATCATAATGTTATAGTGTTGTTGGCAAAAAGAAAGACTAACTAACAAGCCTAAGTTTCTAGAATAAAGACAGCAAAGGTATGAATGAAGAAAAATTGAAATTTAAGATCGTGAGGAAGATAAAGAGTGAATACGTCCGAACTATTTTGATAGATTTTGAAGAATTTGATGTAATATCTCTAGCCAATGATCGGATAAAACGGTCTCTAGTGATTCACGGTCTCTGGAGACTTTGACGAGGAATATTTTAGGACTACCCCACAACTTCTAAAACATCTATGATGGAAATACTGAATTCTGTTAATGTCCTCTGGTTTTATAGACCATCGTTTACAGGATAGATCAATACAGAGCGCATTGCCGCGAATTTCAGTTATCTTTTAGTTGGTAGACGGACCTCTTGCCGGAACTAAAATTGACGCAGTTTAATAAAAGCTAACTACGAAGATAGTAACTTTAGGAAGTACAAAATCAATTGTCATAATACAACTTCTCACAACAAAAGATGAAACAAATGAAAAACTCATTGTAAGCAATGATGGGATAGTGGCTAGCAGTGGAATCCTGGACGCGTGTTTCGTCCTATTCGGGACACGTCAGCTGGATGTACCTGCATCGAAGCATATGCACAGTATGCACATATGCCAAAAACAGACTGATTAATTGCAGTCTTAAACCTTAATGGGAAGATACAAACCAAACAATACCAAGTGAAATAAAAAACTCTGTTGAAAATAATTATGATTTACAAAAAGCAATGATTTCGAAATATTTTTCAGAATGAAACTAAATTTTCCGGATACATTTGTGTTTTTTCAATGGTTAAGATCATGAGTCAGTTGAAGCTAGACCACCATGGAAAACCTGGAAGCACTGAACGGCCGTTTCGTCCTATTGTGGGACTCCTCAGCAGTGCACATTCATGACCTCGCCCCCCGCGAGATTCAAACCCAGGATCTACTGGTTTCGCGCCCGAGCACTTAACCACTAGATCACTGAGCCGGCCGGCATCCAACGGTGTTAATGTCTAACTTCAACTAATCCACGAAATTGAGCGACACATTCACCATTGTCTTCAGAGAGTTACTACCTCACAACAGACCTGGTTGAACTCCACTGGTCACTACTTCTCACTAGAACTCCAGGATATACCTCGTGAAGCCAGTCACTAGTGAGCATATTTTTGATTAATATCAGATGGGTTTTTGTGGAGATTGTAGTAATTTCAATGGTTAAGATCATGAGTCAGTTGAAGCTAGACCACCATGGAAAACCTGGAAGCACTGGACGTATATACTTTTGTGTTTGTTGGAAAAGTACTTGAGATTATAAGCACTAATATTGATACAAATTAGTGAATTTACAACTCATATGCTACTTTTAGGCGACGAAATATCAACGACTACATTTTCAACAAGTAGTACAAAAATGTGTACTAAGAGGAGAAATCTTCTAGATGAATCCCGAAAATTTGTTGGTTCATTATTGATAGAAAAGATATCTTAACATTTAGAAAAGGATACATTAAGCTTTCATCCTGCAGACAGCATCAATTTTCCTAAGATTGTAAGTAGGTCTTATCGATCAGTCTAAACTCATGCGAAATGTATGTCCCAAGTGTCCTATTGATCCCCTTCAACAATCTCAATCTAATCTATAGAATACAACGTCAGACAGATTAGTTGCCACATTGTAATTTGATCGATAGAAATCAACCAGTACTAGAGGGTTGGAAATAACTCCACGTTCAGAGTTTCCAATTCACTATTATGAACTAACTAACAGAATGTAGTGGTAGTATTATCACTCAGATATGTTGTTTCTATTTCGAATGGCGGACATTTCTAAATCATTCTGAGTTATTATTAAATATATACTTTAAAAATACATCAAGCGAATGATTGATCACAGATAGAAAAAAAACAAAAACAAACAAATCTATCAACGTATAACTAAACATAGTTCTGGTTTAAGCTCCTGGATGGTAAGAGCTACGGCTTTAAGGAGTTTTTAAGAGTTGGTTACGAAGAAATCTGGTTAGATTTGAACGAATCATATAAACAACCTTAAAATCAAATTGTAGATCTATAGAATGGTTACAGTTGATTAGATGTTCAAGTATAGAACTTCGTATCCAACTCTTAAAACTAGCCGAAGCTCATACCATTCAGAAGCTTAAACCAGAACTATGCGTACAAAAGAAGTACGTCTTATCGTATAAACTAACACAACTTACTCTTCCAAATCACTTAAAGAATTGAATGCTGTCATACCACCCATACGTTCACCAGATAAAGGAGTAGTATCAATATCAATCATACTTTGAAAATTATTCATCATTGTTGATTTTTGATTCGTAATAGAGGTGGTATCTGATGAAGTAGTATAGTGTTGTGAATCAGAATTATTTACATTGAATAATGTTGAAGATATATGATAAGTTGGAATATTTTCAACTATTGGAGAATCAATTGAATGTTCTAAATTATGATTTCTTTGATAATCTGAAGGACGTCTATTATGAACACTTGAAGAACTGAAATAGTAAGAAATATTTTAAAAAAAAAAACATTACGTAATATTGAACATAGAAACATTAAAAAAAGAAAAAGTAATGGATACACTTAGATTTGCAGGTTTACAATGATGCATAGGTGGATTCACTACTTTTTGTGTTCTCCCAAACTCTAATTTTCTGAATTCTTCATGTCCGTTTGTTTTTTTCACTTTCCAAATTTATTTCACTGGATTATACTCCTTGAATAACATCTTCAAGCCCTAATATGTCCGATTACTGCTTATACTTTTACTACCTACATCACTACGGGATTGGAATTGACAATTGTATCTCTGTGCTAATGTAGTATGCCAACTCGAACTGATGTACGTAAGTACGTACGAAGTTCTACGTTGTTGCTAACTGACTGTCTAACTGAGGCTACCTATAAATAAATCATCTGGTGAAAAAAAAGCATCTAAATATGATCATCATACCGGTTAAGAATAACCTATCATTTTAGAAAATTATTAAGGTTGAAGCTAAACTAATATTTCATTGTAAAGGTTAACCGAATCATTTCATACACTAAGTTGAATCGTATAAATTCTAACATCCATTCTGGTATTATGTTCTTAGTCATCGTAAGGGATTCAATTATACCTCGTTAAATGGAAGAAATGTACGTTGTCGAGTACTTTACCTATAAATTTTAACAAATATAGATTGATCTAATCTAAAGAAATTCCTCATGTACTTACAGACTATCATAACTGAGGACTATTGGTTCCAACTTACAAGAATGTTTGGTCTAATAAATTTTTCATAAAAAGGATCGTATATTTACGAATGTTAAGAAGATATAAGAAACCCATCGTTTGTAAACAGATGTTTCTAAAAGTGGTGAACAACTTTTGATGATTAGTCTCATCGAATATTGTTTATTGAATTTCGCTAAGTTCAATACTTTATCGTAACGCGAAGTATGGCTTATGATACGAAAAATTAACCAGACTAGGAGATGTGTACAAAAAACTAATTGAGATGATTTAATTAACGAATTATAAGGATTTCTAGTGTTACAGAAGGTCGATGGAAAGATTTTTGATTGAGATCATGAACCGATTGATGTTAGACCACCATTGAAAACCTGGAAGCACTGGACGGCCGTTTCGTCCTGTTGCGGGACTCCTCAGCAGTGGACATCCACGATCCCGCTCGCGAGATTCGTACCCACGGTCTTCGGTCTCGCGCGCGAACGCTTAACCAACTGGACCACTGAGCCGGCATCCAATGGTGATAGTGTCTAACATCAATCAATTCGGGATCGTGGATACGCACTGCCGAGGAGTCCCACAATAGGACGAAACGGCCGTCCAGTGGTTCCAGGTTTCCAAAGGTGGTGGTCTAACATCAATCGGTTCATGATCTCAATCAAAAACTTAATAATCTCCACAACCCCTATACTAGCAATCAGGAGAGGTGCTGACACAGCTTCAGATCACCACCTGGTGATTGCCAAGATGAAACTAAAACTAAAAAGGCACTGGGCAATAGGACAAATAGCACTACTAAGGGTTAATACAGACTTCCTACGAGATACTAACAAACTCAGGGAGTTCAAGATAACTCTCAACGACAGGTTCCAAGCCTACTCAAAGAAGAAACTACAATGGAGGACAACTGGAAAAGGTTCGAAGAAGCATTACCTTCAACGTGTCAGGAGGTGCTGGGCCGAAATAGACATCATCATAAGGAATAGATCTCCCTGGGAGCCTTGGACAACATTCAAGAAGGGAGGGACAAAAAGACAGCAATTAACAACAGCTGAACAAGAACAAAAGAAGTCAAGGCACAAGCTGAATACACAGAAGCAAACTAGCAAGTGAAGAGGAGCAATAAAACCAACAGGCAGAAATACATAGAAGAACTATCAACGACAGTCGAAAAAATTTCAACAGAAGGAAATATGAAACAGCTACATAACACAACGAAGAAACTGTTAGGGAAATAAAGTAAACCAGAGAGACCGATCAAAGAAAAAGAAGGAAAGCCAATCGCTCAAATTCCAGATGGGTAGACTACTTTGAAAAACTCTTGAATCGACCAGCTTCACTGAACATTGGGACAGCACACACAGACCTCCCTTTAGATGTCACTACACGAACGATCGAAGAAATGAGGACGACCATCAAACAAATCAAGAGTGGAAAAGCAGCAGAACCTGACAATATACCAGCTGAAGCATAGAACTCAGACATATAAGTAACTGTAGGTATGTTCAGGAAGATTTTGGAGGAGGAACAAGAGCAGACAGACTGGAAGGAGGGATATCTCATCAAGATACCAAGAGATGTGAACAAATGTGAGAAGTCAGCTACAGTAGCATCACATTACTATTAGTACCAAAAAAAGCTTTTTCTTAAAAGAAATTTGTTGAACTGGATGAAGAATTCAGTAGGCGCCCAAATTCGAAATCAACAGACTGAATTCTGTAAGGATCGTTCATGCACAGACCCAATGGCGACATTATGCAGCATTGCTAAATAATGCTGAAAGTGAAAGACTCCTTTATAAGATGTAAATAAATGATCTATCATAGAAATAAATGACTATCTATCTCAAGTTAAAAAAAAATGTTTATTTTAATAGTTTGAAAATTCACTTACTTAGAAACAAATTCATTTGGTAACAAAAATCTGAATGTAAAGAATGAACTACCACAAGATAATTGAAAATGATGAACACCGGTTAATTCATATGCTGTATATGAACGTCTAATATAAACCTTGAATAAAAGAGAAAAATTTTAAGAAGTAATTAACTCTTCACTGAAATATATAAAAGTTAGTAATATGAAATTTAACAAATTTAAAACTTTAACATCTTTGGATATTTCTACTGGTACCACCTGTACTAATACTCAATGTAAGTAATGTTTGACTAACAATTGTAGTCAACGGCACTTTGACAGTGATAAGGTGGGTTCATGAAGAGAAAAACTTGATGGTTGATCGAAATCTTAAAGTATTCGAAGTTGATGATAATAAAACGATCATTTCTTGGTTTGATTTGGTTACATAGAGTAAGTTGCAAATTATTCATCACCATCATGGGATAGCGGAGATTTACCAAAACTATTATCTACTGAAATAAATGAACTTCTTCTAATTATCGGTAATTATTGACGAAAATCTCTAAATGTTAGATAAAGAGGACTTATATATTGTAATAATGGGACTACGTTTGATGAATAAGTGGGATTTTTAAACATTACTTAATGTTCAAGACAGAATGATAAACAAATATTTTTGAAACATTCTAAACTACTTAGTAGTAGTATAAATCTTTAAATAGACTTTTAGAGAGGACAGTCGTACATATCTATTACAATGCATACAAAAAAGAATAATCAATATCGACATTGAGAATATAGACTGGAATTCTATCACACTAAGAGATTTCATCATGTGACGAAGCCTTGAATTACTTCTTGAAGAGATATTAAAGCGTTAAAAATATATGAACCTCAAATGGACGAAATTCTAACTGAGAGGATTATAATGACTGTAATAATGACGTAGAATATTATTACTGTAAAAATATGCTATATCCTATATAGGAATAAAGTAAGAAAATTGAAGACTGATAACAAAAACTGCGAAAGATCAAGAAGTGTGCTGGAGAGTCAGCTGATTTGTTTTTGGCGTCGATAACGAATAGAAAATATGAAACGACATATCGACAATTACTTGGAAACAGTTTGATTGTTTAACAGCATGACACTAATCATAAAGTCACGAAACTTTCTTTTCTAAACTTTCGACAATTCCTTTACAATACGAAAGCTGTTGACAGCAAGAATAATTTGTAAATGTTCTATGTTGAATGGATGGAAATGGATAATCAAAATTTTATCGGTATGGGGATCTGTAGAGATTGTAGTATTTAAAAAGCTGAAATCATGAGTCAAGCTAAGCTAGATCACCACGGAAAACATGGAAGCCCTGGAAAGGCGTTTCGTCTTAGTATGGAACTCCTCAGTAGTGAGCACTCACAATCCCGCACGCGAGATTCGAACCCAGAAACTTCAGTCTCGCGCGCGAACGCTTTACCTCTATACAACTGAGCTGGGACCCAACGGTGTTAATGTCTAGCTTCGATCAATGCATGATTTTGAGCAACCCCGGACTCGAGTCTCACATACAGGAACGTGGATGCACATACCTGAGGAATTACATACTAAGATGTAACGGCAGTCCAGTCCAGTACTTTCGATTGTTCATTGGTGGTCTAACTTAGATCGATTCATGATTTAAATTATGAAAATCAAACTTTTTTCAAATGGTCACTCTAATTGAGTGATTATTAAGTTAACAACTTACAACTCTAGACATATTTTATGTCAAAGTCTATGCTTTAAAGTAGAAAAAAGTAGCCAGAATGGAGCTGAACATAAATGCACACCATTTCAAGAGAAAACATAAAGTACATATCAGAATGGGTTTTGTGGAGATTTTAGAAATCTCAATAGATGAAATCATGAGTCAATTGACGCTAGACCACCATGGAAAACCTCGAAGCACTGGACGGCCGTTTCATCCTAGCATACGACTCCTCAGCAATGCACATCCACGATCCATGGTGGTCTAGCTTCAATTCACTCATGATTTCAACCATTGAAATAAACTACTTAGTTCGAAATTATACTATAATTCAATCAAGTTTATGAGTTAATAATAAACAATAGAACAGTAAAATAAAGTGGATTAATTACATATCAACATTTTGAATTTTTGACTGATAATGTATACACTTTTTTTCCAATAAGCATTTTGATTCATGAATTAACATGGAAAAAAACGATCTAGTTATCTAAGTAATATGATTGTTAAACCGGAAACTGAAAAATAGTGAACCATTTCAGGTTGGTCAAAAATGTATATAAATGGTTATATTTGTATAAGATGCAATATAGATGTTCGCTTTCAATCTTTTGGTGATCTACTGAAGTTCATATGTCACTAAGTACCTAACTTTACAACCACCACTAAATGCGCTGGTATGGCCGAGGGTAGGGAGAATTAGCATTCCCTCTCCAAATGCCTTCACATGGCCACGTGTATACAATCACTGCCAAAGAAGTCCCACTAACTGCCTTCTCGTGACATTACTGTTGTTTACGAAATTAAGAGGACGAAAACTGAATGTCTGGTGCTTTAACCGTGTCGGTGAATATGTAGGATCCATATAGGGACACGTGTCGCATATGCACAATCACCGACTGCCTCCACGTGCGATGTTCAATGGTGTTGGAGTAGGTTGGAAGAAAGCTAGAGGCGGCCAGACCAAAACATGAAACAAGTCCATGAAGTCACTGACAAGTGGACTGAGTCGTATTGGTAGGTGTAGACTACATGGTTAAGGACCGTGAGATGATAGCAAGCGGTGGTTAGAGGCCCTGAATGACATGGCTCAAAATCGTTTGTAATGGCAAAGGTGCATTCACTCTTTGTGCACTCCCAAATTGTAATCTCTTGAATCCTCTTTGTCTCTTTTTTCTCTTCCCAAATTTATTTCACTGTATTATACTCCTTAAATAACATCTTGAAACCCTAATCTTTCTGATTACTGCTTATACTTTTACTACCTCTACCACAATGGGATTTGAATCGAGAACTGCATCTCTGTGTTAATGTGGTATGGCAACTCGAACTGATGTACGTACGTACGAAGTTCTACGTTGTTACTGACTGACTGACTGACATACATATTCACTCAAGGGAATTTCACAAGTTATTGTTACCATCTAGTTTGATATCGCGAAAACGTACGGGATATATTGAATACTCATAAAGTTTTGTCGAAAGACATATAGGAGCACTAATTTATTGACTTTATTATGCTTGTGATACACTGATCCAATAAAACCGGTCAAGTAATAGGTGAGAGATGCTGATGGGGTCAAGCCTTCGGTTAACATTTAATCTAACTTGCTAATGATATAGATATCCGCTATTAGTTAAAAATCTGACTCAATTCTCTGCAGAAAACAGATATACATTTATATCTGATTCAAGTCAACCGATAAAGACTTTTAACTTACTCTTGGTTTTCTCATTATAGTAGCATGTTGTGCTCACATATAGGAAGCGTATATATTAGCATCAGATTTGGACAACCTCCCGAATGCAATAGTTTGCAATGTAAAGTAATGCATTATAATAAAATATGTACTTCAATTTAGTCAGTCATAGACCATACGAATGCTTACATTATCATAATTACATTGATTCGTAAATGGTTTCGTACATCCATAAGTAGATTGGATCCAAATCGTTTCATATGTAGATAGTTTTTGTACAATAAACTGACATTCTGGATTTCTGTATTTCTTTACAGTTAGTTTTCAACGTGATTCCTATCAACTGGTAATTTCATTACAAAATAAATGCCCTGGTATGGTCGAGGGTGGGGAGAGTTAGCACTCCCTCTCGAAATGCCCTCACATGGCCACGTGTATACAATCACTGTCAAGGAAGTCCTACTGACTGCCTTCTCGCGACATTACTATTGTTTACGAAATTAAGAGGACAAAAAGTGAATGTCCGGTGCTTTAACCGTGTTGGTGAATATGTAGGATCCACCTATAGGAGTTGGAAAACTCTCATTCCAAACCAATGGTGCACATAGGCTGCAGTATCCTTAGGGAATAAATGAGATATGAAGATATTGTTGGTCACCGGCTACCATGGGACTGCATCTCCTTACGTTGCTCTACTGCCTTGTGGATCAGACCTTTAAGTCGAAGGCTCGGGGCGTGATCCCCTAAGAAAATTACCTGATTCGGTCTACATGATTATATAATCAAATGAACTTGAAATTATAATATGAAAGTATGTTTAAACACAGACAAGAATAGAACAATGAGAGATACAGACAAAAAAAGAACTACTAATTTTTACCTCTAATGCAGCACTTGCCACAGCATGATTTGGATGATAAAAAAAATCTGTTAAAATATCAAATATAACTGTTTCAGAATTAATCAATTGTAATAATAATTCCGGATGTACTTGTTGACCAAATGTATCCACTGCAGACAAGAAAATTGATTCAACCTAGAAGTAGATTGAAAAAAAAAACAAAACAAGACAGAGATCAGTTACATCTAACCGACAAACTTATACACGTCAATCATCATCATCATCATTTCTGAGATAACAATTATTACAAACATTTACACATCATTAAAAGAAAAAATCGACAAATTCACCAATCATACATAAAAAGTAGGTGTGTGGATGTGTCGCTCAATTTTGTGGATTAGTTGAAGTTGGACATGAACATTGTTGGATACCGGCTGGCTCAGTGATTTATTAGTTAAGCGCTGGCGCGTGAGATTGATAGATCCTGCCTTCGAATCTTACAAGGCGGGATCGTGGATGCGCATTACCACTGAGGAATCTCACAATAGAACGAAAGGGCCATCTAGTGCTTTCAGATTTTCCATGGTGGTCTAGCTTTAATTAAACCCTTCCGACATAAAGTTTATTATCATTTCAGATCATATTGTTATGTTAAAAATAGTTTCATTGAATATAACATACAAAAGTAATTCTAATTTTATGTGGCATTATCGATCAAGATTTTCTTTTGTTGTTGTTAATATTCATATATTGTGTACATTCCAAATATTTTGTCTACTATTGTCCAAACCTTAATAGAAATGTAAGTGCTTGTTCTACTCTCATAGTTGCTATGCTAGTGAGGTTTGGCAACTTGGACAGATGTATATATGTGCCAGGTCTTTCGTTGTAGCTGACTGACTGATTATGATATTTACAATATAATAATTAATAGTAAAATTTCTTCAAAGAAATTTTAAGAGGTTATTGCTAATTTGATTAAGCATAACGTATGGACAGATTAAGCTACGGAACCAACGAGAGCATTGTGTAATTGTTTTGCATTAGTTTAGGAGACTTAAATAGTGAGCATTTATGCTAAGGAGTAAAACTAGGTAATTTTGGCATTTTAGTGAACGTATTATTTAGTGATTGGTTAAGTCGTTGAAAATATCGGTGTTTCATTTTTACAGAGAGCAGATTTAAAACCTTATTGTCATTGGGATATTGTAAGGCATGTTGCCATTGCTAACATTAATAAGTATGACTGTCGTTTAAGCGGAATAGATTAACTTTGGCCTGTTCGTACTGTGCATAATCGATTCACGCGATCATTGATCAGGATAACTATACATGTGACGTGAATATGTATATGAATGGTGCGAACGGCCCTCCAGGATGCTTGGTACCTGTATGATTGCGCCACAGGATTGAGCTGTACTATTCGGATTTTAGCGTTAAAGCCGATATAGTATCTAGTTCTCCTGTGAAGTGGGATTGAACTGTACTGCTTGGATTATAAAGTTTAAGCCTGGGCGGTGTCTGGCTCTCCTGTTAAACAGCATTGTGCTATACTGATTCTCCTGAAAACCAATGTAAAATTACTTTGGCCCACAAGGGTACTTCCATTAAAGGAATAAGAAAGTATAAAAATATGTTTCAGTAAAACGGTAATTTAAAGACAAATGTATGAATTTATGTTTTAAATATTCCTAACACTAAATTATTCAACTATAATTTTAAATATTGATTCAATTGTCTTGTGGTGTGTGCTACTTATATTGACATAAGTAGTATATGATGTTAGTCGCGAACAGTAGGTCTGGCAGCAGAGAAACAAGAGGATCGAACAGTAAAGAATCGAAACAGAATGCAATTTGTATGAAAATGCAAGAACAATGAAGTCTGAGTCGTTAGGAGACGATTGATGGACATTTTGCAGATTATGTATTTACTTTATGATTGTTAGATTTTATTAACAAGTCCTGTAATTTTGTACTAAATACATTCGATTGTCCCCACCCGTGTTCTGTTCACTACAGTTACTTCTATGTATACAATAGTATCCCATTGCACAAGCAAGTGGCTATCAGAACTTAGTAGCTAAGTGGATAACGTAGTGGCGTTTGAAGCGAAAAGTACTGGGTTCGAGTGCCGGAGTGAGCATCGACTCTGAGATGACGAAGCGCACATCAAACTGGATTCCACTGCTAGCCGCTTTCGATCTTTGCATATAATACTTGTGAATTAAGGCTATATTGGGTCAATACGCACAGTATGCACATATGCCAATAATAAGAGACTAATGAATTGCAATCCTAAAGAGATCAATGATATGATTCAAACAATACAAGACCAGGTGAATTTGAAATATTACTTTATTCTTTTCACTTTTTTCTAACTTTATCTCAGTAAACTTTTGAAATTGTTGTTTCACAAAGGATGTTACAGTTTCATTAACTGTAGAATATGTACAGAGAAGGGGTTTTCATGAATATGATAGTAATTTAATAGTTGAATACATGAGTCGATTAAAGCTAGACCACTATGGAAAACCTGAAAGTACTGGACGGCCATTTCATCCTATTGTTGGATCTCAGCTCAATGGCCAAGAGGTTAAGGGTTCGCATGTGAGACTAACAGGTCCCGGGTTCGAATCTCCGGGAGTGGGATCGTGAATGTGTACTGCTAAGGAGACACATCCATTTAATTGAGCTGAATACTTCTATTCCTTATTTCTATGAATATTTTCTGTATATTTAGTACAAAATATGAATGAATCCAATATGAATTACTTTATTACTAATCAATAAATAAGAGATTGTAAAAAGGAATGTACATTAGCGGATATTCAGATATGATATTAATCAATTCCAGTCATCTTTTATATCTATTAAAAGAATGTATTCACAATGATAGTTTACTATGGTTATTTATGTATTCTCACACTTAGTTACTGTTAGTGTTTGTTTAAGCATAGTACAGTGATAACCAGAAAAAAAAAGAAAAGAAAAAGAAAAAAAAGAAAAAGGAATCTGGGCAATTCAAGATAGAAAACAAAGTGTATAACTCATTGAATCAACCTTAACTATTAGATTTATGAATAAAACATTTTGTATGTGTAACTAACTCAGTGATTATTTTTTTTGTATTTAATATAGAAAGAAAAAGAAAAAAAAAGAAGTAAAAAACATGATATAGATTATTGACCTAAAAGAACATTGAATGAACCATTGTATTGTATATATAAGGTAATAGACATGATAGTTGCTATATGATGATTAAAGAATTTCTCAGAAAATATGGTTGATTGGAATAAAAAAAAAGTTGAAGTGAATAGATATGAAAAAGAGATTAAATGAAATAGATTGATTCTAAATGGACATGTTCATTCTATTCAGTTGGGCCATATATATGTGTAACGTGAATATAAAGGTAATGATGAACAATGATCATTTCATTGTAATGACAATAGAACTATCCACATACACTGATCATTATATGATTAAATAGTCAATCTAATGAATCAAGATGAAGAGAGTATATTTTTAAAGTAGATTTGCTTAGTTTAGATCTAGAATAGTAACATCAACTATAGTAGGTGACCGGTTTAGAATAGTCATATAATTAGATATTAAGATCATGAACCGCTTGATGTTAGACAACTATTGAAAATCTGGAAGCACTGGACGGATTGGTTGAGGTTAGATATTAACACCGTTGGATACCGGCTCAGTGGTAGGTTGCTACCTTGACGTGGTGGTCAGGCTTGCCTATCCTGATGAAGCAAACGAGCTACACTGCCTGCAACAGTCGTTCCTCAACGTCCTACCATGTCAGAATGGTCGGTTGAAGAGCAGTAACACTAAAAGCAACAAACCCAAAGTCCGAAGGCGAAGTCGTACTGTTAACTGTACAGAGGTGTGACATCAGTAAGCTGTTTCCTAAAGACGACCAGTATGACAGCCATGCTGCCTTCCCACAAGGAGGGGTGGGGTTAGAAAAAGTCGACCCTAAAGATGTACACCTCTCCTTATCCCACTGATATCCGTCTCCGCCGGTAAGGTTTCAACAAGTACAGAGCTAACACAAAAATTACTCATAAAAACGTCGTGTGTGACCGACCTCAAGCAGTTGTCTCTTGGGCACTGCGGTCACTCTCTCAGGTCACTAAGACCACCTCTAATCCAATTTCCTTTCCAGGTACCTCCAGAAGAACCCTTCCACGGTGTGGGCAACCTGGAAATGATAATCGCCCTTATACCTCTAACAGCACTCAGGAAGAGCTTAAGCGTTCGCGCGCGAAACTGAAGGCCCTGGGTTCGAATCCCGTAGGCAGGATCGTGGATGCGCACTGTCACTGAGGAGACCCACAATAGGACGAAACGGTCGTCCAGTACTTCCAGGTTTTCAATCATGGTCTAATATCAATCTGTTCATGATGTCAATCAAAAACGTAACAATCTCCACAACCCCTAAATTGATAATTAGATATTAATTGAATTTTAAGATAATTGAAAGATGAACAACCTTTTTCTTCTAAAAAAAAAAACAGTTTAGCACTTTCAGATGCTCAAGTCGTAACATATAACAATCATTTTCTTTATCAATTTAAGAATAACATCTCATGATGAACTTGTGGTGTCAGTTATGATGTTAAGTCTATATACCTTATTCTAGCTTTCGGACAAAGGCAATTTATTCATTCTTCTTGAGTAACATTCTTTACCATGTCACTTATCAACCCTGACTGTTTTCATATGAGCGTATGTGTGTACACTTCTTATCCTATTCATCATATATTTGTAGCTTATTTTTGTGTGACTATAAATATTGATTAACGCTTGATTAAATTGATTTGGCTCACACGCCTTCTCCATCATCCGTCATTTCGCTTCGCTATCTTCGTTTCCCTTCATTTCTCCACTCATTTGTCTAAATCAACGATTGTACAAAATATCCAAAAAAAATCCATTCTTATATTTGGTTTATTTAATTCCATTATTCACTAACGCGATCTAAGTTGATAATGTGTACTTCACTAACAATCGAACTGGAGTTAGATCCCGGACCACTAAAGTAATGAGTCCATCGACAACATCGTGCGGTCTAATTGATATCCAAAGGGAAGGACCTCCTAAAAAGTATGTTGGATACATGAATAATAAATAAGAACACAATAACTTTAACTCAAACATTACTTACTTGATTTCGTCTTAATTCATATGATGGTGTTTGAACAGAAATAAGTAATTGACGTGCTGCTAATGCTACTTTAGAATTTCTTGAACCACCTAATTCAGTTAATGCTTTTAAACAACTTTGTAAATGATCAGTCATACATAATTCACGTCTTTCAGCTAATGAATGAATAAGATTTATAATGAGTACATTTTTCATAGTTAATTGTCTATGTGAAAATATCACTGAAACAATATCTGTTATAGAATTTGGTTGAATTAAATTACGAAAATTAAATGGAACTAAATGATAAGTAAGATTATTTAATAAATCATCTTCAATAATTGTATTTTCACCAGGACATATACCAGATTTTGGTGCATTACCCCATAGTGTTGAACCTTGACATTTAGCTAATAAATGACGTATACATTTATCATATTGACCTGATAAATTGACAAAATAAAGAAGAAGAAAGAAAGAATACAAGAGGTTTTGTAGAGATTTTAGAAATTTCACTGGTTCAAATCATGAGTCAATTAAAGCTAGATCACCATGAAAAACCTGGAAGCACTGGACAGCCGTTTCGTCCTAGAATGGGACACCTCAGCAACTTCGTAGATTGGTTGAAGTTAGACATTAACACCGTTGGATGCCGGCCAGCTCAGTGGTCTAGTTGGTTAAGCGCCTGGTGCGAGACTGCTAGGTCCTACGTTCGAATCGCGCGGGGGGCGGGGTCGTGGATGCGCACTGCTGAGGAGCTCCATGTTAGGACGAAAAGGCCGTTCAGTGTTTCCAGGTTTCCTTTGGTGGTCTAGTTTTCAGTGACTCACGATTTCAACCAGTAAAATAAGATATTTAACAAATTTTTTCATTGATAATTGTACGTAGGTTAAAAAAAGTGTGTTTAGTTATACAAAGGTGTAAAAAAAGAATGAAAACAAAGGAAATCAGTGTTGTTTTCAACTAATTTCTGGAGAATAGATGACGATGTAATTTCTTTTGATTGAGATCATGAATCGATTGAAGCGAGACCACCATTGAAAACCTGGAAGCACTGGACGGCCATTTGGTCCTATTGTGGGACCCCTCAGCAGTGCGCATCCACGATCCCGCTCGCGGGATTCGAACAATCATCACAACTCGTAAACTGACGATATATTTCATAAAACAAATATTAACTCAAATCAAATGATTATTGGACACCGGTACGAATTCATTACTGACACGTTCAAATTGAAACGAAAACCTTTAACTGAGATCCTGTATGTGAATATAAAAGATGTAGAATCTATCTACAGATAATTCAATATTAATCAATGGTGTATAGAAAAAGAGCTGAAAATTGAAAAAAAAAGTAAAACGTATAAGGTATTCAGCAGTAGGACATATTGCCTGAAGTCACAAGCTTTATAAAGAAAGATGGATATTGACTAGCAGTGGAATCCAGGAAATATGTTTTAGAACTCCTCAGTTGGATGTATCTGTCACTATCCATTTTTGCTTATAAAACTTGTGGCTTCAGGCATTATTAAGGCAGTCCGACCAACATGTAAATATGCCAACAAGAGACTGATCAATTACAATCCTAAATAACAATGAGTAGATACAAGTAAACAATACCAAGTGAGTAGGATATATTGTATAGTCTAATACTTAGTGATGATCAAATTCGATCGATTACTTTACCATTTGATCTATGTGATTCAATATTAATGATATACATATTTTTTTAGACGTAAGACAGTTGAAAACATCTACTAGTAATACAATATCAAGCTGTAGCACAAACTGAAGTCTGAATTCTACACAGAGCATCAGTATCTGATAAGTATTGTTAACTAAGGCAGAAATAATAATCAGGGTATACTATCGATCGTATCCAATTGTCTAAAATGAAATGTGGATAATTTTTTTTTATTTAACTGTATTAACTGCAAACTATTTTGGGATAAACAGTAGTTTTGTAAAAAAAAATACAAATTTACTTTCGATTTCGCAATCAATGTGAATCAATGAATTAATTTGTGCAACTGTAATTTATTCAGAAGTAGTAAGTTTCAACATACACAAAGGGAAAAGCAAGATTCTCCGGTACAACACACCATACAACAGTCGAATCACACTTGACAAAGAGGATTTGGAAGATGTTAAAACCTTTACATATTTAGGCAGCATCATTGATGATGAACACGGTGGGTCTGATGCAGGTGTGAAGGCGTTGATCGGAAAAGTAAGAGCACCACATCTACAACTGGTGAACATCTGGAACTCAAAACAACTGTCTGTCGACCAACACCAAAGTCAGTAATTTCAATACAAATGTCAAAAAAGTTCTCTACTGTATGGGGCGGAAACTTGGACAACTACGAAAGCCATCATCCTAAAGATACATATGGTCTAACATCAATCGGTTCATGATCTCAATCAAAATGTTTAGTAACATTTGTCTACGTTGAATAGACGTTATCAGTAACAACCTACTGTGGGAGAGAACAAACGAAATTCCAGCGGATGAAGAAATCAGGGAAAAGCACTTGAAGTGAATAAGACACATATTGAGGAAAGTACCCAACTGAATCACAAGACAAGCTCGCACTTGGAATCCTCAAAGCCAAAGGAAAAGAGGAAGATCAGAGAACACATTGCGCCGAGAATTGGAGACAGACATGAGAACAATAAACAATAATTGGACAGAACTGGAAAGGAAGGCGGAGGACAAAGCGAGTTGGAGAATGCTGGTCAGCGGCCTATGCTCCATTGGTAGTGACAGGCGTAAGTAGGTAAGTAGGTAGCTGTAATTTATTATAGAGTACTAATAGTCTTCCACTTTAAATGATTATCACTATCAAATATAATTAAAGAAGCAGAATGGGAACATACGATGGTATAGAATTCTGTTGAAGATAAAAATTGTATTATTATGTCATAGTAAGAGCAAATAATCGACTCCAATATTATAAGTGGTTTGAAGACAGAAATTGAAAATTAGACCGAATTTACTGGGAAACATTCTCAAAAGTTTGATGTAAACTAATAGACTTTATTATTGAGAACCCCGACTGTTGATGCTACTTTGACGTGGTGGTCGGGCTTGCCTACCCTGATGTAGCAACCGAGCTATACTGGCTGCAACAATCGTTCCTCAACGTCCTACCATGTCAGACAGGTCGGTTGAAGAGCGGTAAGACTAAAAGCAACAAACCCAAGGTCCGAAGGCGAAGTCGTACTGCTGACTGTACAGAGGTGTGACAGCAGTAAGGTGTTTCCTTCAGACAACCAGCATGACAGCGATGCTGCCTTCCCACAAGGAGGGGTGGGGTTAGAAAAGGTCGACCCTAAAAATGCACACCTCGCCGGCTTATCCCACTGATATCCGTCTCCGCCGGTGAGGTTTCAACAAGTACAGAGCTAACACAAAAATTACTCATAAAAACGTCGTGTGTGACCGACCTCAAGCAGTTGTCCCTTGGGCACTGTGGTCACTCTCTCAGGTCACTAAGACCACCTTTAATCCAATTTCCTTTTCAGGTACCTCCAGAAGAACCCTTTCACGGTGTGGGCAACCGGTAAGTGATAACCGCCCTCATACCTCTAACAGCACTCAAGACCATTGTATTCATAATCAACTGTATTATTATTGAGAACATGATTTTTTAATTATAACACAATAATAAAACAATAAATTTAAACTAACCATGTTGAAAATGTTTTTCAATAACAACATAACCCATAAATAATTGAGAGATAACACGAACAGTATGACCACGAAGACCATGTTTATAACGTTCAGCTAAATCAATTAAACGTTGAGTAATACGTTGAAATTCTAGTACAGAACAATCTGTTGATTGTCCAGGATTAATTTGTTTTAAATATTCATCTGTTATTTGTAAAATTGCTTCTGAAGGAAAATTAGCTAATACAGATGTAGCTTGATCTGCATATAGTTTAGCATGATGACGTAAAGATTTTTCCATGTTCGATGGTAATTGACCTTTTAAATGTGCTAATGTATCCTAGAATACAATGAAAATAGAAATGTATATTATATTATTCTATACGCTAACGATAAGGAGGTTAATAACTAGGACGGAACCGCCATTCAATGCTTCTAGCTTCGAGATAATGGTCTAACATAGATAGATCCATGATTTCAATGGAAATCATATGTTTAAGTCATATTGAATGAATCTGTGAACCACTTCATAACTAACACATTAAAACACAATCGTTTTTGGCACAATTCAATTTAGTTTGTTATTTTCAATTATTGATCAATCATATTTTGATCTAAGCAGTTTATGATAATCACTATATATATATAGATATAATGTTAATGTGATTAACCTTAGTCCATCTAAAATATGTTCTTACATTATAACAATGAACTGAATATAACAAGATTACTATTATTTATTCCTGTTAAGGTTAACAATTTACATTGGAATTAACTGAACTTATATAAATAAAGACTTGAACTTAATAATTACAATCTTATGTCTATCCAAATAAGTAGTATGTAACACCGATCAAAAGTAGAATACATATTCAAAAACAGGTTGAGAAGATTGAACTGAAGAATATTAGAAAAAGGAGTTGAGTATTGAAACAATCATAAATGATGTAAAGGATAACTGATGGAAGATTCAAAAATTAAGTATTTAATGTATGATTATCACATTTTAATATCAGATAGGTTTTGTGGATATTATAGTCATTTCAATAGTTTAGATCATGAAAAGTAGTGACCAGTGGAGTTCAACTAGATTTGTTGTGGATGTGTCGCTCATTTTCGTGGATTACTTGAAGTTAGACATTAACACCATCGGATGTCGGCCTAGTGGCCTAGTGGTTAAGTGCTCGCGCGCTAAACCAGTAGGTCCTTGGTTCGAGACTCGCAGGGGGCGAGGTCGTGGGTGCACATTGCTGAAGAGTTCCACAATAGGACGGAACGGGTGTCCAGTGCTTCCAGGTACTCACAATTTACCAATCAACACAGTAATTTTTTAATAAACAATAAATTAGCTGTCCGCAACCGAGTATTCGTTCACTCTTCCTTTCAACTGACTTTAAACCATAATGTAGAGCACGAGATATCGAGACAGTTTAATTAATAAACACATTACAACTTGATCAGTAATAAAGACCTAATAAACGTGATAATAATAATTACCAAACAATGATCAATCAATGTAAATATCTCTGTCATACGTGAAGCAAAATCACAACAGGAATCAGTGTATAGTAACTTCCCTGATTGTTGAATTCAGTTAGAATCTCATGGAAAACATTAATTCCATCAAGACTAAAAAAACTCTAAGTTGATCAATCCAAACTAATGCGGAATCTAAGTCAAATGTTTCCTTCAACAACTTAGTGTATCTAAACTTTAATACCCATGAAAGACGTAATTAATACAACAATGAAAAATATATTCAACAAGCAATAAAGTAATATTGAGGTTAGACACAGGGTATTAGGTAATGATGGTAAATCAGTTGATGAGGTTGTGAATGTTCATCGACTTAGATGGTTGGGACACGTGTTACGTATGCCTGAACACTGAGTACCACGATGTGCAACGTTAACTGGTGTTGGGGATGGTTGGAAGAAAGTTAGGGGTGGCCTAACCAAAACGTGGCATCAGTGCTTGAAGTCACTAACTTCTAGTCTGAGCCATGTTGGTAGATGCAGACTACTTGGTTTGGGTCCGCGTGACTATCGTAACCAGTGGTTGGAGACTGTTGGTGACATGGCTCAGAATCGATCAAAGTAACTCCTTCTATGAATTTGATGTTGATCTTGTTGTGCTTATGAGTAAGATGTAACAACTTGAACCGATGCATATATGTACCTGATCATATACATTGTAGTTGACTGATTGACTGACTACCGATACATGATTGATTTTAATGTGGCATCAGTGGTTGAAGACACTTGATTGTGGTCCATGTGACTATCGTAACCAATGGTTGGAGACTGTTGGTGACATGGCTCGGAATCGATTGATCACAATTGCGTCGGTGTATACACTCTCTGTGTTCCCTTAAACTAAGAGATTAAAATCGCTTCATTTTTTTTTCTACGAACTAATACTTTCTTCCTGTACTATATCCTTATTCCAATATTTCTTTTATAAATTACCACCTCTGAATTAATTACATTTCAGTCAGTCAGTCAGCTACAACGTAGGACCAGGCACATATATGCATCGGTCCAGGTTGCCATACCGCATCAGCACAACAAGATGAACACCGGATTCATAGCAGTGGTTAGGTCAAAGGTGGTATTATATAAGAGAAACATTGCATATAGAGATATAGAACAAGAAGAAAGAATTGGTTTGTAGAAAGAAAGATATGAAGTGATTTTAATCTCTTAGTTTAAGGGAAAACAGGGAGTGTATACACCGACGCCATTGTGATCGATTCTGAGCCATGTCACCAAGAGTCTCCAACCATTGGTAACGATAGTCACGCGGACCCCAACCAAGTAGTCTGCATCTACCAACATGACTGAGACTACAAGTTAGTGACTCCAAGCACTGATGCCATGTTTTGGTCTGCTCACTCCTAACTTTCTTCCAACCATCTCCAATACGGGATAGCATTGCACGTCGTGGTAGTCGGTGTTCAGGCATACGTAACACGTGGCCCAACCATCTCAGTCGATGAAGATTCATAACCTCATCAACTGATTTACCATCATTCCCTAATACCCTGCGTTTAATTACATTTATGAATCTGGTGTTCATCTTGTTGTGTTAATGCGGTATGGCAACCTGGACCGATGCATATATGTGCCCGGTCCTACGTTGTAGTGTAGTAGTGTGTAGTAAAGTATAAACCAAGAAAAAAAAATTTCAATAACTAACTTGTAATTCATGAAGTGGTAAACGTGGATTATATAACAATGTAAGAAATTGATTTAAAGTTTTCATTAATGATTTACTAAAATATGGTTCACATAAACAATAACCAAATAAAATTTGTTCTAATGATGCTAATAATTGAGTAAATTGTAAATGTAATTTTCCATTTGTAGTTGAAGAAGCTGAATTCGATGATAATGAATTCGTAAGCATACACAATGAATCGTCATTTGATCCAGTATTAATACCATTGTTATTAGATGATAATGAATCAATTAGACAATTTGATTTTGTATTAAGACATTTCCAATTATTAATTAAATGCTGAGGAATATTTGATTTGATCTCTTCAATTGATTGTGTAGATGATTGATAAATATTATTTGTAGATGAATAAACCATATTAGATTGTGGAAGAAACAATAATTTTCGAGAATATGATGATGATGATGAAGATGATGGCTGACTAATATCACTACTGTATTCAGTAGGTAAAGTGAAGGGACCACTAAGAAACAAAAGGTAAGTGAAATAAATTATGAAATAAAACGATATACGATGATATGCACAATTTGTGTTTTATAAAAAAAAACTAAATGTGACTCTGGTTAGGGTAAGCATGCACCAATCCGAACACAATTGACGGAGATGATTTGTAAGATGTGAAAACCTTTACATATTTGGGCAGTATTATTGATGAACACAGTGGATCTGATGCAGATATGAAGGCGCGGATCGACAAAGCAAGAGCAGCATATTTACAACTGATGAACATCTGCAACTCAAAACAACTGTCAACCAACACCAAAATCAGTAATTTCAATACAAATGTCAAAACAGTTCTACTGTATGGAGCAGAAACTTGAACAACTACGAAAGCCATCATCCAGAAGATACAAGTGATTATTAACAGTTGTCTACGCAAAATACTTCGGATCCGTTGGCCAGACACTATGAGCAACAACCTACTGTGGGAGAGAACAAACCAGAACAAACCAGTGGAGGAAGAAATCAGGAAGAAGCGTTGGAAGTGGATAGGACACACATTGAGGAAAGCACCCAACTGTGTCACACGGCAAGCCCCCGCATGGAATCTTCAAGGCCAAAGGAAAGGAGAGAGACCAAAGAACACATTACGCCGAGAAATGGAAATAGACATGAGAAAAATGAACAAGAATTGGATGGAACTAGAAAAGAAGGCCCAGGACAGAGTGGGTTGGAGAATGCTGGTCGGCGGCCTATGCTCCATTGGGAGTAACAGGCATAAGTAAGTAAGTTAAAAATGTGACTCAATTGAAAAACATCATAGGATGATATTAATTATTTTGAAGTACATATATTATGTAATACTTGGGGATTTTATCCCTACAGTTCAAACTAATATAATATTACGAAGCTCAGAATATGATATCTGCATCAACACACGGAGAGAACATATGAGTGTTTTTTTTTAGTGGAGTTGAGCTCTGTCAGGTGTTTAATTCGATCATGAGCTTTGAATTGTTCTTTTGGACAACTATATCACTGTTAACTCTATGTACAAGTGACTTTAAAGAAATTTCCATAAACTCTAAATTAAGTCATCGTTCTGATGATATTGTATATATATATATATATATATATATATATATATAACTGCATGTTTTCATAGGTTTGTTGTTTTCATTTATCTTAGCCTTTGCGGTAAACATTCCAATCCGTTGACCTCTGTCAGTTAGATTGACCAAATTTTTCCATATGGATCAATAAACTGGATCTTTCTCAAAATGTATATCGAACGAGGATCGACATGAACGTCGTAATTCTAGAAACTGTCATAACATACTTAGAATTTCCTAAATCCACAATCTCGACTACAAATCATAAATAAGGTCATCGAAATGAATTGATTTAGTGTCACTGGAGTAATTAAGAAAAAAAAACACCTCGATAATTGTTGAAGTAAAGCGTTTAATATTTTGTTCAGAATGAATATAAAGTTTATGCAATCAAATCATTTAGCTTAGAGAATGCAACAACACCATGAACACATACATATGAGTGTATACATACGTTAAAAATACGATAGATGAGAAATATTCTAGCTAAAGAGGTGCTGTTGATAAGAATCAAATTTTTATTTTTATTTATACACAAACGTTGGTACAAGGGGGAACCAAATACATATGGGCCACACAAATCTTATTTGATTTGCAGGAGGGGGGGAGTGATACTACCCGAGTGCGCAAACCGAAACAGATGGTTTTCTTAGGAGGCCACACCCCGAGCCTTTAACCGAAAGGTCTGGCCCACAAGGTAGTACAGCGACATAAGGAGATGTAGTCCCATGGTAGCCGGTGACTAATAACTGATTCACACGTCATTTATTTCGTTAGGATCCATTGGTTTGGAATCAGGGATTTCCAACTCCCGTAAGTGAATCCACCGTATCCACCAACCAGGTTAAAACACCGGACATTCGCTTTTCGTCATCTCAATTGCATAAAGAACCCCCTTCCGCCACAAGAAGGCAATGAATAGAACTTCCTTATCATTGATTATATGCACGTGGCCAATTGAGACCATTTCGAGAGAGAACAATTCAATCTTAGTAACAATGTGTGTAAATTGGTTATATTTAAATCAATTTTGTAAATAGAATAATTGTATCTTAATGTATTTGGTTGTTGTGATATTTTACATAGACGAAAAGAAGAACATAACTCCTTCTTCGTCGTCTTCTTCTTTTACTTTTGTTTTTTTTCAAAAAAAAAACACAAGAAGAACAAACATTGTATGGTACCATTCATGTTAACTTAATTAGTTTTGACTACCACTATACCTTATTTTATCATTTGTTAAACAATAACAACCACCACCACCACAACAACAACAACAATAGATGGGCCTATATTATCAATCGAATTGTAAATTACATTACATTAGGACTGTTATACGTTAATTATAGACTATAGATTCATAGTTAAAACTGAATACATTACTATGATAATAATCATCATTAATATAATCTTGTTTAATTTATATTACGTGTTATATTGTCAAATGTAAACAAACTTATTATTGGCCTATAGAATAGATACAATATTGATTAAGGGTGTTTTTAAAGCTTTATATGGAACTATTTATGTAATGGATATAAATATTTTATTTTATTTGAACACATAGATATTGGTACAATGAGGCATCAGATACATATGCGCCATACAAATCTCATTAGATTTGTGTGAGGGATGTGATACGGCCCGAGTGCCGAAAACCGAAGTAGGTGGTTTTATTAGGGGGTCAAACTCGGAGCCTTTGACCTGAAGGTCTAATGCACAAGGCAGTGGAGCACCATAAGGAGATGCATTCCCATTTTAGCCGGTGACCAACGATTGGTTCATACGCCATTTGTTTCCTTAGGGTACTGAAGCCTATGTTCACCATTGGTTTGGAATCAAGGTTTTCCAACTCGCCTAGGTAGACTCTACGTGTCCACCAACCCGGTTCAAGTGACAGACATTCACTTTCTATCCCCTCAATTTCGTAAACAACACCCACACTGTGAGAAAACAGTGAGTAGGACTTCTCTGGGAGTGGCTATATACGCGTGGCCATGTGAGAGCATTTGGAGAGAGACAGCGGACTCTCCCCACTCTTGGCAGTACCAGTGCATCTATATAAATAATATAAATATAAATACACCGGTTATTGAAACGAAAATCAACAGGTCACGTCTAATATGACAATTGCTAAACATTGAAATGGTAATAGGACTGTTTTTCTTATTGAATTTTACAGTATGAATGAATATAAAATAATAAACAAAAGAATGATCAATGTGTTATCATCTTTTCGAATTTCCATCGAATAAGATAAATATCATGACACATTGAAATCATATTAAAGAATAAACTTGTTACAACGAGACTATAATTTATGAACGAACCAATTACGTATAAGATTAACAGGTCTTAGATTTTGGCGCGAAGTTCCTCCATTCATTAGGATAAATAAAATTTTGGCATTATAGCTGATGTCAATTTGGTGATGAAAACCCGAAATCTAATTCCTAAACTTAATCATCAACTGTAAATTCTAATTCTCATTCCTCATACAAGTTTATAATTCTCATTTAGTCCCGGTTATTAACAAGGACGCTCTCAAGATCAGTCTAGCGTTGTTCAAAGGTCATCTATAAATTATAGTCTCACCAATAAAATCTTGTACATTGCATTCCCTAATCAATTTGTCAGTCTGATTCAATCTGGAAATTAGTAAGGATTTCTCGTACAGCACCATAATTAATAATACAAAAGGTCTTTTCAGTTGTAAAGCTTCTTCATTATTTATGGATAATATCAACTAACTTGAATATTTGTAAAGGTTTCAATTGACTCGATTCATCTAATTCAATACGAGCCAATTCTGTACCAGGTTCAAGAATAGCTCCAGGAATACGTTTCAAAGTGATAATACCTGATGTTGGAACACGTAGTTCAAATATCATTTTCATTACTTCAATAAGAGCATATACTTCATTTGCACAAACATGTGATCCTTCAGTAACACAATATTGAAGAAGTTTTCCAGCAGAATGAGATCTAATTAGAATATAAAATTATGTCATGTTGTAGCAAGAATATCACGAATCACATACTTTCATGAAAGTATATACAAAGCAAAAGAAAGATTTACAATAACAATTAAGCTGACATTACTTAAGTTGTATTGTTTTTTTATGGCTGAATGGGAGTATTGAAGTTACTGAAAGCTTCTGAGCATTGAACTATAAGTAGCTGAAAACGAATTGTCCGTCAAAACGTTACTGGGACACACTACGTCGTATCATAGTGAGAGCAGTGCTTGAAGTCACTAACTTCTAGTCTGGGCCATGTTGGTAGATGCAGACTACTTGGTTGGGGTCCGCGTGACTATCGTAACCAATGGTTGGAGACTCTTGGTGACATGGCTCAGAATCGATCACAATGGCGTCGGTGTATACACTCCCTGTCTTCCCTTAAACTAAGAGATTAAAATCGCTTCATATCTTTCTTTCTACAAACCAATTCTTTCTTCTTGTTCTATATCTCTATATGCAATCTTTCCCTTATATATTACTACCTTTGACCTAACCACTGCTATGAATCCGGTGTTCATCTTGCTGTGCTAATGCGGTATGGCAACCTGGACCGATGCACATATGTGCCTGGTCCTACGTTGTAGCTGACTGACTGATCATAGTGAGATTAAAGGAAAGTGACATTGCCCAAATTGTATTTTTAAAATAAAAATATTGTAATGTAACTTATTTCACAAAGTGTTTATATCTCGCATGAAATGACGAAAATATACAATCTACTGTTTAACAAGTAGTATGGATAAATGAATTGAGGTAGGTATCATAAGTACAACATCAGTTTACATATCTAATGTGTAAATATTTATGTACTTGTTTATTGAGAGACACTATTTATCTAAGAAATAATAATATTTCCCAACTCTTCGAACTGAAGTTAGAATGAGGTTTGAATCTCGAACATATTCATGTAATGATGTTCTGTCGTCATCGTTCCACCCATTCATCTGCACTATCATAATCTTATGCAAAGTAGTATATCAGACCAGGTGGAGAAAATAACGTCTAATGCACTTAAAATTCACAAAAGATTGTAATACGTGCCTTATCAACAACCGACTTATCCCACTTAACTGACATTTTACACTTAAGATTAACATTCTTTACAATGTGCGAAAACAGTGCTTTGTGAAAACATTATAAAATACATGTAACCAAAGATAGTCTCTTTTAAAAAAAACACGCCTCAAAGTTGTACAATAATATACAAGAAACGAATGAACAGTGTTCTGACCCTTTGGTTGTCTCAAGGGAACAGTAAACGAACAAAAGCTAAGCTGAGCTTCGTACTGATATAAAGATTTCTTCAATAACCAATATATTTAGACTGACGGAAATCTCAATATAATCATGTTGTCGATGCGGACAACCACTTCAGAATAAACTTTGACATTGATGAGTTTTCAAGGTATTTCATACTTCATTGGAGATGTACATCATGAATAACGACATGTTTTGTTGCTTAAGGCGTTTATTTCACACCGTAAGTGTGTTTTGAAATGCAATAATATATTTATTTATTTAAACACATAGACATTGGTACAAGGGGTCACCAAATACATATGCGCCATACAAATCATTCGATTTATGACCAACAATCAGTTCATACGCCTTTTGTTCCCTCAAGATCCTGGAGCCTATATGCACCATTGATTTGGAATCAGGGTGGACTCTCCACATCAACCAACCCAGTTAAAGCGCCAGATATTCGCTTTTCGTCCTCTCATTTTCGTAAACAACACCGCGGCCGCGAGTAAAACTTTCCTGACAGTGGCTTTATACGCGAGGAAATGTGAGAGCATTTCGAGAGTGAGAGATGACTATCTCCACCCTCGGCCGTACCGAAGCATTTAAGGGTGTAACAAAATATAGATGAACAGTAAGATTTCAGTGCGTATCCTCAAAGCTAGTCTACTATCCATAATACCCGGCTAAGTTACATTGTTATAAAACTAATTTAAAGTTTCAATTCTCTATATTAATAAAAATCAACAAGATACACAAACATTTACTGAAATCACAAAACATACCGTAAAACAGTTGGATCAGTTTCTTTACACAACATCATCGTACGATTGTTAATTACCGTGCGGTAACCTTGAGATTCTTCATGACAATAAGTCATATAGCTAGCAGCTTCATGACAAATTAATAAACCATCACCAGGTACACGATGCACTTCGAAATCTAATACAGTATCACAACAGATAAGACTAAAGTTCGATGGTCCAGTACGTAGAACCTAAGTATATAAATCACGATATCACAACAACAAAAAAAAAACGTACTCGGTCATAAGAAACAGTAGACGTGAAGTTAACCTAATAACTAGAATTAAATCAGTACTAAGCAATAGACAAACGTGAAATTTGTTACTACTCATCATTGAAGTGTTGATTTCAATAACTTGGTTTTACAGGAGATAGTTTACGGCAGGAATAACTCAATAATGACTTTTTTTAACTAGATGATACTGAGTGAACTGGATTTGAAGTTGGTTAGGAACAGAAATTACCTCACACTATTGCACATAGGACATGCTGTAGATAAGATAAAATATTTATTACATGTAAGAAAATAATTATATATCAATAATTGATGATGATCATGTCTAGATTGAAATGATCGAAGAGTGATCAGTACATGAAATCTATAAATTCAACAGAGGTTGACTAATTCAGTTCAAACTACTCCCTAGCAGATAACGACATTCATCAATAGAGTGATGATCATCGGTTTAAAACTTGAATTTCAATAAACCGTAGTGTACTCACTCACATCTAGTTCTTAAAACTGAGATAATTCATTAGTCTGAGCAGACATGTCTCAATGAAATGGCATCACATTCAACTTAACCTACGCATTAAAAAAAGTGAATTCTTTCTGTATACTAAAAATAAAGATACTAATTGTCTAAAAATATCTAACATAACTATAAAAAAAGAAGAAAAACAACAGTTACTTTAACATCATATTTCGTAGAATCTGATACCAGAGTTACGTCAACACTATTTGTCAGAGTTTTTGAGGGTAGAAATTGACCTCTATAAGAAATTAGTAAGAAAAACAATGGAAGTTGAAGTGAATGACCGGTAATAATTATGAACATCATAAAAATCTATCCAGTAGTAAATTGGGTAAGTTAAACGTTTATCACAGCTTCCAAATGCCCTGGTACGGCCGAGAGTGGGGAGAGTTCGCTCTCCCTCTCGAAATGCTCTCACAGGGCCACACGTATATAGCCTCTGTCAGTGAAGTCCTACTCACTGTCTTCTCATGGTGGGGGTCTTGTTTACAGAGTTGAGAGAACGAAAAGTGAATGTTCAGTGCTTTAACCGGGTAGGTGGATACGGACAGTCCAACTAAGTGAGTTGGAAAACCTTGATTCCAAACCAATGGTGCACATAGGCTTCAGTATCGTGAAGGAACATATGGAGTATGAACGAACTACTGGTCACCGGCTACAGTGGGACTGGATGTCCTTACGTTGATCCAATGTTTTGTGGATTAGATCTTTAGGTCAAAGGCTCCGGGTGTGGCCTCCTAAGGAAACCACCTGCTTCGGTTTGGGCACCTGGGCAGTATCACATCCCTCACACAAATCAAATGAGATTTGTGTGGCGCATATGTATTTGGTGCCCTCTTGTACCAAAATCTATGTGTTCAAATAAATAAATAAGCGTTTATTACAAATCAGAATCCTTTGAAAAAGATATTATCAGCATATATATCATTCATACCTCCCAATCAATGTTGACTCACCAACAATTGAAGAAATCAGCATGGCCATCAGGTAAATCAAGAGTGGCAAAGCAGCGGGACCAGACAACATCCCAGCAGAGGCAGTAAAAGCAGACGTAGCGGCAACTGCAAGGATACTCCACATTCTCTTCAATAAGATTTGGGATGAGGAACAAGTACCAAAAGACTGGAAAGAAGGACTTCTGATCAAAATACCGAAGAATGGCGATCTCAGCAAGTGTGATAACTACAGGGGCATCACTCTTCTCTCAGTACCGGGAAAAGTATTCAACAGGGTATTGTTAAACAGGATGAAGGACTGCGTAGACGCCCAACTTCGTGACCAACAGGCAGGATTCCGTAAGGATAGATCGTGTACAGACCAAATCGCAACTCTACGGATCATTGTGGAACAATCAATTGAATGGAATTCATCACTCTACATCAACTTCATTGACTACGAAAAGGCATTTGATAGCGTGGACAGGACAATACTATGGAAAATTCTTCGACACTACGGCGTGCCTCAGAAGATAGTCAATATCATACAGAACTCATATGATGGATTACACTGCAAAATTGTGCATGGAGGACAGTTGACAAAGTCGTTCGAAGTGAAGACCGGTGTTAGGCAAGGTTGCTTACTCTCACCCTTTCTCTTTCTCCTGGTGATCGACTGGATCATGAAGACGTCAACATCTGAAGGGAAACACGGGATACAGTGGACATCTAGGATGCAGTTGGACGATCTACACTTCGTAGATGATCTGGCCCTCCTATCCTAAACGCAACAACAAATGCAAGAGAAGACGATCAGTGTAGCAGCAGCTCCAGCAGCAGTAGGTCTCAATATACACGAAGGGAAAAGAAAGATTCTCCGGTACAACACAGAATGCACCAATCCAATCACAATTGACGGAGAAGATTTGGAAGATGTAAAAACCTTTACATATTTGGTCAGCATCATAGATGAACACGGTGAATCTGATGCGGATGTGAAGGCGCGGATCGGTAAAGCAAGAGCAGCATATTTACAACTGAGGAACATCTGCAACTCAAAACAATTGGCAACCAACACCGAAGTCAGAATTTCTAATACAAATGTCAAAACAGTTCTACTGTATGGGGCAGAAACTTGAACAACTACGAAAGCCATCATCCAGAAGTAGAGAACAAACCAGATCCCAATGACGGAAGAAATCAGGAATAAGCGCTGGAAGTGGATAGAACACACATTGAGGAAAGCACCCAACTGCGTCACATGGCAATCTCTCACATGGAATCCTGAAGGCCAAAGGAAGAAATGGAAGACCAAAGAATACATTACGCTGGGAAATGGAAATAGACATGAGAAAAATGAACAAGAATTGGATGGAACTAGAAAAGAAGGCCCAGGACAGAGTGGGTTGGAGAATGCTGGTCGGCGGCCTATGCTCGATTCGGAGTACCAGGCGTAAGTAAGTAAGTAAGTAAGTAAGTAAACCCCTTAAGGTCTACAGGTAACCAATAGCATCTGAAATAAAGTAAACTTTAAATTGCATATAGATATACATATATAACTGTGTAGTGTGACCTTGAAACTTTCTTACCTTTCTAAATGTAATTCATAATTAAGAAATAATTGTTTTAAACAATTATCTGCAATATGTAAAGCAGTACATATAACACCAAGTAGAATATCTGGTTTTTCAACCTATTTTTTACAAGAAGAAACATACAATAATAATAATAATACAATTTCAGATAGTGTTAATAACAAGTTCACTATGATAATAATGTTTACAATAAACAGTTTAAATCAATATTAACAGATCAACTTGAAGATATTGAAGTGAAAAAGAATGATATGCATATTAATCAGTTAGTCAATCAGCTACAATGTAGGATCACGTACATAAATGCATCGGTTCAAGTTGCTACATCTTACTCATTAGCACAACAAGATGAACACATAGTCATTTCAATGATAGTAATATATAAAAGAAAGATTGCATATAAGGAAAGAATTTTAAATAAAGGTATAAAGTAATTCTAATCTCATGGTTTAAGGGGAAATACAAAGAGTGTATACTCCGACGTTATTCTCGTCGATTCTGAGCCATGTCACCAACAGTCGCCAATCATTGGTTACGATAGTCACGAGAACCCCAACCAAGTATTCTGCATCTACTAACATGGCTCAGACTAGAAGTTAGTGACTTCAATGACTGATGCCACATTTTGGTTTGGGCGCCCCTCACTTTCATCCAACTATTCCCAACACTAGTCAGCATTGTGCGTCGTGGTAATCAGTGTTTACGTATACGTAACACGTGGTCTAACCATCTCAGTCGATGAAGATTCACAACCTCATCAACTGATTTACTATCATTCCTTATTACCTTGCGTCTATCCTCACTATTACCTACCCATTTTATGAGAATATAGCCAGATAAAAATAGATTTAAAAGAACCTGTTGTAATATTATATTATTGTGTCAATGTTCTCAGATTTTTTATAAAAAGGTATAATATTCACAACAGTCAACTTCTTTACGACGGTGCAGATTAGTGTACTCTAGTCCTAGCCACACTGTACATATGATGATTACTGATACTAACCAGTTGTCAAAACCGAAAAAGATGGTACAAGGTTCCAACCTAAGACTCAATGAGTGGATTCTGAATACTTAAACAATTATTCCACTTCATGGTAGTAATATAGCAACGGAAGAAAATATGGAGCAGAGAGACATAGTAATTCAAGGGAGTTAATAGATATCTGTAATTCTTTAAAGAGCTCTAAAAAAGCGATGAAGATGTGCATATTTACCATAAGTCAACCACTTCTTAAACTTCTTAGGAAAATTTATCGATAAACTCATCATGTTTTTTTCCTTATCTCAATGATCAAGAAATACACGTTATGGTAAATTTAGCTTTCGTTTCACTAAGAAATTTTCAAGTCACAAGATCACATGAAAATTTCGAAACATTTTTGTTCTGTTCCCCTTGAGGTCCAAGTATCGTAGATTATGGGAGTCTAGTAATTGCCTAAGAAATTAATATTTCAAGCTTTCAATGTGTAATTCGGGAAATGAAACGTTTTTGACCTATATAGAGATTCTACAGACTTTATTCAGGAGGTCATGGAGGCTTTTTACAATGTCACAATAACATTCTACCGTTATGTTTCCCACAGGAAGATAGGATATTTATAACTATTGATCACGTTTGTATAGATCTCAACCAGAGTATTTGCACCTAACTAAACTGCTTAGAACAAGTGCCAACTATTTAGTGAAACAGCGTGACTTTTAAATACAATACACTAAAGATGCCATACTCAAGTAAAACACTAACAATAACTATCTTACTTGATCATTTTGTGCTATTCGTGCATCTAACCATTCTGTATTAATCTTGTGATTCATAAAAGCTTCAGATTCCATCACTTTGATAAGATACTCAACTGTAGTTCTAAAATCACCACGAATAGATAATTCCTTTAATGCTAGAACCATATTCCTAATCGAAGAGGAAAAAAAAAGAATTAAAAGCCACCGAAACTTTTTAAAAAATTATCAAATAATCAAAAGAAGGTTATGAAGAGCCCCGAAAATGTGTTGGCATGACAGTTTACGTATTTGTATGAGGGATTATGTAAATGGTAGGTAAGGATCGACTACAGGAAACATTCCAATGCTTCCGATGTTTTTGATAATCAAATATTACACTACATGTATAGTACATGTATAGTGCTCAGTAGAATCGCTGCTCAAAAACTATTTATGAATTACAATCAACGATATTGTTAATAAATCATTTTAGAAAATGTTGAATCAACCGTAAATTCATATACACCTCTCTTATCAATGTGACCTTCACAATAGAAATAGTAGTAGTAGCAATAGTGTGGTGCATACTACTTGTGTTTGCAGATATAAATAGTATGTTACACCAGTTGGAAGTACAATATCTGCGAGTAGAAGATTGAGAAGATTTGAATAGAGAGAAGAGAAAAGGAAACTGAAAGTAATCAATATAACAATAGAAATGAAGGAACAATGAGGCTTATAAGAGAAAATTCAACAAAGATGTGTAAATAATGTATTTGATGTATGATCTTCGCATTTTCCTAAACCACTGTCTTATTTCTCAGTTCAATATATCAAAATATCAAGAAAGTGGAACTTCATATCATTTCTATATTCCATAGTAAACAGTCACAAAAAGGCCTTAGTAAAAACAATATCCTATAAAACAGAAAATAAAATATACTGTTTACATAAAAGTTGAAATAATGAGTGATAAAAAAGGATTGCGCAACAAATGGTATCCAAATACATTTTTATAAGAATGTGAACTTATAAAACCTTTAAAAACTATAGTGAACAAAATAACCATTTCTGATTGAGATCATCAACCGATTGATGTTAGATCACCATGGAAAACCTGGAAACACTGGACGGCCGTTTCGTCCTATTGTGGGACTCCTCAGCAGTGCGCATCCACGATCCCACCTCGCGAGATTCGAACCCAAGGCCTTCAGTCTCGCGCGCGAACGCTTAACCTACTGGACCACTAAGCCGGCTGGCATCCAATGGTGTTAATATCTAACCTCAACCCACCCACAAAGTTGCGCGACCATCTCCCATTGTACTGAGGTAGACACCTGCTTCTACCCGACACGAATTAGCTCGACTGGTCACGGCCGTCCAGTGCTTCCAGATTTTCAATGGTGGCCTAACATCAATCGGTTCATGATCTTAATCAAAAACTTAACAATCTCCACAACCCCTAAACTGATAATAACCATTTTTATTCAGTTTAAAATCAATGATAAAAATGTTATAGGGAAAATCAACCAAAGATTTAATACTACATTAACCAGAACATGTCCTACAATTCTTTACTGAAGCTATATATATTGATAGGTATGTTTTTTATGTCATACTGCCAAGTGACTACACAAACTTACATTTACCTACTACAACAGTTACATCGGTAAAACAGAAATAAATTGCTATGGTTGAAGGTGTCACGAGTTCACTTAATCTGCGAATGAGAAACAAGACTCGGTGACCAAAGACCAGTAAGCTAGCTATTTGATGCGTCCCAGCCCCACTAACTAGAAGGACAAGTTCAAGCTTGGAATGGGGAAGTATATTCTGCAAACAGCCAGAAACGAGCGATAACAACAAATACAATTCAAAACGTATATATACAGTACAAAACCGTCCTTAGGGAGAGTGACCAAATAGCATACTAAAAGACGCAACGGACCAATACCATTTAAGATACTTCCCAGTGGGAAATACGACATGAAGGTGACAGGAGCGCCTTTGGCGCGAAAACAAAGAAACTCAAATTATTTAAATAAAATTACAAAATTAGGTCCTTTCTCAAGTGAGTTCTGGGGATCTAACGTCCCTAACATAAAGGCCAAAATTCAATTTCAGAAACAAATTGTAAAACGTCCAAGATCAGATGGATATATTGACAAAGCATGTCAAGTTGATACATTAAAACGATTCGGGAAAATTAACGAAAAATCGAATTTCAGTCATCTAGAATTTAGTGAAATCGTAGCTACTAAAAGTCTGAAATCGTATTTATGTGTTAAATAGTTTTATTCTTACTGTGGTAATAATACAATGAAATATCATTACAACTCTACGTCACAAAGAAATCAAAGTTTATAGAAACTACTTGAATAGGGGTTAAAGGGAAATATTGATTGAGGATTGAAATCATGAGTCAATTGAAGCTAGACCACCGTTGAAAACCTCGAAGCACTGGACGGCCGTTTCGTCCTAGTATGGGATAACAACTCACTGAAGACAATGGTGTATGGTGGCGCAACTTCGTGGATTGGTTGAAGTTAGACATTAACACCGTTGGATGCCGGCTCAATGGTCTAGTGGTCAAGTGCTCGCGCGCGAAGCCAGTAGGTCTTGGGTTCGAGCCCGTGTGGCACAGGATCGTGGGTGCGCACTGCTGGGGAGTCCCATACTAGGACGAAACAGCCGTCCAGTGCTTCCAGGTTTTCAATGGTGGTCTAGCTTCAACTGACTCATGATTTCAATCTGTGAAATTTCTAAAACTCTCCACAAAACCCATTCTGATTGATTGAGGAGTATTTCTTAATTGATACTTCATAGGGAAAACTTTACTGAGGATACTTTGTTTAGTGAGTTATTGACTTGATATTTAACCATTCGACTCAAAACAAGTATTGGGAATACTTCATAAATTACGATGGTTTTATTTTATTTATCACTGATATCAATAAATATTAAATATAAATGTATTTGTTAAACGTACTCGCGTGCATGTTCTCTATTCTCACCTGCTGAGAATATATGACCAAATTGAGAATCAGCAAATTCATGTATACCACCTGCACTACTAACACTGAAATATCCCCAAACTGATTGATTACTTCGAAAATTTAATTCCCTTACACCACCAGGACGTGGTTTAAAACCTTCATCAGGATCTTCGCTTGTAATACGAGCAGCAATGACATAGCAACTAGGTGGACGACGATTAATAGTTGAATCATTAAAGTCAATAATTGAATCAGACCATGGAGAAGCTAGATAAAGTTCACGAATATCTTTGATACGATGTAAAGGTATACCCATAGCAATCTAAAGAAAGGAACAAGTTAATTGAAATAGTATAGAAGAAAACTAGTAAAATCGGTGAATTGAAGCATAAGAAAATGTTGAGCGAAACACATTATCGATCAATTACTAAAACGAAAACAAAGGAATTTAAAACAAACATAACTGTGTCAAATAATCATGTACTACGAGAACAAAATTCAACGATGTATTGATTTTCATAAAGATTAAAGACTCCACAGTAGTTTATTAATTCAAGAAGTATCTGTTGCGTTCTGTGGTTGTCCGATTCAACTACAGATAAACACGCTTCTAATTCATTTATCCAACCTAGACTAGGAGACTAAGAAACTGTAATTAGCAAATGGAATACTGTATGCTAAAACTATTGGTACATATATGCATATACCCTTCTGACCTAAGACAATAACATATAGGTTAAAATCGTAACTATATAATCAGCCTTATCCAATAGCATGCATTGTTTGTCAACTCCGACCTACGGTTTGCTCTGAAGATGGCACATGAGCATAGGTAAGTGATACATTTTGATTCGCACACAGAAAACAAAACGAAATTATACAACAAAGAATATAGCACAATTAAAACGAGACATAAGCACGGACCAAGTTATACATTTTTTAAGGTAAAATTGTAATGTGTAGGACGATATTAGTAACATTAAACACTCAATAGAATGACACTGTAAGGTTGCTCAAGGTATTTCGAACAATGGACAGTTACACCGTGAACTTAAGCTCTAATCAATCACATATGCAGTCAAGCAGACAGATCACTGATATCACTGGTGTAAATTCTCCTACAAGTTAAACTAAGACAGATAAGTTAATAATTCAATCTGATAAGTACAACCTATCAGTTAGTAAACGTCATTGATTAATTACTGTACCTCGTTTGTTATGGCAGATCTTGAGCCTCACTGTCTGTATGAAGGCTAGTCATGTTATTTAAATGCTCAAACCAGAGTATATGGAGCACAGGGGTTCAAACGTTATACCTACTAATTCGAAGTCAAGTATTTAACCACTACTTCAAAGCTCACTGATCAATAGTTAACAATTAACAGTAGAAGACAGATCTTCAGAAAAAGACTTAAAGCACAAATAGAAAGTAAAATACAAAGTATTCAGATGTGTTGTAAAGATGTTTTTATTAGTAATATATTTGTGACTAAATAAACAATAGCTAAACACTATTCGCTCAAATAAACATTTGTTTCGATCAGATATGTTCAAACACATTCAATCTCAACTGAAATTTCCAATCGATATATGTATTACAACCTGAGATGATGAGTACAGATGAATAATGTGGTTAGCTGATGTATATGAACATAAATCATTAGTGTCAGTCAGTCAGTCAGCTACAACGTAGGACCAGGCACATATATGCATCGTTCCAAGTTGCCATACCTCATTAACACAACAAGATAAACACCGGATTCGTAAAAGTAGTTAATTCAGAGGTGGTAATATATATAAGAAAGATTCCATATAAGGATATAGTACAAGAAGAAAGAATTAGTTCGTAGAAAGAAAGAGATTTTAATCTCTTAGTTTAAGGGAAGACAGGGAGTGTATACACCGACGCCATTGTGATCGATTATGAGCGATGTCACCAAGAGTCTCCAACCATTGGTTACGAAAGTCACGCGGACCCCAACCAAGTAGTCTGCATCTACCAACATGGCTCAGACTAGAGGTTAGTGTCTTCAAGCACTGATGCCACGTTTTGGTTTGGCCGCCCCTAATTCTCTTCCAACCATCTCTAACACCCGTTGCATTGCACGTCGTGGTAATCGGTGTTCAGGCATACGCAACACGTGGCCCAGCCATCTCAGTCGATGAAGATTAACAACCTCATCAACTGATTTACCATCATTACCTAATACCCTGTGTCTAACCTCACTATTACTTACCCGGTGATCCCCACAGACGCCAGCAATATTTCTAAGGCATCTGTGGTCAAATACTAGTAGCGTACGGCTGTTTTCTACTCCTAAAGGCCATGTTTCGCTGCTGTAAAGTAAGACAGAACGGACTGCCGCGCAGTATACTCGTCCTTTTATTGATAGACGGATATCTCGCCTTCGACAAAGGTGACATAAATTGGCAAAAGCCGAACGAGCTTTTCGAATCCGTGCTGAGATTTCGTCAGACAGCAACCCATTAGGGCTGATCAGACTTCCAAGATAAGTGTAACACTTTTTCAAACCTTGAATCTTCTAATAATTTATTTGAAGGCACAAAAACACAATTTTCCGGTTAGCGTTTTTTAGCGAGTTATTTATCTACGGTATAGAGTCGATAACCCCATGCCCTACCCTCCTTCTTCATTCGGGCTTGGAATCGGCAGTAATCCCAGAGAGCCTCGAGGCGGAAACACAATAGTTGAGATAAAATAATAGATAAAATAACCCAGGAAACTACAAGAATATTTTCGCTTGACAATTGTACTTTCTCATGAAAGGTTACAAGTGTTTTATAAAATGGAGTAGAAAATACGTCTTGTTCGTACCGTGTTAACTGAGTGCTGATTGGTTTAACTGTGAAGCTTTGATTGTCCTCGAGGCAACATTATCATTATGCATTTAAAAGAAGAATAAGCTACTAGAATCTCTTCATAATTAACTAACAGTTTGCTCTGTTAACCTGAAATTGGATTGATTGTTCCAAGTCAACAGATTAAGGTGTCAATTCATTATGGAGAGATTTCAGTAGCTCGTTTCTCTTTTAATTACATACTGATCATGTTTCTTTGAAGGACAATGAAAACTTTACAACTCAACCAACTAACACTCAGAATATACAATATATTCAACATTCCCAACATGAGCTACAAATATTCTCTATTATCATAATATTCATCTAAACGACATACTTAAATTGTTAAGATGTTTAAAATAAGGAAAATTATTTTAGTATTCCGATAGTCAGGAAATAAGTCCCTCTAAAGGTTTGGACAGCAAATCAGTCTAAGATGAAGAGATATGGAAAAAATGAAAGTTTACACCTTACATTTGTTCATAAGGAGAGTTGAACGGAACAAAAACATCGTGGATGCACACTACTGAGGAGTCGCACAATAGGACAAAACGGCCATCCAGTGCTTCTAGGTTTCTCATGATGGTCTAGCTTTAATTGACTCATGATCTCAACTATTAAAATTACTATAATATACAAAAACCTCTTCTGAAATATAAATTCATTGCAAAGCAAATCAAGGAACATAATCATGTTAAACACAAAGCTATGGTAGATTTTAAAAAAGGAATCAGTATAATAAAAGACTGAGACACTATCAACATAAGCGACACATCAAATTCGAAGCTGCAACATTAATCAATTTGATAGGTGGATGATATGATGAAGTAATCAGCAATAGCCTAGTGAGAAGGTTAATCGATGGTAGTTAGAAGTGACCTGAAGGACAAGTGCATTTTATTGCCTATGAAATGGATTAATTTCCTAAGGGGTAGAGTTATATACATATAAATGAGTATTTGTGCATTTTATTTGGTAGCTTAATATACTTTTTCGCTCACTCTTGTGTTTTCGCTCAAGTAGTCATTTGTGGGATTATTGCGTAGTACATGATGTATCAGTATCAGGTTTTGGACACGGCCCATCACAACAGTGGAGTTCCAACTAAACTTTGATCGGTGATTCCAACAAAGCAGACACATTGATGAGTACGACCATCAAGTGCGCCTTACTAAATCACAAATCAGAGGATAAACTAAGTGTCGTGTGAATCCAAGAAGAGAATTTCCTTCTACATGATAGTAGACAAAGTTGAAAAAGAATTTCAAACTTTCAACAACTAAGAAGACGTAATCATTGTAGGAATGTCCTCGTTTGCATGTCAGTGAAACATTCAAGACGTTTCTTCATTTGTTTACTAAGATCTACACAACTAATGCTATAAAATTTAATCCATTCGTTAAGATTTTAATAAAAGACAAAAACCATATGTTCGTATGCATCTATCCTTCACGAATTGGTTAAAACAACGTCCAAGATTAAGTCCGTCATTTACCTTGACTGACTAAAAATTCCGCTTCGTTAGCAATTAGATGAGTATGTTCGAATGCATTACAACAAAGTTACTTGTTCTATCTGAGCCATTTTATGTAGGTGAGACTACAGAAATCGATACGTTCGCAACAACATTATTAGACAGATAGATATTTTGCTTAGTACATCAATCAGTTGGCATCATTAGCATTAGTGGTAATCACAGATATCGTAGCTGAAGTTAACAGATTGTTCAAGTCTCCATTCTACGCAAAGAATACAGAAATCAAAGTATTACTATATTATTTTGAAAACGCCTGAATTGGAAGACCTACAAAAACTCAGGTGTCTTAGTAATTCAATTTTACAAATTGTAAGGTGGAATATTCACAATTACCCTACACAAGATCTCCTGAAAGCAAACAATGAAGAGGAAAGAAGAGGTGCCTAAGAGTCTTTAGCTAATTCATTGATCCCACTCATCTTAGAATATAAAAATTTATTGCTCTTTAAAAGAATCAGAATCTAGATAAGTTAAAAGTCGGAAAGTTCAACACAGCGATCTAGTATATAGAAAAGATGAACGAAGAGGTGGCAGTATGAATTAAAAGGTTCTAGAAAACTACAACAAAGTATTCAAACAAGAATATTTTCACGGAATAGAATACAATTTGAATCTAAGCATTTAGACATTAAAATATATCAGACGGGTTTTGTGGATATTATAGTAACTTCAATGATTAAGATCATGAGTCAGTTGGATGCCGGCTCAGTGGTCTAGTGGTTAAGTGCTCGCGCACGAAACCAGTAGGTCCTGGGTTCCAATCTCGCACGGGGTGAGGTCGTGGATGTGCACTGCCGAGGAGTCTCACAATAGGATGAAATGGCCGTCCAGTGCTTCCAGGTTTTCCATGGTGGTCTAGCTTCAACTGATTCATGATCTTTGAAATTAAAATACATCTTAAAAATTTATCAATGTAAATAACATTTACATTTGCAATAATACCCGTTTGATATCAGCCAGTCAACTACAACATAGGACCAGGCACATATATGCATCGGTCCAAGTTGCCATACCTCATTAACACAACAAAATGGACACCAGATTCATAAAAATAGTTAATTCAGAGGTGGTAATATATATAAGAAAGATTGTATGTAAGGATATAGTACAGGAAGAAAGAATTAGTTCGTAGAAAGAAAGATATGAAGCGATTTTAATCTCTTAGTTTAAGGGAACACAGAGAGTGTATACACCGATGCCATTGTGATCGATTCTGAGCCATGTCACCAACAGTCTCCAACCATTGGTGACGATAGTCACGCGGACCCCAACCAAGTAGCCCCTTTTAAATGGATCTTTATGAAAGAAACCTATAAAAACTTATAGTATCTAATCAACCTAAAAAAAATATTTTTTATGTAAATTCACTTTTTAATTTATAAATGAGGAAAATCTTGATTTATGTAAACAGAAAAAAAACAAACAAAACAATAACATCAATAGTAGTGAATTTTTTTTGTATTGTCATAGTGACAACAATTCATTACGATCTTACCAGTTTTTTTTTCCTTAGAGATTTTCTATTAATTTATTGATTACAGTTGTAATCGACACCCTTTTCGGAACTTTTTTTAAATATATATATATATCTTATCTAAATATTTTAGGATGTATAAAAGGGTATGTAATTTGTCTTTTGGTTACTTCTCTTTTTGTTTTCATGATTCTAAGCTCCCCGAATGCCCTGGTATGGCCGACAGTGGGGAGAGTATGCTATCCCACTCGAAATGCTTTCACATGGCCACACGTATATAGCCTCTGACAGGAAAGTCCTACTCACTGCCTCTTCGCGACATTATTGTTGTTTACGAAATTGAGAGGACGAAAAAAGAATGTCCGGTGCTTTAACCGGGTTGGTGGACATGGAGAGTCCATCTAAGCGAGTTGGAAAACCCTGATTCCAAACTAATGATGCACATGGGCTCCAGTATCCTAAAGGAACAAATGGCGTATGAACCAATTGTTGGTCACTGGCTACCATGGGAATGCATCTCCCTATGTTGCTCCACTGCCTTGTGGATCAGACCTTCAGGTCGAAGGCTTCGGGTGTGGCCTCCTAAGAAAATCACCTGCTTCGGTTTGGGCACCCGGGGAGTATCACATCCCACACACAAATCAAGTGACTTGTGTGGCGCATATGTATTCGGTGACCCTTTGTACCAATATCTATGTGTTCAAAAATAAATAAATAGATATTATATTCCAAACTAACTGAGATTATTAGTTATACATCGTTGTTGTACGTTATTTGAGCTGTATGGGTAGGTGAAAGCTACTGTTGTATGCAATTCATATGATAATTATGGCTTTCCTCCTTTTAAATTTTATACTTTAAATTATAAACTGACTGTAGTTAAGTAATCATTGAAAATTAAAAACAAAAACATTAGGCAAGTGTTTCATAATGATTTGACACTTTCCAGTAGTATGCGTTCATGAAGCATCCAGGAATTTAATCTAAGATCTTCAGGTCTAACAACAAGCGCTTACCTTTTAAATCGTTGAGTTAACATTCAATAATACACATTTCTGACTTCAATCGATTTGTGATATCAGACAAACAACAAGTTACACAAACCAATTATACTAGTGTCTCTAAATATTTTAAGTTTCAGTTTTATTTCACACTCTAGACTTTACAATTTCATAACATCTATTTCAACTAAATAATCTTTTATTTTATTGTGATCATGAACCGATTGATGTTAGACCATCGCAATTGAAAACCTGTGGGACTCCTTAGCAGTGTGCATCCACGATCCCGCTCGCGGGATCCGAACCCAGGACCTATCAGTCTTGCGCGCGAACGCTTAACCTACTGAGCCACTGAGCTGGCATCCAATAGTGTTAATGTCTAACCTCAACCAATCCACAAAATTGCGCGACCATCTCCCATGGTACTGAGTTAGACACCTGTTTCTACCCGACATGAATTAGCCACAGTGGTCACAGCTTTTCACCAGAACTCCGAGAATTTTCTCACGAAGCTATTCACTAGTGAGAACTTAATAATCTCCACAACCCCTAAACTGATAAATAATCAATGTTTAGTCTTTAAACTGTTGTGGACGTTATCGTTATTTTACCTTCTTATTATATATCTTTTAGAGATTCCCATATGCTTTGTTCTTGTATGGTAACATGAGATGATACAGACATGTGAGACGTTTTGATTTGATTTTTTCTTTAATACTTTGATTAAACACGACTAATGAAATACATTGTCTGGATTATCACTTATGAAGTAAACAACTAGGTAATTGGATTTGAATTGTCCTGTTTACGCGAAGGTTAGTGATGCTATTCACTTGTACAAAGCGAAGTAGTTTTGAAGGGGGAAAACTAGAGTGTAAGATCAACTGATAGGTAACCGACTATCTAAACTATCAAGCTATAACCAGTTTTTTTAATATTAAGAGAATCAGAATTATACATGTTTCAGTATATAGTCAATTTACATGAACTTTATCATTAAATATATATATATATATATAAACTTACTTGTAGTTGACAAGCTGGTAAATTCACTTCAGCAACTACTTCTGTACACGGATGTTCAACTTGAAGTCGTGGATTTAATTCTAAGAAATAAAATTGATTTGAATCTGGATCGTACAGATATTCCACAGTACCAGCACTAACATAACTAACTAATTTACAAAGACGTACAGCAGCCTATAAAATGTAATAATGATACATAAAAAGAAAAAAAGATTACATTTTCATGAAATAATTGTATATTTAATAAAATAAGTGAATAAATTACCGATATGTAAAACAAAAATAGGCGGGAATTTCAACAACAACAACAAACAAGACAATTCCTACTTGTTCCATTTTTTCAATAATTTCTTTTGGAGCTACAATAATAGGTGCTTCTTCAATAATTTTTTGATGCCTTCGTTGAACTGAACAATCACGACCAAACATACTAATTGCTTGACCATATATATCACATAGTATTTGTACTTCTAAATGACGAACAGATGTTGCACATTTCATGACAAAAATAGGTGAACCGGGTACTTCAGCTTGTACCTATAGAATGGTAGATCAATAAATATGTTAAATAACCTTGATCATTGTATATATAAATTTTAAGTCAAATTTTGTATAACATAAGTTGTGTATTACATTTTTGACATAATGCAGTGTCCATTATACCAATCATTTATTTATTTGAACACATAAATATAGGTACAAAGGGTCACCGAATACATATGCGCCACACAAGTCACTTGATTTGTGTGTAGGCTGTGATACTGACCGGATGCACAGGCCGAAACAGGTGGTTTTCTTAGGGGATCACGCCCCGAGCCTTCTACTTAAAGGTCTGACCCACAAGGCAGTAGACCAACGTAAGGAGATGCAGTCCCATGGTAGCAGGTGACCAACGATTGGTTCATACGCCATTTGTTACTTCAGGATTCTGGAGTCCTTGTACACCATTAGTTTAGAATGAGAGTTTTCCAACTCCTATAGGTGGATCCTACATATTCACCAACCCGGTTAAAGCACCGGACATTCACTTTTCGTCCTCTTAGTTTCGTAAACAACAGTAATGTCGCGAAGAGGCAGTGAGTAGGACTTCCTTGGCAGTGGCTGTATGTACGTGGCCATGTGAGAGCATTTTGAGAGGGAGTGCTAACTCTCCCCACCCTCGACCATACCAGGGCATTTATTTTGTAATGAAATTACCAATTGATAGGAATCACGTTGAAAACTGTAAAGAAATACAGAAATCCACAAAGTCAGTTTATTGTACAAAAACTATCTACATATGAAACGATTTGGATCCAATCTACTTATGGATGTATGAAATCATTTACGAATCAATGTAATTATGATAATGTAAGCATTCGTATGGTCTATAACTGACTAAATTAAAGTACATATTTTATTATAATGCATTACTTTACATTGCAAACTATTGCGTTCGGGAGGTTGTCCAAATCTGATGCTAATATATACGCTTCCTATATGTGAGCAAAACATGCTACTATAATGAGAAAACCAAGAGTAAGTTAAAAGTCTTTATCGGTTGACTTGAATCAGATATAAATGTATATCTGTTTTCTGGAGAGAATTGAGTCAGATTTTTAACTAATAGCGCATATCTACATCATTAGCAAGTTAGATTGAATGTTAACCGGAGGCTTGACCCCATCAGCATCTCTCGCCTAATACTTGACCGGTTTTATTGGATTAGCGTGTCACAAGCATAATAAAGTCAATAAATTAGTGCTCCTATATGTCTTTCGACAAAACTTTATGAGTATTCAATATATCCCGTACGTTTTCGCGATATCGAACTAGATGGTAACAATAACTTGTGAAATTCCCTTGAGTGAATATATATGTCAGTCAGTCAGTCAGTCAGTCAGTAACAACGTAGAACATCGTACGTACGTACGTACATCAGTTCGAGTTGCAATACCACATTAGCACAGAGATGCAGTTGTCGATTCAAATCCCGTAGTGATAGAGGCGGTAAGAGTATAAGCAGTAACCGGACACATTAGGGTTTGGAAATGTTATTTAAAGAGTATAATCCAGTGAAATAAATTTAGAAAGAGAAAAAAGAGATAAGGAGGAATAAGGAGATTAGAATTTCGGAGAACACAAAGAGTGTATGCACCTGCTCCATGGCAAACGATCTTGAGCCATGTCATTCAGGGTCTCTAACCATCGGTTGCTATCATCTCGCGGTCCCCAACCAGGTAGTCTACACCTACCGACATGACTCAGACCACTTGTCAGTGACTTCATGGACTTGTGCCATGTTTTGGTCTGGCCGCTCCTAGCTTTCTTCCAACCTACTCCTGTACCATTGAACATAGCACGTCGAGGCAGTCGGTGATTGTGCATACACAACACGTGTCGCAGTCATCTCAACTGATGAAGTTTCATTACTTCATCAAGTGATTTGCCATACTTACCTAGTACCCGTTTCCTAACAACTGCGTTACTAACTCGATTGTCCCAGGATATCCGAGCTATATTTCGAAGACACCTATGATCAAATACTAGTAACCTACGAATATCCCCTACTCTTACCGGCCATGTTTCACTGCCATAAAGTAGGACGGAACGAGCTGCTGCGCGGTAAACATGTCCTTTGGTTGATAGACGGATATCTCGCCTACGCCATAAATGATGCAAGTTGGCAAAAGCTAGTCGAGTCTTCTGTATCCGTGCTGAGATTTCGTCACAAACCAGACCACAGGGGCTGATGAGACTTCCAAGATAAGTGAAGCGATCGACACACTCAATTACTTCACTCCCTATAATTAGTTCGGGTGTCAATACAACCCAATCCTGAAGCAACATTTTGCATTTCGAGGGGGAGAATCGCATCCCGAACATGCCTGCATTGTTGCTTAGGGTGGTCAGAAGACTCTGCATTTTGTCAGCGTCTTCACCAAATAAAACTATGTCATCAGCATATTCTAAGTCAAGAAGTGAACCTCCTGGTAGAAGTTCAACCCCTGTAAATTTAGATGAGGAGAGTGTTATCTCTAAAAGTACGTCGACCACAAAGTTGAACAAGAATGGAGAGAGTGGGCAGCTCTGACGAATACCACTTGAGGTAATCAATTCTGATGACAGTTCGCCATAAGCTCTCACTCTACCAGTTGTGTTCGAGTAGAGAGCCTTTACAAGGTTAATGTACTTCTTTGGTACTCCTTTCAGTGACAAACACCACCATAGAACCTCACGATGAATATATATGACTCTTATAAAAAATAGCATTATATCAACTTTAAGAGATTCTTACATAATTAACATTAAGGTGTGTAAAAAAAACTAACGAAATCTAAATTTATAACAAATGACAATTTAAGTTTTCAGAATTTGCCTGACAACCATAACATTGTCAACAAGGTTGCTACTATCTCTTATTTATGTCCTATTTTAACAGTAATATACTTATTTTTTTTCCATTTCGACTGAATATAATTTTGAATCAAGGGCTTATGTATTCAACTAAACTACTTCCAGGAGGTCGTATGACTATTTATCCATCGAGAGTAAGTGTAGGTAAAAGCTTAATACACACATTTCTAAATGTTTGCTGAGTTGTAGAACCAAGAAAATTACTAAATTTTTTTCATTATATTATATAAATCATTCTTGTAACTAAGCATAAGAACCACAGAAAAACTATTCACTAACTTGAGGAAAAACACGTTCAATATCTGCACTAGTTAACGCTTTTCTAATTCCTTTACCCCCACCACCAGCAGAAGCTTTAATCATTACTGGATAGCCTATTTTATCAGCACATTTCAAACAACTTGACAAATCTGTCACACAACCAGAACGATATAAATCTTCAGATATTAGACGAGAATATACAGATGATGATCTCTGTGGTAGGCCAGTAGATTTGACCATATTCAGTGTTAAATTATCATTTGTTTCTGGTTCGTTATTAGAACAGTGACCATTGACAGATCGATCAAGTGATATAGTTAGATCTACAAAATATCATAATTTACTTCATGTGATAAAAATTGGAATAAATTTTAATGTCAGAAGGGATTTTTATGAATATTATAGTAATTTTAATAGTTGAGATCAAGAGTCAATCGAAGGTAGACCATCATGGAAAACCTGGAAACACTGGACGGTCATTTCGTCCTATTGTTGGACTCCTCATCGGTGCGCATCCACGATCCCGCCTCGCAGGATTCAAACCCGGGACATATAGATCTCGAGCGTGAACACTTAACCTCTAGACCACTGAGCCGGCATCCAACGATGTTAATATCTAACTTCAACTAATCCACAAAATCGAGCGACACATCCACCATTGTTTTCGATGAGTTACTATCTCATAACAGACCCGGTTGAACTCCACTGGTCACTGCTTCTTACTAAAACTCCAGGAAACACCTCTTGACCCCAGTCACTAATTAGAATATGTCGTGGATGCGCACACTTGAGGTGACCCACAATAGGGTGAAACGTCTGTCCAGTGTTTCCAGGTTTTCCATGGTGGTCTAGCCTCAATTGACTCATGATCTCAACTATTGAAATGAATTTTATAAGAAAAACTGACCAATCTCCACAACAAAACATTTAGATAAACAAGGATTTGGATTCAAATTGGTTATACTAAATTTTGATAAACTGAAAAGTTCTGAGAAAGTGTATTGATAAAAACCTAGCAAAAGTGAATATCTTAGTATCAGGAAGTTTGTGGGGATTATTCAATCCGGAGTTTGCATTACGAAATAACTTCAACTAAATAACCATTGAAAGAGCAATGAACATTAGAAAGCTGTTTCGAGCTAGTATAGGACTTGTCAGATGTGTATATCCACGACCATTACAAGGGTTGACGATTAGATCTCTTGACAAACACGTGTTTAGATTTCCGTTTGCTTTTAGCTTGTTCTATTCCTTAGGTGATAGAGAACTGAAAAAATTAACTCTAAAATGAGGGTCACGAAATCCTCACTATGAGGTTTATTTAGATAAATAACTGATAGTCTGATAAACGAGTTTACAGACTTTCTCAATTCTTACCAGTGAACAGAATAGACTAAAATGATCCATTTTCTTGTTAACAGATTTACCCCACATCATTTAAAAATCATAATATGAAGTCATAGTGATGTGAACAGGGAAACAAGAAGCCCTGACAACCTACGAAAGTTATTTTTCGGGGACGTTATTTCATTTTATGCAAAGCTTGTAAAACATTAACATTAATTTTTGTTCCTAATCTATTCTACAGAACATAAGCTTTCGTTCGATGTATGATTCATCGCTATACCCTTTTCTGTTCCGAAGCTATTGTCATTTAAACATAATATTTTGCACCCTATTTTCTACTCTAATTCCCAGCTTTGAACATAACTGTATTTTTCCTAATTATGATACGTTGTGGTCGGGTTAGTCAACCTATTTATTCATGTACCTTTTTGCACTAATCTGAAATCAGAAGAAATCAGGATATCAGGAATAGATTGAGTAGTGTTCCAGTTGTCTTGCCTTCTTTCATTCGCGTGCTTGTCAGCCAATCAGGTGATAAAATAGTTTTCTTCTCTATATCCCACTTCAAACTCACGCGTACTAGCCTCAAGGTTAGGTCGGTCAGCCTATAGCGCCAAGGTCTTAATATGGATTAGATAAGTAGCCTCGGCACCAAAAGTGGGTAGACAGACCATAGGACATAAAACATAGCAACACAGTAATTTTCATGTTAGTGAGTTTAAATATACTGTATATGTTTTGCAGTAATATTGTTCATTTTTCTATTATGTGCAGTGGCAACTTAGGAGAAAGTACATCAGTGCTAGGTTCTACGTTAATTATGACTGAATTACTCCCAATATTGAATTATTCAATGTTCAAAAGTATAGTAGTAGGACTTTTGTTAGAAAACTCTAATAAATACATCAATAAAAATACTAATTGCCTGTACTTGCACATCGATTGTTTTCGATTCAACAAAGCAGGTAGCTAAGACCGATATAAAATAAGCCTTTATGAAACCAAGACTTTTTTGTGCTCTATGTTCTTCTGCTACCAAAGTACCACGCCATAATTGGCCACACTTATGTCATGTATATGAATAATTCAATATCGAATGTGGGGGGGGTCATCAGGATCGTGCTTTGCGAGTATCCAACTAGCAAATTAGACAGATTAGATTGTTAAAATTCATCATTCGGTTATATGACAAGACGTTTAGTTAACTAAATTTATAAATTCTTATGAGAAATACATAAAATATCAGAGATTATTCAAATTCTACTCTCACCAGAACCACTCCAAGGAAGAGTGGGTACATGAGCACTTTGAGCAAGTATTGTAGAAGCAACCTTATCACCAAGTGTCCACATAGCCTGATGCGACGGCCCTAAAGAAAATAATTAAAAATTATACAAAAAAATATAAGGATAAGCACATTGATCAAAAATACCTGTATATTATTGTATAAATAATGTTAAACATTATTGTCACAACGGGGCGGACAATATCACAAAAGTTCAATACGGCTTTTCTTCGGGATACTGAAAAACTCAACACATTCAAGATAGTCCTCAGCAATAAGTTCCAGGCCCTTCATGATCTACTCAATGGAGAAGGAACTACTACGGAGAGCAACTGGAAGGGAATCAAAGAGGCAATCACTTCAACATGTCATGAGGCGAAAGTAAGTAAGTAAACATTATTGTCAGCAAATAGTGCATCAATGAATAATTTATTATATTATATAATCGCATACTGTCATGGCAATTCTGTTGTAAGATACTTGATTATCAACTGTTTAATGCAATCAATTTTTAAAATGCTAGAAAATGTTCATAGCTCAAATGAATGATTTCAGTAATGCAAAGCTTTTCTAGTCAGGTGGTTCAAATGAACAGTTTTTATGGTCATTTTGGACAATATTATCTCTCCTAGCTTCATCCAGACGATCAAAGAAAGGAATTTGGTTAGAAAAATACAAAACTTCTGAACTGAAGAGTTTATAAAAAAAATCCCAGAGAATTTCTAGAAGCAAACTAATCTGCAATCAAGAGATTCATGTTGACAGAGATTTTTAACTAATTGATTCATACTGTAAAGAACAATCAATATTATGGGAAGAGATCAACTGAAAGAAAACAGTCAACAGCGATGCAAAGAAATATAAAGATAGTAAAACCTATTCATCAACCTATCAATTATTCACGAACGAGGTTATCAGAAGGAGCTGATTTAGCGTTTGTGAAATAATTACAATAATTAGATGGTGGTTGGAGGTAGTCGACAGGAAATCCTGGATCCGGGTTTCGTGCTACTTGGCACTTGTCAGCAAGGTGTACCTGTAATCTTGAGGGAATTGGTGCTCCCTGGCGGATTCGATCTCTTGTCACCCAGCTTCACAGTCAGAGACGTTACCACTGAGCTATCCGAGCTGCGACCGAACTCCTGTAGGACTGAGATGTAATCACAATTGATTGATCACTGGTGGTGCACTAATAAGGACTAGACAAGCATGACATTGATCACCACCCAGTGGTCAATCAATTGTAATTACAATAATTACTTCGATTATATGCTAATTATGTTGTCAAAGACGACGATGAATGCTTTCGGAATAGATAATCACCATCAAATTCAGATAACCTGGCAATATCAAAATGTATATAATAACTTTTTATTGAACCTAATAGTCGTTGAAAATCCAAGCTCAACAAATATAAATAACATGATCAATTTATATGATTAAAAACAAAACGGTACATAAATTAGTCACTGAGAATTTATCGTCCAGCGATTCGTATATTCAAATTTAAAATATTGTATAGAAGATGTGAGACCCAACCCAACTAGCTGAACTTACAGGGAATAATATATATGTTTCACTGGTTGAAATCATGAGTCAATTGAAGCTAGACCACCATGGAAAACCTGGAAGCACTGGACGGCCATTTCGTCCCAGCATGGAAATCCTCAGCAGCGCGCACCCACGATCCCGCACCCCACGAAATTTGAACCCAGGACCTACCAGTCTCGCATCAGGCACTTAACCAACTAGACCACTGAGTCAGCACCCAACGGTGTTAATGTCTAACTTCAACCAATCCACGAAGTTGCGCCACCGTACACCACTGTCCTCAGTGAGTTCCTATCTCACAACAGACCTGGGTTCGAATCTCGCGAGTGGGCGGGATCGTGGATGCGCAGTGCTGAGGAGTCCCATACTAGGACGAAACGGCCGTCCAGTGCTTCCAGGTTTTCCATGGTGGTCTAGTTTCAATTGACTCATGATTTCAACCAGTGAAGTTTCTAAAATCTCCACAAAACCCATTCTGATAATAATATATATATATGTATTTCTTTTAAGTAGCGTTTAAAGTATTTACTTAAAGATAATTAGATTGTGTGCGTAACCATAGAAGAGTAGTAATATAATTAATCATTAAAGGGCTTACCAAGAAATGCAATATTATGTTTACTGAGCACATCAGGTAATTGAGGATTTTCCGATGCATGACCCCAACCAGCCCACACAGCCTGAAAAAAAAGAGGTAACTTAAGCATGAAATTTAAAAACAAAAAGATCATATCTGATTAAAGAAAATCATTTTACAGTTCAATCAATTAGTCATGACAAAAATAGAATCTAAGAAAAAAGGTGGGTTGACCCTAATCATCCAACTTCGTTTTATCACAAAAAAAAATACACGAAATATTTTAAGAATAAACTGGTTGAACCTAGAAATGTGTGCCACTGGATACTAATCCAGTGGTTTCGACAAATAAACATAAAAAGCCGTAGGTCTAGAGCCTTATCACCTCAGAGGTCTTAGGTGCGCACTGCCGAAAAGTCTCATACGAGGACAGAACAGCAGCTGAGTGCTTGTTAGATTGAATGGTACATCAAATGACAAATATCATACAATATATAAAAAAATAATCTTTACAAAACTACTACAATTACAAAGAATATGAAATAATCATAATAAAAAAACCGATGCAGAAAAAAAACAAATCAAAAGCACGGAAAGATACAAGAATTCAAGATTAATAAAGGAATAAATAATAATAAATACATCTGCAACGCTGAAACACATTTGTATCGACATCACTTCTATCTGAAGTTTGTGCTGATGATGTCGTTCAGAAGAACGATGAAAGCTCCACGACCAAACCATCCAACTCAGAGAACAAAACTCCACCAAAATCACTTAAAACCTTTAACCATAAATTAAAATTATCTTGAAGAATACAATCAGAGAGTCTATCGGTTTTGACAAAGGTTAGATTAATAGTCAGTGACTTTGACGACTAATATATTTCACAGATTGAAATCATGAGTCAGTTGAAGCTAGACCACCATTGAAAACCTGGAAGCACTGGATGGCCGTTTCGTCCTAGTATGGGACTCCTCAGCAGTGCGCATCCACGATCCCGCACCACGCGAGGCTCGAACCCAGGACCTACTGGCTTCGCGCGCGAGCACTTAACCATTAGACCACTGAGCCGGCATCCAACGGTGTTAATGTCTAACTTCAACCAATCCACGAAGTTGCGCCACCATACACCATTGTCTTCAGTGAGTTCCTATCTCACAACAGACCTGGTTGAACTCCACTGGTAACGGCTTCTCACTAGAACTTATTGTTTTGGTGTAGTCACACTCCTTGTCTTGTTTCAACTAATCTCTATGGTTACAAATATAATTCGTTCAACAGTGTACTCATGAAGAAAGTTTGCTGAATACATCAAATGTGGACTTTGCAGAAACCCATCCATCTCATATTATATATATATTAATACTTTGTCCAACAAATACCCGAACTGAAATCATTACCTGGTTTCGTCGTAGATCCATTTCGCAAATCATAAGGGGCTAAATCTTTACAAGTTACCCAACGTAATGATCATATTAACCTAAATTTTGTAAATTAATGTTTTTAGGACACTAGTTTGTGTATGAATTAAAATTATGCGGAAATGCATTGATTATCAGTCAAATAAAGACTAATAATCAAGATCAGAATGACTCCAGATTATCCTCTTGTTCATTAATTTATGTCCATAACTAACAATCTTTACAGTTCAATTTGTGTACTAATTGGACAGATTGAGTGTAACTTTATTGCAAAGAACTATTTCAATTAACAATATGCTGTTTAGCATTCCTCAATTTCATCCACACAAAGAAGGAGATAAAATAAAATTTCACATGGTAAACAGATAGGAACTCTGTAAATTAAAACTAATTATTAGTTTAAATTGAATTTCAATATTTGAGATCATGAGTCAATTGAAGGTAGACTACCATGAACAACTTGGGAACACTAGACGGTCGTTTTGTCCTATTGTGGGACTCCACAGTAATGAGCATCCACGATCCTGCACCCCGCGAGATTCGAACCCAGTATCTATCAGTCTCACGCCAGGCCCTTAAACAACTAGACCAACTAGATCATCTGCTCATTAGTGACTGACTTCAAGAGATACTCCTGGAGTTCTAATGAGAAGGCGTTACCAGTGGAGTTCAACTAGGTCTGTTGTGAGAAATCAACTCATTGAAGACAATGGTGTACGGTGGCGCAACTTCGTGGATTGGCTGAAGTTCGACATTAATACCGTTATATGCCGGCTCAGTGGTCTATTGGTTGAGCGCCTGATGCGAAACTGATAGGCCTTGGGTTCAAATCTTGCGAGGGGATCGTGGACGCGCACAGTTGAGGAGTCCCATACTAGGACGAAACGGCCATCCAGTGCCTCCAGGTTTTCCATGGTGGTCTAGCTTCAATTGACTCATGACTTCAACTAGTGAAATATGAGATAAGATGAAAAATATTTAAACTATTCCCATCATTAAAAAGATGTAGAGGCAAAAGTCTAAAATAATAAATTTTGTTATCTGCTATGAAATGATTAGATTGCTGTTGTTTTATGCTACTTATTTCTGCTTTCTTTGAAATGTATTTCCTATACGTAGATGATTTCCTTTAATCATCTATATTCTTTTGTTGTTTTTCTTTTTTAGTTTATTTTCTAGTAGAGGAAATATAAGATACAACAACAAATTGAACGGAAACATATTTGCGTTGTCCATAAATAACTGATTTACATATATACATCTTGTTGTGTTAATGAGGTATGGCAACTTGGACCGATGCATATATGTGCCTGGTCCTACGTTGTAGCTAATTGACTGATATATATAGAGATAGGTAACCAAATTAAAGGTGAATGTATTAGCTTTCTACCTAGTGGTATTATGGTGCATGCTTCTTATAGTGATATAAGTAGTATATGACGCGAGTCAGGAATGTAATGTCTGGCAGTAGAAGATGGGAGAAGATCAAGAAAGCAAGAGCGGAAATAGAATGCAATTTGTATGAAAATGCAAGAACAATGAAGTCTGAGGCAGTTTGAAACAACTAGTGAACATTTTGCAAATTAACGACTTGATATATGGTTCTCAGATTTTATTGAGATGCTCTGTGATGTATTTTGTTAAATACATTCGATTGTCCCCACTCGTGTATTGTGCACTCCAGTATTGTAATACTAAACACCTATTAGACGAACACAAAATGTTATTATTCCCATAATTCAGAGCTACATATATGGGAATATTGTGTTTATTAACACACTTCATGATTTTTGAGAATGTACAAAAGAATTGCTTGAATTATCAGAAATGTTTATACAGTAGAACTATCATGATCATTTTTCTCTTGTTTATATAATCTAATTAAATAGTCAGTAAGTTATTCTCATATTGAAAGGATAATAGAGTAAGAACGAATAATGAATTTAAACTATTGAATAAGATATTTTTGATAATATAATGATTTATCCAGCATCGAACAGTATACCAACATTACTTACAAGAGGTTATTTCAAAAGATTGTAAACGTTACTGTGACGACGGACCACCGGTGAACTAGAGGAAGCTGTAAGAGGCTAAGAAGGAGCCGAAGACGTCCCATCCAATCACCTTTCGGAAGAATCTTCTAGAATTCCAACGTGTAGCTTCCCGATTGGATAATGCTAATAACTCTCCTGTATGTGGATTGGAAGATTGTAATGATGATTTCGTTCTCACTAAAAACTATAAATACCTGACAATTTTGTACTATGATTGACACTGTTTGGAATAATATTCCTTTCGTTAGTCTTCTGTCTTCTTATTGCGACTTGGAAGGGTTTAGGTGTTCTAGTGCTCTGTTATACGCGGCATATCGAGAAAATCAGCTTTTCAAGATACAACAATTGGCGACGGGGTAGAGAAAATTTTGAACCCTCTAATTGGACGAGATTCAGCCTATCTATTTTGACCAATCAATATCCAGATTTGTCATCGGCGTCCTTGGAAGAAATTGGTTGTTAATTGATCACAGTATTTCTCATTACCCTGCTGATTCAGAAAATGACTATCCTTCCCGATCAATTGCAGCTACTACTTGATCGCCAACAGCAGCGTTTCAGAAAGAGCCAGTTGAATGTTTTGGATTATTTACGCACGCGACTGCTAGATCTCTCATGTTTCGGAGATGTGAAAGAAATTGATGAATTAATTTCTCACTTGCATACTGAACTCAAAAATGACTGCAGGACGTATGAATATGAAAACAAAAGCCTCTATGAATCCCTGATGATCAGTAATGTAAACAAGGCAGTCGCTCATGATCCGTCTAGCGATCCAGAAATGTCCAATTCAGAAGCATGCCCTGTCGTGGGTTCAAATCCCACTGTGCTTGAAACATGTGAGGGTATCCCGGAACAAGTGATTAATAAGTTCTTAATGTCTTATAGAGTTACCCCTAATCCGGCAATACCAGAAGGAAAGTCTCCGGCCGAGTGTATGTTCGGAAGGAAAATCCGGACAGTCTTTAACAGTATGTTGCCGCCCATAAAGACAAATAAACCCACGAATGAAAATCGTAAGGTCAATCGTAGCTTCCAGGTGGGTGAAAAGGTACTTGTCAGATCGTATCAAGGTAATAGGAAGTGGGAACCAGGTGTCATAGAACGTCGAATCGGAAATGTACTGTACCTAGTCCGGAAAGGTGTCGGAAAATGCATAAGACATACAAATCAAATGCAAAGAAATGATAGTACAGTGGTCACAGAAAATCGGCTCTCATTTCAATTGCTCGTAGATTCATAACTCAGAGGCTGTGACTTGTGTTCTTGACTCAACTGGCTAGGACAGACAGCGAAGCAGGGCCAATCAGGGCACTAGGTCGTCCACTACGTGTTTTCCATGTCACAGAAGCGATCGATAAATACGCTGCGCATCTATCCTGCAGTCTCACACGTTACAACAGTTACTTACTAACTTACTCCTGTTACTGGTTGTCGACCATAGGTTGCCGACCAGCATTGTCCGGCTGATTTTGTCCTAGGCTCTCTTTTCTAATAATTGTTAAATGCTAACCATTGTTATGATGAATGCCTCTAATTACCATGGGCAAGTGTTCTTTAGTCTGCCTGTTCTCCTTAAGCCTTCAGGATTCCAACTAAGCGTTTGCCTCGTGATGCAATTTGATGATTTACGTAAAGCGTATCCTACCAACCTCCAGTATCTTTTCCTAATTTCCTCTTCAATTGGAAGCTGGTTTGTTTTCTCCAATAGTAGGCTGTTGCTGATGGTATCCCGCCAAGGAACGCTGAGTATCTTGCATAGATAATCGTTTATACATACTTGTACCTTCTTGATGATGGTTGAGGTAGTTCTCCAAGGCTCAGGTCCGTACAGTAGAACTTTCCTGATGTTTGTATTGGAGATTCTCACTTTGATATTGGTTGATAGTTGTTTTGAGTTCCATATGTTATCCAATTGTAGGAATGCGGCACTTGCTTTGCCAATCCTAACCTTCACGTCTGCATCAGATCCTCCACGTTCATCGATGATATTTCCAAGGTACATGAAGGATTCCATCTCTTCCAGAGTTTCCTCATCAAGTGTTATTTGGTTGGTGCTAACAGTGTTGTATTTGAGGATGTTTTTTTCCCTTGTGCATGTTGAAGCCTACTGATGCAGAGGCTGTTATTACATCGTTTGTTTTTCCCTGATTGTACTGCTATGTATGGGATAGAAGAACTAGGTTGTCTGAGAATTCAAAATTGTCTAGCTTTATTCAAGCTGTTCACTGTATCCTGTGCTCCTCCTGAGATTTGGAAGTCTATGTAATCCAGTTAACCACCAGAAGAAATAGAAAGAGTGTAAGTAAATAGTCTTGTCTGATACCAGTCTTCACTTATGGTGAATCTGTGAGCTGCCCTCCATGCACGACTTTGCAGGATAGCCCATCGTACGACATTAAGATCACAGACGTAAGTAGTAAAACCAGTGGTTAGACATTTGAATGGACTAACTAGGGAAAATAAACGATCAGATATCTACTGAATATTTTCATCTCAAGGATACAATCATCTACAGACAGAAAATGAAATTGAACGTAAATAAATGATGCAAACCTGATCTTGTACACCAAATTCAATATTGAGATGATGCAACAGATAACTTACATCAGTATGTTGTTCTAACTTAAAGATACTTTAACCTGATTTACCCCATCAACAAAGTAACAAGTTACAAAACAAATAAACGTTTACGTTTTTGATAATGAGTACTCGTTGAGATGATGAAAATAAGCAAACGTTCCTAGCAATCTGCTAAAACGTTTTTATCTATAAATGGTACAGCCCAAGTCAGTCAGTCATAAACAAGGTAGAGCATGGCACAAATGTGCATTAGCTCACGTTCCCAGACTAAGTCAAGAAAACGAGATAAAATCAAAAAGAGAAGTAGCAAGGAATTTTAAATAATCGTGATAAGAAGGATATCGGAGTGATTAAATATTAGGAATATATGACAAGACAGAATGAAGAGGTACTTATGAAAGATGACTGGAACCAAAAATCTAGAGTAAGATAAATAATGTATGCACCTTGGCTATAACATAGTATACTTGCAAATGATTACTGCCAAGAGAATACATACACTGACAATATATCAATACAAGTTGATCATAAAATCAAGAAAGTTAAACTTACATCAACTTCATTAGTTACAGCAGTTTGTAGAATTAGTTCAACATTAGCGTAATTATTTACATTGGAACCACCTGGTACCAGAACCATTTTATTCGCCATTTTGATATATTCAGCATTAGCTTGTATATCTTCTGGTGTTGCCATACATACGAAACGTAAAACATCGGAACTGCCGAATGTAGCATATGACCATTTTCGTAAAGAACGCATACATTTCACAGCTGCTATACCATTGTTCGCGATCAGAATCTTTAGAAAATGAAATAAACATCTTTTAAAAAATAATCGATAAATGAATTTACTATCGTATAAAAGCAGACGCTTCCCATAACTTTTAATGATTTTATGTTAGCTGAGCTAGATGGTAAAATTACAGAGCTTTCTTTCATAGCTGTTCCGGGTGACATCATCAGTGCCTACTTCATGTATCAGTAGGGACTGACAATGTTGTCAACAACGATAATGAAAGCTCAGCAATTAAACTAATTATCTCAAGGAACACAACACTGTAAATAGTATTACTTAAGCTAAATATCTTTGCCGTTTAACAAAAAATTGTGATATGTTTATATGTATCTATAAACTAATTCCAGACAACCTCATATATACCATAAAAGAGATTTGAAGAAGAAATCAATTGATGAACTCATATTTTCTTTATATTAATTGTTCAATTTGTAGACTCATTAATTTTGTAATAAAACAAACACTCAATGTAAATATAGAACGTAAGTGATTTACCTTCTCAATTATTCTAACACCGCCTGATTTACGCACAAAGTCTTCAGGTGAAGAAAATCGAACCTTGGAATTTGATGAAGGCCTATATACATAGGAATGTTTAAGATTGCAAAAAATAATAAAGAGAGATAGATTTTATTGATTTATGATATAGTTCTCAATAATTTTGGTTAAAAATGATAATTCTCATCACACAAAGCAATCAACTGATAAATCATTGAAAATAAAGCAAAACAACACTAGACAATTGTTTTGTACAGGTTTGAAATCTTAGAACAATCAACATCTACGATTGAACAGAAAATAAAATCCAGAAAACTAAGAGTTTAGTCAATTATTCGGATTTCAATTGTACACATTTGTTTTGTTTGTTTTTTCAGATTCAGTCATTTCAAAATGTAATGCAGCTATCATTATATATCACTAATCAATATTGGTTTCCTTTCATAGATTATGGTTACTGATTGAAACTTCAAAAAAAAATTCAATTAAAAGTTGTAAGTTTGAAAATATATATCATTAGATTTTCACTTAGTTACTAAATGAAACAGGAACATCAAGATTTAAAGTTTAATGTTATGCCAGATTTTGAATGTGAACTTTTACAAGAGCTTAACCTATAGTGAGCTATGTAAAGTCTATCTCATAATTGAAAGTAAACATATCGAATTATAAGTTGAGAACAATCATAGAAAGAGGAAATAGAGAAGTTATAATATCAGAGACTCTTTACACTTTCATCTTTATAAGATAATACAATATTTATAATGAAGATATATTTCAACTCTTGTTATAATATCGGATTAATATAGAATAAAGCAAGCCTATTATAACCATTGATTTAGAATAACATGTTTCATATATGCTAAATCATTGATATTTTTCACTATTCTTTAAATATATCTTGGATTTCTTCTGTGTTTCTTAGACTAATAATCAATAGATTCCCTATGAATTAATATATCTTCATTTCTGACCATTTTGTAAAGTTTCCTTATTCATTCACTTCATTCCCATGTTGCAAAATAAAATAACAAAATATTATTATTAACAAATGAAATTCTGAATAAAATCAATGATTTACAATCATATCAACGATAATAATATTATGAACAATCATAAAATAATAGTGAATTGTGTCAGCAACAACCTATTGTAGGAGAGAACAAACTAGATCCCAGTATAGGAAGAAATCAGGAAAAAGCACTGGAAGTGAATAGGACACATAGTGAAGAAAGTAACCAAGTGTGTCACAAGGCAAACCCTCAGTTGGAATCCTCAAAGCAAAAGAACACATTAAACTGAGAAATGGAGACAGATATAAGAAGAATGAACAAAAATTGTATAGAACTAGAAATGAAGGCCCAGGACAAAGTGGGTTGGAGAATAGTGGTCGACGGCCTATGCTCCATTGGGAGTAACAGGAGTAAGTAAGGAAGTGTGAGATGGTAGCAAACAATGGTTGCAGAATTCAAAATTCAACCACTAGATCACAGATTCGAAGCCGTTTCATACCTTGATTTGTGAAGCTGATTGTAATTCTAGACTGAGTGACTTAAAGTCAAAAACACGAATATGAACTTGGTAAACTTTTCATATCCCAATAATTCTATATTATTAAATACTGTTTTTTTTTAAATAAATCACTATATTCACAAGACTAAATCTTAAAATAGAGAATTACAGAGAGCAATACTGCTTAATGTATAGTTTAAATAAAAACATGTAACTATATTAAATGTAAAACCAGTTTGCAATGAATAGTTATATACAGATACCTTTTGTATAAACACTAATGAATATTTTTGCATGTAATGTCATGTACTTTAACCTAAGAAGGGGTGAATAAAGACTAAGTGCTCACGTGACTAAAATAGATTCACCTCACCTGCCACATCTTGTTTATTGGTAGTAGATCGATCAAATACGCCTTATTTTTCCCGAGGCAAAAGTATACATGTATCAGCAAACTAAAACAAACTACTTCCGATACATTGATGAGTTATCGGCCAGAATAGTTATTCCTACGGTAGTTCATAGTCTACAACGTCGATAATCGAAATGGTTAATCAGCCTTGAAAATTTAGTGTTATCAGTCAGTCATTATCAACGTAAAACATAGCTAACGTATGAATCAGTTCAAGTTGTTATATTTCATGTAATCATGGCGAAAAGAGATCAAGCAAACTAAAGGAATAGTATAAAAAATAACACAAAAAAAAAGTTAAAATTCAAAGGTTAGTAATACAGTTTAGAAGGACGAAATGCAATTGAAGGGTAGAAAGTTAGGAATGATGATAGAGTAAGGATTTCGAGTAAGATAGAGAATAAATACAACTGAGTCACTATGAACGAGTCTACACTACAGGTCTTCAACCAAGTTGAATTCCACTATTGTTCTGAATGTAGTGACAAATAAATAATATCACAATTTTTCGCACTGTTATAAAATTAAACTGTTCTGAAATAAGAATACCTAGTTAAATTTGAGGTTAACCACAGCTACTGTGTAAAGATATTTGGTGAATATCAATAAGATATACCATGTTCGTTATTCTAATAAGTACCATAAAGATGAACAGTTGGAACCACGCGTATTTTTTCGAAAAGTTCCATTATGATTTACAGATTGATAAGTCTTTGTAGTTCTTAGAGCATATTTCAGTGACAAAATTACCTGATCACCCAACAAACTTCCCATAAAAAGGGCATTCCACTATATATGATATTTTCTGGTACACAAAATTAAAAATCTATATGGTTACGGAAGTGAATGTAACGCACAAACGTAACTCTTTCAATTCTCGGAATAAGCTTACGCGGAAGTAAAAAAAGTTATCTCGAAATAAATATATGTCAGTTAGACAAAATCAGCGTACATCCTGAAATTAGTGTGTCTTGGCCAAAGTTTTAAACCTACAGTAACACTGAGATAAAATTAACAAAGAAATCGAATTAGCGTACCAGAAATGATAGTGAGGAATACTGAACTTTGGTAACAGATCTGTGCTAACGCGTCGATTCTGAGCCATGTCATCTAACGTGTCCAACCATCAATCTTAATAGTAATCATGTGAACTTCAATCAGGTGTTCTGAATATACCGACATGGCTCAGTTGAATGACTAATAACCTCATGGATTGATATTCAATATTCTGTGTCTGACCTGAAATATGTTAACTTGGCAATACCGGAATACGCGAACAATGCATTGAAGGAGAGTGACCTACACATGCCCTCTACTTTAGAAGACTGAGTTTGACAGCCACAAAGTAACAGATTGGATTAGTTTACACATCTTCAGCCCGCTCATTCACAGACAGATATCTCACCAACGACACAAGTAACGCTAGTTAGCAAAAGTCAGCCGATTTTTAATAATCCGTATCGAAACTTCATCATCCACCAACTCATCAGAGCTAATATGACTACCAAGATAAGTTAAGTGGTCGACAAACTCAACTACTGAACTCATTACGATCAAAATAGGTGATGACACAGGCTAGTTCTGAAGCAAAATCTTAAATTCAGAGGGAGAGAAATGCTTCTTAAACAAGATTGCATTGTTACTAAGGGCATTCAGAAGACCTGTACTGTCAGCGTTTTCATCAAAAAAAAATTTGTAATCTCAGTGCCTCATGTAGATTAAAAGAAGAGGATAATTCCTGGACATTTAGATGAATAAAGCGTCGTTCATAGGATATCTAAGACAGAATTCAGTAAAAAAGGGACATTGTCAAATCAACATAAACTGCCTGTAATCATGATAGCGTTTTCAATTTAACATTGAACAAAACCCACTTTAACACTATCGAGGTTTTGATCGACAGAAATTCTTATTTAAAACTCTTGTTTGGGAAAAGCATCTCAAGATTATCACTATCCATCAAATAGAAAGCGTGTTTAATGGGACACCTATTCAATTATGAAGTTATAAGTAAAAAATATCTCGTTAGAATCAATGAAACCTCAACCTTAAATAATAATTACTCCATTGAAAAGTATGAAAGCCACACGTACAATCCCACTAATAGAATTATTAAGGTGTCTCAGATTTAATTGAATATGGGAGAATGGGATAGAGAAAGCTTATCGATTAGTACGTAAAAGATAGAACTAAGCTGAATGGAAAAAAATATAAGTTGAACAAGCATTTTAGAAAGCAAGCTCTATATAAAACTAACAGGACCAAAGCAATGTTTAACTGCCATTCTAGACAAATTAACAAACCTTACTGAGAGTGTACAAAGTAGATAAACTGGTGATATACTACTGGAACACCGGTGGGACCTAGGATATCCCAGTTCTACAATCAGTAATGCAACTATTAGTTCTTTCTTTTTTCACCGTATTATAGTTTTCTTTTGCTGTGCTGATAATAAGTGTGGTAACTTCGACTGATGCAATGATTATGAATGGCTCATATAGTAACATTAAATTTAAATTTTTTGTTTTGGATAGAATTTTTGGATACAGAATATAGCTTAATCTGCAAATCTCCAGTCAGAATCAAGTGTACACCTAAAATTATACAACGAGTCTGCGTTAAACACATAACCAATGACATTAGATAGGGAACTACTCTTATAAGCCCAGTAACCACAATAATAAAAATCATATAAAGCGTAATTAAATTAAACTCCAAGCATTTACTTGGCCAATGTATGTGAGCTAAAATCTGAGTTGTCATCTGAACGACCGAGTTTCCAGTCGACTTTGTGAACATCCTGTGTAACTGCCATGCCTCGAATTTCTAAAATAAGGAAATATTTTTAAGCTTAGAATATGCACATAAATTGATCTATTTCATTTCACGATATAACTTTATTACTTGAATAGTGTAGAAAAAATTGTACAGCGTAACAGACTCAAGCCGTGTGCTTTCGTTCACTAGAATCTACTAGAAGTATAAGACGGTTCAGTATATCACACCTCTTTATAATGATAACAATCACAAAAATTACTGACCAAGAACAATATGTAGTTGTGAACATAAAAGTGACTAAAATTACTCATTTCGATTATATGTATAGCAGTGCTTGTCTCTCAATCCAACGATAATGAGTGAATTATACTGAAACTAATAAACCTCAACTTTTCTTTTTTATTTAGTAATGATAGTCCAGATGTTAATACCAAACAGTTAGAGACTACACCCTTTAATAGACCTAATAAGATGCCATTTATTAACCGTTTGTACGACTAAGGTATCTTGCAAGAACAAAGATCGAAACAGACGTCAGCCAAAGCATTTACAAACTAAGCATCAAAAGAAATAATCGATACTATGGTTATTATAGACAACTCGGAATGCCTAACTGATGAAGCCCACACAACTAGATCTTGGCTTGAAACCATCGAAGCATGAAAAAGAATATTTAGCTAGTCAAAGAACTGTATGCAAATAACGCCAATGCAAAAATTGTGAAATTTATCTTATTTGAAATGCTAGAATACGTATTCTGTTTGATGCACATTTACAACGACAACGAAGTAATGCAAACTATGGGAAACGCATTGTCAAATAAATTCCTTATCGCAAGCTACGCGAGATAATGTATCAAATAGATTAAAATGAAACATCATTATTAGGAGGAAAGAATTAAATTCTCAAGGTCAAGTAGTGTTCACATTTGTTTTCCTGCTTGTTCACTACACGTGATCTTTACAAAATTAAAACAGAAATATCATGTGGGTTACCAAGACTTGGCTCTGGACTAATGCCTTTACATTCGGACCAATAAATCTTAACCAGTTCAATTGGTTTAGATTGTCAGAAAGAGCTACACAGAGCTGGAATATACAGTATATATCTGGTTCACACTGTCCCAACATCTAGCGGGCTAAAATTCAGGCAATTAAAGACTATGATATCTCGACAGACTTGGCTAACAACGTAGATGTGTAGATTAGAGACGGATAGAAAAAGCTTATAGCTTTATTTGAGTCCGTAACGTTTTCGTTCATCCTGTAATAAACTATCACATTCCCATCCATGAATCGACAGGGAAACCCGAAGGCTTCTGAAGCGTAGAAAACACTTCTGAGACTTGCTCTTAATAAAAGATCATTATTAATTCAATTACGGATCCTGGAAATTCCAGGGCATATTTAAAAATAGTATAGCTAGATGCTTCACTACTTGAGAAACACTGTAAGCGTACGAAAGCCGTACTTACGCAAAACGATCATTTTCGTATATTAAACAAAGAACAGAACAGTGACAGAAATCCTCTAACATAGTCGCACAAAATTTAGACGTGCTAGCCGAATTAGATCTGACTAAAGCTGATACTTCACCAAACTATTCCACACTGCGAATATTGATAACGACACATCCCATAACTATACTAATGAGATCCCAGCTGTGATATCAATACATATGACTGAGGAGGCTTTTCTTTAGTTTTTTTCGCTAGCCACAAACCTACTAAGTCACCGGGTTCTGATGGGTTGCATTCGCTATTGCTACCATCCTTTGCTTACACCATATCTAGACCACTCACGATAACGTCCAACATATCTCTCTCCCAAACTCGATTCTCTAGAGATTGAAAGGGTACTATTACTGGCTTTATATTCAAATAGCAAGAGAAACTGGTAGTGTATAACAACGGACCTGTCAGTCTATCCAGCACAGTATTTAAGTTACTTGAAAACTAATTCGGGCGAAGGCATTAAGTGAAGTAGAATCATTCAGTCCGTTAAACGCCCTGACGACGGGGGTTCGGAATAATCATTCATTCTTGATTACCTTGCGGTGAGCAGGAGCTGTTTGAACAGCAGAACACGATAATAGTTTGCCTATCAATATGATAATCATAGATTTTACCAAAACATTTGATAGTTTATCACTCGACGCTTATGAAGAAGCTCTCGGGCCTTGGAATAAAGGGTGCTATGTAATAGTAGGTAAGGAACTTCCTCTGTGAACGAAGATAGAAGGCAAAAGGGAATAGGATACTGTCTGAATGAAAGCCGATTAAGAGTTCTGTACTTCTGAGGATCACCTTAGGTTGCATATTTTTTCTCCTTTTACGTAAGTTAACTATCGGGACCACTTAAGTTGTCAACACTGTAGTTTGCAGATGATATCAAAGTCTGGAGAACAATAAATGGTGAGGCTAATAGTCTTCATCCGCAGGCTGAACTAGACGAAGTAGTTAGATGGTCACAAAGTCAGGGCTTATAAATGAATCCTATAGACAGTGCACCAATGCACATGAGACACGGCAATAGTTACCAGTATACTGTAAACCGTACATGGCTTCCACGCGTGCAGGAAAAAAGAATTAGAAGTAACGGTAAGTAATGTCTTGAAAACTTTTGGAGGTTGCTACACTGCAACTTTCAGGTGTTTTTGAGTGTTATGGTTGCCTCACCGAGCATTCGAATATTTAGATGAGGATATGTTTCGGGTTTTATAGTCCACCTATGTGAGACCACATCTAAAGTGTTACATCCAAACGACTGAAGCATGACTTATTAAGGATGCTGACACACTCAAGTGTTCAACGCGTGAGTCAGAGTTGGTGACGCGTCTTTCATTACCCATTACGCCTGAACCTTTTTCTGAAGAATAAGATTTTAGCGATATCAAAATAGCAACTGACACCGACCCTCCAAGGGCGTAGATAATAATCTGGATCTGGCGGATAGTTATTACTCCTATGGTAGAAAGGTCAATAGAAGAAGGACGAAGGTGAAAAAGAAGTTCGGAAAACCTAGGAGAAAGGAACTTTTCGTCCCTAGACAATCTGTGCAAATACGTATGTTTCAGCCCCAAAAGATGGCCAACATATCTTTAAAATAATAGTTATAAAAGATACAATCTTGGTCACATAACACTTCTAGGTTGCGAGATTTGGTTACATAGGAACACTACGTCCCCCTACCTACAGAATCCAAACGACGGTCACTTAGTATCGATTCCAATATGGAATGAATGGAGGTCTTGAGAGCGAACTGTCTCCACCTACGACTTGCTTTTACGCTCCCAACACAGCTGATACCACACTGTCAATAACTATGCCTCTATTCCGTTCGGCTCTCCACTGAGGCATGACTAACATCATTTACAGGAGGTATCGTAAGTAATCTTTACACCCCTACGGCAAGGACAGCACTACTTACCACTGTAACAGAGATGGAGACAATTCAGCTTCCCATATCAAAAAAATTTGATAACAACTCATCACCGAGCGTGATAAGATGTTCACGGAACGTAACTGTACCTATGATGTTGATGAAGTTCACTGCAAGCTAGTTCCGTCACCATCAAAGGAAACAAGTAAATTCTCATTCAGCTGTTTCATGAACCTGGATGGACTGCCATCCGAACCAGGCATCCAAAACATATCTAGTCAGATATGTAATGACTAAACAGTGGACTTTTATGCTTATTATTGTTCACTCTTTAAGTAATAAAATGGCAGAACTTAAAATGACTGGATTAATTACGAAATCGGAAATTATTCTTGTAACGGAAACGTGGTATCTGTCTTAAATGTTAGATGTAGAACTATACATAGATGACTTCATACTGCAGCGTTTCGACCGATATCATGAAAATGGATGGAGCTTATATGAACTACATACGTGACAATATTTCATAGCACACGCGCGGTAACAACATCTTGAACTTGCTATCTTGTCTCAGAATTACACCTATAATAAGACCTATTGAAATAGTGTTCTCTACTAAAAGTAATGGGATAGTTTATTGTTCCTTGCCAATTCACACAACATATATAAAGCGTAAGAAAAATCCGCACCGAGCAACAACACGACGCTTTAAGTTTGCAGACAGTGAATTTCAGTGAACGTTCTCAATTGATATGACTGGGATGGCTATTTTGATAACAAATCGTTATCGGACGCGATAGCTATCCTCAATGGGACCATGTTGTCGTGCTTAAATGCCATAGACCATACAAACACGTACAAGATTTATACCAATAAGTCTTTCTTACTCCCATTTAAATGTAGAGCATGCGTCAGAAAATCTTCACAGCTCTACGCTTCTAAAGACTTTTACTCCTGCACTCAGTGTGTGAAACTTATGAAATTGTTAAAGTATTACGTGACTGAAACGACAGTAAAGAAGAGTTCGACGCTCTCTAGAACATAATACCTAAAATTTCTTCTGAGTTGACGCATGCGTAAATCAAAAGATATTCCGTTTCCTATCCACGACGACACAATCGTGTAGATTGTGTACGATAGTACATTATATATATATATATATATACTCTTGTAACCTAAAACTCTTTCACTTAGCTGGCCTCAATGACTCTTTGATCATCCGTACCAAATCATCAAGATAAACTCAAAAGTATCAACATCTAGGAGAGTAACAAGTGGGGTTATACAGGGAAATGTTCTATGACCTCTTCAATTTGTAATGTACATCAGCAGTTCTTGTAGCTTCTTCGACGAAGGAAAGACTTTCCGGTTCGCTATTGACACAAAGGCAGTCTACTCACACAGTAAAGATGAGGTGTATAACACTGCTAATTTTATATAGCGGGAACTAAACAAGTTGGCAGTATAGTGTGGAAAGTACCGACTTCAACTTAAGATTAACAACTGTAGCTGGAGTAGAAGCAACTTGGGTCAATATTTTGAAGTTGCTAGGATGCCAAAATCCGAGTTTTATAGTATCGTAGTCCTAGACTTAAGACACTCGAATGACCCAGAATTTTCGTGACGAACAACGTCAATCAGCTCAAAGGGACGCAGACTTATGGGCTGTATAATTCGTAATTTTCATGAAAGTTAGTTAAAGCTGAAACTGTGTAAAGTCTGTATCCGCTCAGTGCTTAAATATTGTCCGTTTATAACCAGTGGTCTTCGTATAAATGACAAATTAAAATTCTAAAGAATAAAGAGATGCATCACAAAGAAGACTTTAGGACTGAGTCACGACGAGGGTTACTTTGCACGATCCGATAAATGGGTGCTAGAATCCCTTTGGTAAAGAAGAGCCTGACTTATTCCAAGATTTTACTTCAAAATTGTATACAAATTATGAAATCCTTCAAATCCAATGTTAGGCTTCATCTATTTGTCTAACTATTTAGTAAGAAATCACATTAGGTTAATCAAAATACAACATTGTAGATCTGAAGTATGATGAAAATCCTTCCTACACATATATACAACCTTAGAGATGATGTATTAACGGTCAAACTTTGAAAACAAAGGTTGAGAACCGGGACAGACCTTTCCCTCTCTAAGTATAAATAGTTATAGAACAGTCCTCCCTCTGAAATATTCATCGTAGATGAATAACATACGTTTATTAGACTTGTTGATGAAGCCCTCGCCTTCAATCATCCGGCAGGAACGAACAGGTTTGCACTCTACTAAGATATCATATTACATTAACGTGTTTAAAACATGTAAGAAAATGTATATTTCCAGTTTCATTTCTTATTTATATCAGCGTTAAGATTGTCGACGCAGAGGTAGGTGACAATGAAAATTAACCAGAAGCGGAGAGATAAATCACCAGATTAACGGGCAAAACAATATACAAGACGTAGAAAGCAACGCTAACAATTAAGAGATTTAATTTCTCCGACTTTTCAGACCGAGAATTAGGGGTAGTATCCCTATATAACATGGAGAGTAAGAGCCGGTGTAAATCGCCAAGTACAAATCTCAATATACGTGTACATATTGTACATCATTCGATAACACTCAATTGGATAAGTAACACAAAGCACGCCCCATTGAAAAATATTAATTCATTCAAAAGTTACGAATGAAAATGTGACTCGGAAACATCTTACAGAAAATCCGCGCGTCAAAATCCCACAGAAATGCACGAGACATCCAATTTCCTTAACACACTGTCGTCCATAACTTTTGAAGGGCTCAAGCGATTTCACTCATTCACTTTCTGTGGGATTTCTCTCGCAAATATCTGTTTGACAACTTACAACATATTGTAAGATGAACGAATGAGTGAAATGCAAAATGTATCCATGAAACGAGTTAACCAGCAAATCAATTTTACGTATGAGCAGTGAGCAAAACTTGCCAAACTAATCATGCTGAACCATCGTCAGTAACCTGACTAATAACTCTACACAAACAGTGTTGTTTTCTCGCAGTTACCGTTATGCAAACACTGAACAAAAGTTCATACTATTATCATAAAAATGGGTTGGATGTTATACTCTCCTTGGCTAAAATTTATGCTCTCACGGCCTCCCGAATGCCCTAGTATGGCCGAGGGCGGGGAGAGTTAACTCTCCCTCTCGAAATGCCCTCGCGTGGCCTCGCGTATATAACCACTGCCAGGGAAGTCCTACTCTGCTTTCTCGTGGCATTACTGTTGTTTGCGAAATTAAGAGGACGAAAAGCGAATGTTTGGTGATTTAACGCGGTTGGTGGATATGGAGGGTCCACCTGGGGGAGTTGTTAAACCCTAATTCAAAACCGATGGTGAAAATGTGTTTCAGGATCCTAAAGGGTCAAGTGGCGTATGTACCAATTATTGGTGACCAGCTACCATTTGATTGCATCTCCTGACGTCATTCCACTGCCTTGTGGATCAAACTTTTAAGTTAAAGGCTCCAAACGTGGCCCCCTAAGGAAGCCACCTCTTTCGGTTTGGACACCTGGGAAGCATCAGAGCCCACACAAATTCAAGTGACTTGTGTGACGCATATGTATTTTGTGCACCTTTGTACAAATATTTATGTGTTTCAATGAATAAAATAAGTAACCAGTGTATGAACACTTAATTAACTGAAGTTATCGTTCGGTATATTACCTATAATGTTACTATATTAGCTATACTAATTTCACTCATTTTGTAGGCGATCCATTAAGTAATCAGCATATTGAGTTCACGATATAAGTCTCACGGCCACGCTCACGTTAAACCCATTATTGTTAGTGGTCCATATGAAATTCTGGAACTTACCGCTAGTATTATGTAAAAAACATTTTTTTCTTTTTTGTCATATAACTGAAAGCTACCACATATGTAACTTTTCTATATGATTATTATTAATATAAACAGGAAATACTTGTACTGGTCATACTTTAAGCAGCTAACACGGTGTTCCGATGTGACTTGTTAAGGCACTTCAGCATGCTAATTTGTCCTTTCATTGTTGCTTTTCCTCATATTTGAGCAACTTACAATCAGCGAGTTTTGTATTCAAGTGAGTTTTGTGAACGAAACCCCGGCATCGTACGTACTCGAACCTCTGCCCTTCTGAATGCTAGACCACAAACTTAGAAAAGAAACCACAGCGGCCTATGATGGACATAAATATATTATTTCATTACACTGACTAATTATTCATAATATTTAGGACTAATAGAACTTACACACTTATAGGGTGCAAACCAACTCGTTACCTAGATGACTTGAAGAAATGAAGCTTCAATATATTATGCATACCTGTTCGTGTTTTGATTTCGTCAACTATAGTTATAGGAAGTAGACAGTAGTTTCAAATAACATGGATATGATACAACATAATGTGTACCTGGAACGAAAACTTACTAGGGATAACAACGTGGTATATAAACACAGGCAGCAAATACACTTGAGGCCTGTTTTCACTTCAGCTGACAAGTGAAAGTGAGAAGAGCGTGTGCAGTAATGTTTTATAGACGGGAATCAGTGTCACGTGAGTAGAGAACAGAAAAGTTGCGAAAGATTGATGTCGAATTGAATTTTTATATTCCACCCTATTTGATATGAGAAGGCTGATGAAAATGTTTCTTATGTTTTGTTTTATCTTGGTAAATATGGCTTATCGAGTTTTATACAGGAATGTTTTTCTTCTCTTGAACTGTCCAGAGTAAAAATGGTTGCTTGATTATATAGCTTCCATGAGTGGCCTTATGCCTCCTTCACTGGCGCATCTTACCCGACTTTTTATTTTTTACTGAAGGCCGTAGAATTTTCAGCTTACATATTATGAAGAGAACGAGAATGGCAAACATAACGTTTAACTGTTACAGGAGCGGGAAACATTCAAAGAGAGGTTAAACTGTTGCGACGATAACGACCACTTGTATCAGTAAAAATGAAACGTTCCTATATGTTACAAATGAAACCGGAAGGATTTGTTTTTCCAAGTCCATGAAGGATGTAACTGTATAACCTTGGAAGCGCAGCTTCTAGTTGTATTTTGTCTGTTGTCGCTTGGTTCAGCGTTCGTGTTTCTCTTTAATTCCCCAAATCCTCATTGTATGAACCTAATTGAAGTATCTTGTTTTCAATGTCTTGAACTACTTGTTTTTGATTATCATATATAACTGTCTATGTTGATGATATAACTTTTGTGTTCGTAAATTATCCCGTAGTGTAAAATTTGTCTGTGATCTAAAACAATATAGAATGTAACATCATACTGCAACCTCAGGATCGACGCAGAATGAGGTAACCGGCGAAATCTATGCTCACGTCCTTTTTTTTCTGATCATGATTGATAGTAAAAATGGTAGGAGGTGAACGTTGGACAAATCCTTCTTATATACTTTCCATAAAATAATATACCATAAAACCCTATTATAATGGTGCCGAATAGAGTGAAAATAACTATGAAAGTCTTTTCTGAGTCAAATTTACAGCGACAACCGCGTCGTTGTTGTGTTGCTAACAATATATAATTAACCTATCCAACGTCGATAGATAACTTGGTTTTAGAATCATAAGTACATTTTTTGTCTAAAAAAGTCTGAAAATGTCGATCAGTTGCTTTAATCAGTAAATCATGCGTAGTTTAGCCTAAGTTCACTTTGTTTGGTAATAATCCCAGTTAAAAATTTAAGATTATACTTTACATGTGCTTAGTTCCTAGTTTCTTATTTTTCTTTCCGAGGAGCTGATCTCCAAGTAGACTAGGAAGTTCAGGACCATGGTCAAACCAGAGCCTTCCGCGATAAAATTAATCTTGTGACTGACATCCTAACATGTCTACCAAAATTACATCTTTTTCTGTGATGATTTTAAGTGGTCATCGGATTTTTAATCAGATTCTCAGTGAAACATTGGATTGAATGACCAGCGTGTCATACTAATTTCTGAAAACTGAATGGGTGGGTGTAGTGACTGTGTTACTTAGCTCAAGTTGTTTACTTCTGAATAAAGATATAGGATGTCGTTGAAACCATCTTTCAATTACATCAGTACCTCAAGTCTGGTTGTATTAGTTCCAAGTTTAACAGCCCTAAAATTTTAACTGTACTTGTGCTCTCTATTTTCGCAGTATGGTCTTAACTTCGAGTAATGATCGTGAAAGTTTTAGGACTTATTTGCCATAATGTATCCACTATCCGGATAATGTTCTCTGATGTTATATTATAATATTAACTTCGTTTTCCCAATCACTGGGGAGTATTTCGTTGTAACGTTGTTCGTGAAAGGGAATATAGGACTTATAGCTTTAATAATATAACTTAAAATCTCATGTCGTCTTTTGTTGCTCTGTAATTATAACTCATACACATCTTTTTCCAAATTTAATTGTGTGAAGTGTTTTTAAAATGTCAGAAAATATTACACGTAACGTAAACGCCGAAGTAAAAGTGGTCTCAGTATTTGTTATCGAATAATGACTTAGATTTACAAAATCTACTTATTTGGAGCAATATTATTATTTTTTAATGGGATATTATTACCTAATCTGTCTACCAAGACTTCTTTGTTACTGAAAACTAAAGATCGAACTTGTCTTTTGTCGTTATTTTTATAGCTTTTAAAGAAGTTTATATAATTGTTTTTTAACTTTCTGATCACGACTTTGGAGATTTCACTTTTTTGGTCAATTTTGCTTTATACTGCGTTCTACACAAATTTGTCTCGACTAATCTGTAGCATTTATGTTATCGATTTGCAGATACGAAGTGCAGTCTACACTGAGTAGTTGTTTGTGTATAATGCATCTACAGAAATACAGAGTCTGCTTGTTGTTGACGCTTCTCATTATCTTTGATCACCCTTAAGACATAGAGAAACTATTTTTGACTTATACTTTTGCTTACTAAATTGTCCTGAGTAATGGTTTTGCAATATTAACCGTTTCAAATTGTTTTCCAGTTGTTTTAGCTGATTATCGTTTGATCACTGGGTTTTTTAGTCACATTGCTCTTTAATTTTATTCTCTACACGTTCACTCAAATAAACTTGTTTCAATACTCACTAACGGCAACATCAACAACATACCTATAGGTTAAATCCAATAATAATATCTAGATAATCAGAGTTTCTCAAACTCCTGAAAACCTCCTGTTTAGCTAACTAATATAGTTAGTTTCACTAAGCCATTAAAAATAATGAATAATTCAACTTTCCCAAAGTGCCGCTCATTCGATAAAGAAATGCATCGAATAGATATTCAATGTAGTTTTGTAAGTTGAGAGGTCACTTTTCGTGATCTTGGTACTTTTATAACGTTAAAGTCTACGTAGTTGTAAAAACCTGTACAACGAAAATGTGAGAAGATAAGATTACTGTATTTTAAAAAATAGAACATTGTAGTCTAAGTAATTGAAATGTAACTATCACACGTTTATCGGATCAATTTTAAGGATATTTGCTGAAGAGTTAAAAAACAACGTAAATATGAAAGGATAACCACACTTAGTTTTGCTTCAGAATTTTCTAACGTTAGAGTTGTTTGTGGAACGGTTGAGTCATAAATATCTTGTTTTTTAATTCTTACTGAAAACGTATTTTAAAGTGATAACTAACTCAGTGTTTACTTTTTTAACCTTTAAATGTTTTTTAGTCAACTGTAATACAAAATGTTGCCAACTTTTCATTGGTCAGATTATTTGGTTTTCGGTATTTCACTTATTTGTTACTCCCTGATTGGAATTTATCATCGATATCATGATGTAATTTTTGGAAAATTAACTAATTGTTTTCGTGGTATCAACTTTCAACCAAAAGTGAGAAAGAAAATGAACGTAGAAGAATTATTCTTAGGTGATCGTAATTTGACATTGTTACCTATTGTTGGAAGTGTAATGGCCAGTTTTTTATCAGCTGTCGGTATATTGGGCACTGCATCTGAAGCTTATCAATGTGGTATTCAATTTATTACATTGGTTGGAGGTTATTGTATTGCGTTTCCATTAGCTGCATATGTTTACATGCCAGTATTTTATAAGCTCAGATTGAACAGTGCTCATGAAGTTAGTTGATTAATCTTGATATGTATATTTCGTTGTCTGCTGTATTGCTAACCGTATTACCCTAAATCTTGAATTAACTCTTAAACTTCTTTCGTAATTTTACGCAACTCATATATTACGTACGGATTAATATAATCAACCAACTTGTTTATATAAAAATGAAGTGACACTGAAAGATTGTCAAAATCAAAGTATTCGAGGAGGTGTAATTCAACCACTACAGTCACCAATCTACTCATAAAATACAAAGTCATCTGGATACTGTTTAATTTACACCCCACTCTGCAATTTATCACGCACTTGCTACAGCTGTAGATTACAGTTTATTATTTAGATACTTACACTACTAATGAAGTGGGAATACTTGTTATTCCCCCGGTTCTATACATTTTTTATTGCAAAGCACTATATTAGTCGTTGAGCAGTTTGAAATATCTTATCATTGCATACTTGGGAATTTGAAAATCTTAATTCAAGAAGGTTACTTTCTTACTAAAGTAGAATATTAATAACTAAACTCACATATATCGTTTGTTAGTGTTCCGATTTGTAACAGATATTCGTCATAAATGTTAAGTACTTACTTAGTTTCTAGTCTTACATTAAAAGTTTTCTAGTTTTAGCTCTTAGTAAGCCTATTCACCTGTGCTTCTGTTGGTTTTGTCAAAATTACAATAACATTTCTCATACGTTACTATTCCTTAAAGTGTTTATGTTATTTAACAACGTTTTTATAGATAGTTTATTAATGAATGATCTGTAAACAATCTGTATTGTGTTTGTATTCCGTTTAAACTTTATTAAATAGTATTTAGAAATGCGATTTGGAAAACTTGTTCGATGGACAGCTTCACTTGTATTCTTATTACAAATGGTATGTCAATTATTTTACGGAAATCATTCGTTGAGTCTTATGGTTATACAAACAATTACTTTAAAATAGTACCATTTAAATAAGAATTGAAAAATTAGGGATTGTAGGTAAACATTTTCAGTTGTTCTTCAATAAGCAGAAAACTGGAGTATAAGTTGATTACTTGAGAAAAAATGTACTGTCGAGTGAGATTTATCTTAGTTAATACCTATCATTCCTTGATTTATAAACTTTGTTGAAATACAAGATATGCGGAAATTATTTGATTCGAAGGTAGATTTCATCATATACTAACTCAAATATCGGTGAACATTGAATAACTTTGTCCTGTTAGTTTGAGACTTTTCGGCAGTGCATATCGAACATATATAGGATCTTAAAATCTTTGCACAATCCCCCCCATTTCTGTTCATTCTTGTAAAGTTAGTGACATTTGTTTTATTATTTGTACGATTAAATTTAGAGACACTTTTTCAAGTGACCTTACTTTTTTAATCCGATCCGCCTGATGTGATAAAATTGTATGTCTCATAGGATTGATATAGTCACACACTAGTTGCTCACATAGTTGTAACCAATGTCATATTATTTAACTTTTATTATTTATCAATTATGTTGCAATAGTCCTCTGATTCTGAATGACATAAAATGACCATGTACCATTTTTTTTTTGGTATTCTATCAGTTAATCCTGTTTTACTAATGATCAATCTCCATTATTTACTCTTTAAATTAATCTTTTGTTATCTATTTGCATATTTATTTACTATGCTTTTCATTTTGTTTCATTAACTTTATTCAAATTAACACTTGTAGACAGTTTACATTGCTCTTGCATTGTATGCGCCTGCTTTGGCATTCAGTCAAGGTGAGTTATTGTTTTGTTAACTTGCAATAATGATCTAAGAGATTGATTATTTTATCAGTATTTATTATTATTTTTATTCATACACACATGCTTCGATTGGTTACTTGTTCCTTGGAACTGTGACCATTTCTCGTCAAATTAGTTGCTATATGTATATATCTATATTACATAGTAACATTTTTGCATAGATCACGTGAAATTTAGATCATGTTTATGTTCATTAGAAAATGTTCAACTCATTTATTTAATTAATTCTGTTATGTTTTTTTGTTGTTGTTGAGAAATCTTTTCTATACTGATCTATTTCTTTTGTTATTTATATTGATTTGAAGTTAGTGGTCTACCTATTTGGATATCGATATTGTCTACTGGTTTAGTGGCTACATTCTATACAGCTTTTGTAAGTTAGATTAATTATAATGTGATGATAATAATAACTTCATCATTGATTGAACATTATTATTATTATTATTATCATCGTCAGCTTTATTCAATATTATATATTTTTGGTACAATATAGAATTCTCAGCGTAAAGTATTTCAACAAGTTTCCGTTTCTTTCTTCTTGGTCTGTCCTGGTGATAAATACTGAGTGATCGCCAATTAGATGTTAGCAGTTCAGTAAATGAACATCTGAATAATGTGCATTCTTTTCGCTGTATATTACCAGCAACCACGTTGTCTCTTATTGAGTTTTTTTGTAACTTTGACAACGAAAGGTTGTACACTTTTCAGAAATGCATCAGAATAGCTTATGCGATGAATAGACATAATGACATATATTAAAACAAACAAAAATAGATAACTTGTTGAAATATCTAAATGGCAGGAACAGGTAGCCCAGATGCTCAAGCAGGCCGCCCTTGTTGGATCAACTCATCATATGTTGATACATCTAGTAATTAGGTTAAATAATGAATGTTTTATATGTGAAGGAATACTTGAATTCTCAGAAAAAGGTTTTGATTAGTCCATGTGTAGCATGTATCTAGTGACGAATTAGTGGTTAACCTGTTATGTTTCGATAAGAATAATGATTGGTAATTTTTGCGATCCATTTCTGAACCAATACTATACGTATATTTTTATCGTATAATTGTTAAGTAACTGAATTATCCATATTCATGTCTCTCTTATCATAAGCTTTATTTTAACCTATGAACTGTTATTATACGATGTACCATTCTTGAATTATTCCCTGTCTATTGATCACTATCTCCCGCATTCACAGCCACATTTGGGCAAATCTTGCACGAATGTTGTTTCCTATTTTATGGTACGATGTGGTCTGTTTAGTTGGTATACGAACCCCGTATGTTGAGATTGTTGTTCTGGACTTAACTAACTGGGCTAGGCGGAAAGTAGGACCAATTAGGACTCTAGACTGCTCGTACGTGTTTTATGCGTCACTAGTTTGATCGATAATTCACTGCTCTCCAATTGGCGGTATCATTACGTTATACATAAACAGAGCACACAGGTCACAAGTTATAACAATTGTCGACGGGGATAGGATCCCAAAAATTACCATTCATTATTCTTATCGGGATATAACATAAACAATGAATTACATATTCGGGCTTTGCATTATCCGTTTGGATTTAAGCAACTGAGTAATGTCAACATCTGTTATAACCTAAGAGATTACTGTAACCAATGCTAAAAGAAGTTAGGTGATAGTCGATAATTTGTCTCAATGGTTTAGTTGCAGCCGTTCTTCACCTTCCTTTGGATCTGGGGATTAAATACTACCTTCTATTTTTTTTATTCCGTGAACTCATTCTCCAATTATCTTGTCTATGCCTAATGTTTTCCATTACCGCTGATATTATTACAACTTCTATGACTTTGGTATTGGTTTTAATGGTTTCATTTCACCGTGCTGATTTGATGTGGCAAATTAAACTGATGCACATATGTACCAGGTTATACGTTGCTTATGACTAACTGACTAGTCATTACGCCTCAAGTGTGCCACAAAGATATGTATATGAATACTTACACTTGAAGAGTAAGTTAAGTTATCTCTTTAGTGTGAACGGAAACATTCAATTATATTCACCTCCTATTACAAATCATAAGAAATGGAGACTTTTCATCTCACTCGTTGATTTAAATTTATTTTACTTGAAATAAAAAAAACATATAAAAGCAGGATGCGGAGAAGGGTCGAAAATGAAATTTGCTGTCAAGATCAAAAATCGGTGGAAAATGCCCATTTAACATTACATAATTCATCTATATACATTTGTTAGTTGTTGAAAGAGTTTTTAAGCTGACCCATTAGATGTGTAAAAGTTCATGAATATTAAAGCAAATAGCTTAATAGAAATTTATGGAAGTAAAATGATATTTGTAATAATCTCGCCAATTGATGTTCAATTTATTCCCAGACTTCATTTATTCTCTAAATTTTAATAACAATAAGACGCGCATTCATACAGACACCTCCACATGTCTCACGTTGAACATATTACATAATAAATAACTCACATTCTTATTGTATACAGACTTGAAATCTGAATATTATTGGACAAGTATTTTATACTGAATTGTTTCTGATTGTATTGATCTTTGATGAATTCCTTGAATAAACTTATCTTACTGAGCAACACATCAGAACTACTTAATGTCTTGTTCCCCTTCTCTTTTAAATATCAAAATGTCTATTTATTTAGTTGCTGATTTCGTTGTTTTTTTTTCAAAAGAGCTTTCGTTTCTTTTTTGCTCGCCTATTTTATCGAATTAGAGATGACATATTCTTTTGAATTGCGCTAGAAACCAATATGAGACACCATGGTAATATGACCACAGATGACAACTAGATATGTATACTGGAGGACTGTTTTTTTTCGGTGTAATGATTATTTCCTGTTACACTATTAACAGTACAAATTGTAAAAATTTCTAACAGCCATGTTTTGTTTTGTTCTGTTTTATTTTGCCTATTTAAAATTTCTTTAGGGAGGTATTCGTGCAGTAGTATGGGTTGATCTTTTCCAACTAATTGTTCTCATCAGTGGATTTTGTTTAATCACACTATTAATTACTTTAAAAGTTGGTGGATTCCAACGTCTATGGAGGATAGTAATAGACGGTCAGCGTGTTCAATCTTTCGAGTAAGAATGTTATGTGATAAGTTTAAGTGAGTTTTTACATTTAGAGTTTCACATCACTGACTGATTTTCTTTAGATAGCTATCAAAAAAACAGGAAGATTGAACAGCTATTTCGTCCTAGTGTCCCTGCTAAGGTCGTCTATGTCTAATGCTGAGTGGTCCTATACTAGGACGATCCAGCTGTTCAATGTTATCTAGTTTTATAGTGTTGTCTAGGAAAACGTGGTCTGTAGTATAAAATCTAAAGTTCAACGATCGTTGTAAACGGCCGATTGTTATAATTCTCTCTTATTACAACCCAGCCATTCCTATTACTTATTGTTCTCAGACACCAATTCACTCGACAAGTCACCAAATCAGAACACGGTTGAACAGGAAAGAGATTATATTCCAAATAACAAGGTTAAATGGAAGTAAGAAACACAATAGGAAAAATGTTAGTATATTTATAGTTTTTACGGGAAAAGATTTCTAAAGTGTTCTCCAAGTAATCGTACATTGAGCATGCTTTAATCCAATCTATGTCCCCGATAACACTGATAATGACTTTTTTTATATATCTGGATTGTAACCGTTAAAGTATTATTTATGTTTTAAGATCATTTACAGTTTATCCCAATAGCTTTTTTATATTGATCCAAAGAATTCCTTAACTTTCATTCGTCTTGTTTTCACCGATTATAAAATAATTGATATATGCAGGAAAATCGAACAAATGGACTCAGTTTCACTTGATTTTAATAGGTCTTTTTATCCATTGATACTGTTTCAAAACTTAGTCTTTTTAGGTGATTTTCAAGAACATCTCAAATTTCTCTATACAAACTCATGACACGTCATTGTTATAGGTTGCATAGAAAGTTTCTCAGAATTTTGTCCCTTTTAAATTGTTGATAATTGAACTAACCATAGTTGTTAAGGAGATTGTGTTCGATTATGTTGTAGGTGTTTCATGTTATCACATCTAGTTTTCGAATCGTATAGTCAGAGTTGACACGTATCACGTTTTATTTGTAAGTTGTTTTACATGTAAATTTCAGCTTGTATATCATTCTCGTCAATAATATAATCGAGCTATCTTCATAGTTAGTCCATAGTTTTCGCTTCAGTTATATATATATATATATATATACTCAGTAGGTTTGAAATAAACCTGTAGATACTGAAATTAGAATATAATCTTTACATATTTTTCAAAGCATGAAAGTGATTGCATCATTTCTCTTTAATTACGGTGATATATTAGTTTGAAGAAACCGTTGAACAATGATTTGTACCGTTGATTTCCGTTCATTCAATTACCAGTTTATTCTCTATATATAATACACTTTGTAACGTTTTTGTTTGTAAATATTTACTTACTTATTTACACCAGTTACTCCTAATGGAGCATAGGCCGCGGACCACCATTCTCCAACCTACTCTGTCCTGGGCCTTCTTTTCTAGTTCCATCCAATTCTTCTTCATTTTTCTCATGTGTATTTCCATTTCTCGGAGTAATGTGTTCTTTGGTCTTTCTCTTTTCCTTTGGCCTTGAGGATTGCATGTAAGAACTTGTCTTGTGACGCATTTTGGTGCTTTCCTCAATGTGTGTCCCATCCACTTCCAGCACTTCTTCCTGATTTCTTCCTCCGCTGTGATTAACTAACATGCATCTATATACTACTTTGATAAAATGTCCCATTCTTTAAAATTTTCTTTCCAAGTGCTTAATTATTCATATATTATTCTAGTTTTAGTATTGATCCTTTTAAACGACATACATTATGGACTTTAATTATTGGTGGGACCGGATTGGTTCTTAGTATATTCGGTGCTAATCAAACACAAATTCAACGTTATATGGCATGTCGAGATTTAAAAACTGCTCGAAGGTATGTTATTTTCTTGGTTGTGCTCAGTTTTGTAGTGTTCATCAATATTTTGGTGGAGTTTTGTTCTCTGAGCTGGATAATTTGGTCCTGGAGCTTTCATCGTTCTTCTGAACGACATCATCAGCACAAACTTCAGATAGAAGTGAAGTGTTTGAATTTCTCCATATGTGTCTCAAAGCTTGTTCTGTGCACCTCGACGTTGATTGGTTCTTATTGACCTTAAATTTGTCGTTGTTTACTTCTTTGTTTTGGTTGTGTCTCCCATTGTTTTGATTTTTGTTCTTATGTTTGTGCATGATTTTTCTGATTGGTTGATAAATTGGATTGATTTCAATATGCTTGTTGATTGCTAATTGACCTGAGTGCCAGGCTTCTAAAAATAAGAACCAATCAACGTCGAGGTGCACAGAACAAGCTTTGAGACACATATGGAGAAATTCAAACACTTCACTTCTATCTGAAGTTTGTGCTGATGATGTCGTTCAGAAGAACGATGAAAGCTCCACGACCAAACCATCCAGCTCAGAGAACAAAACTCCACCAAAATCATCCACCTGAGCTACAAATCTTCTCCACCATCTCAAAGTTCATCAATATTCCCTATTGTGTATGTTGTTAGGGACTATGTTGGGATACTTGACTGATTAGTGAACTGACGAAACTAGTCCACTATACGCATGATGGAGAATTATGAGTACTTTTTTCGTAGATCTCAAGCAATAAATAGATAGGAGTTTATTATTCGTTGTCGTGTAGCGTGCAATAGTTTTTTAATGACTAACAAAGTAATTTGAATAAGAATACAATCAACTTGCACCAAGATATCTTTGTCACTAAAGATTTCTTGGGAATCATATCGATAAAGGGTATATTGTATTGTTTTGTTCTAACTAACTATGATATCAGGTGGAAGGGTGACCATATGGTTGGTATCGATATGTGGAGTATATGTATAGTGAATATGATCTTAGGCATTTGCTTCTAGACTCACCCTGGACAACTGAGATAGAAAACAGTTGTTTGCAAGAGCGCTTTCATTATCCTAAGAAGAACCAGACATTGTTACAAAGCATTATACAAATAATCAATCTCTGAATATAGTACAGAAATACTTATAAAGTAGAAATTGCATCATAACTTCGCCTGTAACTCTTCTAGAGTTACTGCCGGATATAAGCTTGGGTAAAAGAGGAGGGTTGGGCATGGAGTCGGAAACCCCATCCCACAGAAAACAACCATTCTGAAAAAACGATAAAGATCAGTTTTACGAGATGCCGCAATCAATCGTAGCGAAGTGCTCAGGAAAGGACATGCCCATCCTCATGTGAGACCTATATTCCAAAGTCAGAACAGATATTACCTGGTATGAAGATGTCATGGGACAACATGGACTGGGAGGAAAAACGAGAATGGTGACAGATTCGCAAATTTATGTGCATTAAATAAAATGGTTACAGGCAACACAATTTTCACCCACGAACGCATACACAAAGCTACATGGGTCTCATCGGATCACACCATGGAGAAATAGATAGACCATATTTGCATCACTAAAGACTCCAGAATGTCAATCAAGGACATGTGAACCAGAAGAGGAGCTGACACAGCTTCAGATCATCATCTTATGGTTTCCAAGATGAAATTGAAGCTAAAGAACCAATGGATAATAGGAAAAACAGCATTAAAAAGGTTTATTACGGCCTTTCTTCGAGATACTGAGAAATTCAGTGAATTCAAGATAGCTCACAATAACAGGTTCCAAGCCTTACGAGGTCTACTCAAAGAGGCAGAAAGGAAGTACTAACCTCACCGTATGAGGTGCTGGGCCGCAAGAAGCAGCATCATAAGGAAGGGATCTCCATCGAAACCCGGAGCAAGATTAAAGAAAAGAAGAACAAGAAAACAACAATTAACAACAGCCGAACAACAACAGAGGAAGTCAAGGCATCATTAAATCTAACAAGCAGTAATACATGGAAGACCTAGCAACGACAGCGGAAAAATCTGAAAGACAAGGAAATATGAAACAACTATATGGCACAACGAAGAAAATGGTACAAAAATATAATAAACGAGACAGGCCGGTCAAGGAGAAAGAAGGCAAGCCACTCACTAAGATTTAAGAACAGAGGAACAGGTGGGCAGAACACTTTCAGGAACTCTTGAATATGTCAGCTCCATTTAATCCAACGGATATCGAAGCGGCACACACAGACCTTTCAACAGACACAATTTTGAATTCGCAGACAACCTAGCTCTTCTATCCCATACACAGCAGTAAATGCAGGGAAAGATATTCAATGTAATAACAGCCTCTGCATCAGTTGGCTTCAACATACACAAGGGAAAAAACAACATCCTCAAATACAACACTGTTAGCACCAACCAAATCACACTTGATGGGGAAACTCTGGAAGAGATGGAATCCTTCATGTACCTTAGAAATATCATCGATGAACGTGGAGGATCTGATTCAGACGTAAAGGTGAGGATTGGCAAAGCAAGTGCCTCATTCCTACAATTAGATAACATATGGAACTCAAAACAACTATCAACCGATATCAAAGTGAGAATCTTTAATGCAAATAGCAGGAAAGTTCTACTGTACGAAGCTGAGCCTTGTAGAACTACCACAACTATCATCAAGAAGGTACAAGTATTTATAAACAATTATCTATGCAAGATACTCAGCGTTCGTTGATGCGATATCATCAGCAACAGCCTACTATTGGAGAGAACAAACCAGCTTTCACTTGAAGAGGAAATTATAAAAAACATTGTGGGTGGATAGGACATACGTTGCAGAAATCGTCAAACTGCATCACGAGGCAAGCGCTAACTTGAAATCCAGAATGGAAACGGAAAAGAGGAAGACCAAAGAACACATTGATTCGAAAATTGAAAACAGACATGGAAAGGATGAATAGCAACTAGAAACAACTTCTAAGAATTATCCGGGACAAAGTTGGATGGAGAAGGCTGATGGGCGGCCTATGCTCCTCCATGAGGGCTTACAGGCGTGAGAAAGTAAGATCTTGTATCATAATAAACAGTCAGCATAAATTTGGAAAATATGCAGGATATGTGGTTTACGAGTACATGGTAGGAAAGAATGCAAATGGATAAATAATTAAAATAAACATAAATCTGCATATATTTGCAATAATATGCAATAGTGGGTTATGTTCTGTGTCATGGATTTCACAATCTGTAATTTTGACTGGAAAATAGTTAGTCATTTACACAGTACTGTTTTACGTACTTATAATTGAGTTACATTACTTGCCTGACCGATGCTAATACTAATCATGTGATTAAATAAAATTAAACAGGTAGGGTTTTGTTTAAAGCTGTGACTTCTTTGCTGTAAATTTAATCATTCAATCATTAAGTCAATGCTTCGTAGAAGCGTTCAATTACAATTTTTTTGTCTTTATGGATCAGACGATATGGTGAATAATAAGTATGATTAAAGTGACTGAGCTGGGTGGAATGGAAAATATCTGAGCAGGACAAATATAGGACTAGAAATCAAATCAAGGGGAGATACAATCAAACAGAGACAGAGACAGGTTAAAGATCAGCAATAACTAGTCAAAATCGAGGTCTACTGGATAAGCTGTGGATCATATGTGGAGAAATTCTAACACTTTACTTCTACCTGAAGTTTGTGTTGATGATGTTGTTTAGATGAACAATGAGACCCTCCACTTCCAAGCCATTCAGTGAATAGGTTATGAATGTCATAAAGTGACGTGGTTATATATAAAATCTTAACACAAAATAAACATAAAATGAGTTAGGCTATTAGAGGAAATTGGTTTATAGGTCATTCATTGTACAATCAATTAAAACTTGATTTGTTAAACCTAATTCTTGAGTATTGTATTACATCTCCATGAAATAGATCCTTTTGTGACGAGATCGTCAGTTTTTATAAAAATGGTGTTTCTATCCAGTCTATTTCTGTCGCCTTTCTCTTTAAACTCCGCACTTGTCACACGATTTGAGTCATAACAACGTGAGCAAGTGAAATGCTTTTGTACTGTAACAAATGATGTCACTGGTTCTTGTAATATTTTCTAATGAGTAACTTCTGGGGAGTTGATCTAGAAGCTGGTATCATAGAGTCGGCTAAATATTATGAAGCTATAGTCGATGATATCAAACTTGAAATTGAAAACCATTAATGGAAGTGTGAATGAGAAAAAATCAATACATTGAAGTGTGTTCCACCTTAGTAAACTAACATCATTCAGAATGAATGCAATATAAGTGGCAATGGGGGCTGAAAGTCAACGAAAAGAATTCACTTTAAATCATTATATGTATTTAAAAATTGATTTCTTTCTAAGTATTATATTTGGTGATTTGGCATCCCCCCAAAAAAATGATTCAATTATTTGTTAATGGTCAAAGTAAGAGCACAGTATAAACAAACATGTTCATTGTGAAACATTTAATAAAGATATTACATATGGTTGCAGTTTTGCATAAGTGTTCAAGGGTGTTTATTAAGGTTTATTGAAGCAGTGACCATACAAAAATTCAATTCCTATAAATGTTCAAAAGCAGTTTGTTTTCACTCTAGTGATAGTGATTTATCATTCAGAGTAACGTTTTCCCTATTGGTTACTTTATTATTATTGTTTTCTTCTAATTTGTTTAATTGAACTTTAGTTTTCCCCATATAAATATCTTAACAATTCTATATATGAATAAAAGTATTTGAAATGTATTACACTAATCTAGATATTGTTAACCAGTTACTCAAGCTGCTCATACATGTGTACCGGTCACAAGACACTAGAGATTGCACAGGTGTCACCTGCACGGTATGTTCCGCTAGAGCGCACATGTTACCAGGAGGATGACTCCACGGACCCAGGTAGACGCCAGGCGCCAACCCAGGCTAGGCCTCCTCACCACACCAGCCTTTACGGACCAATGCAAGATGGGTAGCATTCAGATGTGGCCGTTCACACCTGCTACATTGTGCTATGCCAAATACATTTATCAGCGCACAACAGCCCAGCTGGAGACCCGAAGTTCTCGGCGACATTTTAGCCGTAGCATCATACAGACACTACGTTACTGGTGGGAACCACGAAGAGGTAGTCGTCACGCAACTACAACCCCAAAATGTGCTGATAGATGACGAAGCATTTGGCTACCTTAAGAGAATCATAGTTCTTCCCGCCCAATCTATCATATAGTTCTGATAATCTAATCTTTCTCATTGTACTATTCAAATTTATCAGGTGAATTATTATTTCAACTGTCACATAATAAGTAATTCATCAAATATCACAAACATAATCAAGGATCTTTCACTGTTGCTAATTGTAACAGTTCACATATGTATTGTTTTAACAGATCAACATTTTATCAATAAAACGTCATTCCTTTGAATTCATTTTTATTCATCTAACAAGGAAAAACCGTGAATCATCTTTTCATTTGATATTTCTTCCTTTATATATATAAATTTCTCGCTTCACAGAGCTATATTACTAAATATTCCATTGACAAGTGTATTTTTAGCAGTACAATTATTCACTGGCTTAGCTATTTATGCTTATTTTGCTGGTTGTGATCCAGTATTAAATGGATCTATTAAACGTTATGATCAAATATTACCCTACATAGTAATGATTTTATTCGATGGTGTACTACTTGTTCGTGGAATATTTCTATCAGTTATATTTGCAGCTGCTTTAAGGTGAGTCAACAAAACATTGATGATAAAAATATTAAATGAATTCATTTGATATTCCCGACCGTTGTTGCTACCTTGACGTGGTGGTCGGGCTTGCCTATCGTGATGAAGCAACCGAGCTATACTGGCTGGAACAACCGTTCCTCAAGGTCCTACCATGTCAGACAGGTCGGTTGAAGAGCGGTAAGACTAAAAGCAACAAACCCAAGATCCGAAGGAAGTCGTACTGCTGACTGTACAGAGGTGTGACAGCAGTAAGGTGTTTCCTTCAGACAACCAGCATGACAACGATGCTGCCTTCCACAAGGAGGGGTGGGGTTAGAAAAGGTCGACCCTAAAAATGCACACCTCGCCTTATCCCACGGATATCCGTTTCCGGCGGTAAGGTCTCAATAAGTACGGAGCTAACACAAAAATTACCCATAACAAGGTCGTGTGTGACCGACCTCAAGCAGTTGTCCCTTGGGCACTGCGGTCACGCTCTCAGGTCACTAAGACCACCTTTAATCCAAATTCCTTTTCAGGTACCTCCAGAAAAACCCTTCCACGGTGTGGGCAACCGGGAAGTGAAAACCGCCCTCATACCTCTAGCAGCACTCATTTGATATTTAGAACTGGTTATCGGAGTTGAAAATGAGCTCAATTCTTAAAATGTAAACTCTTTTTCAATGTTATTGCTTCGTTTTAACAAATTGCATATCATATTATCGGACTAATTTCTTTATTCATAAATTTCCTATGTTTGAAGAGATTACGAGTTCACCTAATCTGAGAATGGAACGAATACTCTGTGACACAATAACAAATAAGCTAGCTATTCCGATGCGTCCTAGCCCAGTTAACTAAAGAGAGAAGTCTTAATTCGAAAGAGGGAAATATATTCTACAAGCAGCCAGAATCATGAACAACCTTGACGACAAGTCTAGTCGGAAATACACTCATTTATATAGTGTATCATACACCGATTTTTGATTAATGATTAAAATAAAATTACATATATGAAAAATACTTAGGGTTATAATAAATCATATGCTGATGAGTATAGTTCATGTTAACTTATCATATGTTATACAGAATAAAATATCACTCTGGTTAGCGCTTTTGTAGCGAGTTAGTTTTCTACGGGATGGGGTCGCTAACCCCATGCCCAACCCTCCTCCTCTATCCGGGCTTGAAAGGGCAGTAGCCGTCGGAGGGACTCCAGGCGGAGTTAAAATATCACTCTAGGAAACAGAAACAATAACTACATTGAATAATCATTACATTTAATTAAAACGGAATTAATGTTGAACAGAAATTATAATGATTAAATCAATCTAATTTTAACTTTTCTTTCCATCATATCAAACTTCATGCAGTAGAATGCTAGAAAACTAAAATAATGACCACAGTGGGAAAGAAAGAATAAGAATGACAGAATATCTTCTTGGATACATAGTTTGCACATATGCCAACATGAGACTGATCAATTACAGTCCTAAATAACAATGGGGAGATACAAGTAAAACAACACCAAGTGAATTTAAAGTTCTTGGTATTATTTACTTGAATGTTCCCATTGATAGTTAGAACTGAAATTGATCTATCGCTTATTGGGATATTGTGCGTATTGCTTCGATATTGCCTTAATTGACAAGCATTCTAAACAAAGATGGATAGTGGCTATCAGGACTCAGTAGCTCAGTGGATAAGGCGATGGCGTTTAAAGTGGACCGTACTGGGTTCGAGTCGCGGAGTGAACATCAATTCTGCGATGCAGGTACATCCGGCTGATGAGTCCTAAATAGGACGAAACGTGCGTCCTAGATTGCACTGATAGCCACTATCCATCTTTGCTTAGAATATCGTCTATTTCCTAAGTCGATTCATTTTCTGAATTTAACCTACTTTTATTTTCTACATCTTTGGCGATTTTCTAACTCAGTAGTTTGTCCTTATTTTAATTATTACATCTTGTTTTAACCAGTTGACCGTGCAACAGTAAAGTAATGATGGATAACCACATTTAGCGGAAATTGTAAATCTTATCGAAATAACTTCTTAGACCTTGTTTATCATTCATTTTGTACGACTATAAACAACTAATTTTCATCTGAAATGTCATTTGTTTGTGTGTCATTACAGTGAAAAGAATTCACTGGTTTGATTTGATTATGTAATCACTTTCATTACTCTGTTCAGTTCATTATTTTACTCAAAACTCTCAATATGTATTTACATCATGGAATTATTTGAGAATGTGGAGGGGATTCAGTGGACAGTCTCCATTTTTTTTTCCAACCAGTAGACTAGATATGTGATTGATATTTAAATTAATGTATTTTAAACATCTGTATAAATTGAGTTTTTGATCTAGTTTATTACTGTCACCATGAAAATATAGTGTTATGTTATGTCAATCGCTACCTGAATATCTTAGGGGTAAAGTTTAATAGTTGGAAGCCAATGGATACGAGTTCGAATCACATAAGGGGCGTCAAGTTCTTCAAGATTATAGATACATTTTGCTGATGGGTTCAAATTAGCACAAAATCTGCAGATTATCTACAACCACCTAAATGTTTTATCGATTATCCGAACAAAACTATTCAACTGTATTCTGATCTTGAAAACTTTGTTGAAGATATTTAGTTTTCGATTTAACTTTAATGAACTATTTTATAACGTCTAAGTATCATCGCTTCATTAACTCACGTCAAGTAATATGCTATTTGTACATAAAAGAAAATCTAACTTATGTCAATTTTGGAAAATGTAGAATATTTGAGCGAATAATCGTTTTTATTAACTTCATCATCAGACTCTACAGTCATACCTTAAGTGAATATTATAAACCTCCTACAGTCCCTCTCCCTAATATCTTTTGTTTACATCTTTCTTAATCCTCACGTTCATCTTTCTCAATTTACATGAATTTTTTTAAAAAAAAATCGTAATTACCATGGTAACACCCCTCTTATTATTGACATATTTATGATATTCATACAACGATATTATTATTACCTCGATTAATATGACGAAATTCTCCTACTATATAGTTTAATCACATCATTGTTTTTTCTCATTTTCATTTTTACTATATTACTATTATACTGATTGTGACTGTTGAGTCGACTTTCAGAGAACTTTAACGGAGCCTCCGGAGGCCGAGAAGGAGCCAAAGAGTCCTAGCCAATCAGAGCATGATGGAACATTCTAGAATTCCAATGTGGCGTTTTACTACTGGTCAGTAGCATAATATGTCGTTAACGGATTGATTTAACAAACGTTAACATCTAGAAATACCTATGTTTTCTGTACAAAAAACGAACCTTGGAGTAAAGTGTCTCTCTCATACTTTGTTTCTTCTTTCTGGTGTTCAGGTCGCTGTATAGTTCTAGTGTGCAGGTTATCAAAATAGCTTAGGAACGAATATAGCGTCCAATCAACAAGACTTAACAGTGACTTGATACATTACTTTAAATCATTTCTAACCTTTCTATTTAATGACTTTTCTAATTTACAAATAACAGCATTTCGAAATAATCTATGTAGTAACAGATGTAAATGCTCATTATTTTTTAATAGATAACTTTGTCGAATTCATGAATACATGCTTCATTTCAGCCTTTGTAAAATATCACAATAATTAAGGTAGAGTTTTGTTCTTTGAGCTGGATGGTTTAGTCGTGGAGCTTTCATCGTTCTTCTGATGATGTCGTTCAGAAGAACAATGAAAGCTCCACGACCAAACCATTCAGTTCAAAGAACAAAACTCCACCGAAATCATTCACCTGAGCTACAAATCTTCTCCATCATCTCACAATAATTAAAGACTTTATAGACTGTAGAGACTGATAATAATATTGTTATTAGAACAGAAACAATGATTCGATCAAATATTCTTCTATGAGGATTATGTGAATTGATTCACTCAAATCGATTTTTAAAAAAAATCGATAAATTCTTCTATTCATAAGAAAATACTTTTTTTTGTATGTTTCTATGACATGTTGCCAGTTCTTATTTATAGATTGAGTTTTATTCTATACTCAGGATGATAGTTTCTACTTAGTAATAATAATACTCGAGAATTGTAAAACTGATTCTCTTTTTATAAAAACATCTATTTCATCTTAGATTTGTCATAAGATTCTCAGATGTCTGAATCCTCTTAACCAGATCTGTTATCTATTTTTAATGTACCTTATGTAAGAGATCTAACTTTTTGACTTTATGAAGTATATTTTGGTTATTTTTTAACAAAGATGGGCAGTGGCTAGAATTGGAATCCAAGGATGTGCGTTTTTTTTTCCTATTTAGAACTTATCAACTGGATGTACCTTCATCTCAGAGTTGATGTTCACTTGGAATGTGCATCCTGAATTCCACTGCTAACCACTATCCATGTTTGCTTTAAAAAACCTTGTGACTTAAGGTAATATTGAGGTAATTTGTACAGGATGTACATATATCAATATGAAACTGATCAATTACAGTCCTAAATAACAATGAGAAGATACAAGTAAGAACAACAACATCAAGTGAACTGAATATTTTAGTTTATTTTTAAAAAAAATATTACCTTTAAGCTGATATTTGTTTTAGCCTGACTGGACCTAAGTTTTATTGATTTCTTGTTTATACACTAAATTCACGTAACAGCAACCATTTACGTGATTTTTGAGCTGATACTATGATTATCGGCTTTATTTAACCATGAACGATGCGATACTATGACAACTATTCTAACTAGTATGACGTTGTTGATCAATCATTTAGGCCTATAGATTTGAACGGACTAATAAATTGATTGGAAACTATTTCATTTTTGACTGAAAAGCTTATAGATGTATCTATATTACTAAGTGGTAACCACTTTTATTTTTGTCTTGTGATCAGTACTGATAGACATCTGTCTATTGAGTTCCATTTAAACAACTAGCGTTAGTCACTGCACATGGGATACACTATGTTTTGATATAAGATGGTTGTAGAAAGGCAGAAGCTGTATTGAACAGATCACTTACACACTTAGAACCTACCATTCCAGAGAAGTAGGCTGGAGAGTGGCTGCACAAAATACAACGAAATCATATTGCCTATTTTATTAAATTGTGCTGGCACTATGTTGTTCTACTCACAATCAGTATCTCCATCAGTAAACTTTAAAATGATCATATCTCAACTTGCCTCAAGGACATCTGTTGCTGACGGTGATGCCTTATTATTGTAGACTTACCCTTTTTACTATCGAATCGTAGTTTTACATGAATATTCTGAATTATAAAGTTTTGATTTGTACTAACTTCATCAGGACATTAAACCTATGGCAAACGTAGTTCTTGAGTTGATATTAACGTCAATCCATCTGAGTTTCTTCACCAATCTCTTCTATTAATCAACTAACCATCTTAATTCAATTGCCATTAAAATAATACATTACGTTTCATGAATTTAGTTGATATTTATTCTCAGAAATTAAGTTATTAAAGATGTTACTTTGCTTATGAATAATAATTCGATGCATACTTTATCCAAAAGAATTCAAGAACATTATCCGACATGGCTAAAAAGATGAGGCAACGGTTCAATAATTCACATCTAACCAACTTAATGTGTATTTACCAATTTACCTGCTCTTGTAGAGCTAGATATATAAGTCGTTCGATGCGTACTTTATCCAAAAGAATTCAAGAACATTATCCGGCATGGCTAAAAAGATGAGGCAACGGTTCAATAATTCACATATGACCAACTTAATGTCCATTTACTAATTTACCTGCTCTTGTAGAGCTAGATATATAAGTCGTTCGATGCGTACTTTATCCAAAATAATCATTCAATCGTAAAACTCTCAAATGTTAGAGACATGTTCAAGTAGGATTTCTCCAAAAAGTTAATCTATACTTTAATTAATTCTTATTCATAACTGTACATTATTATATTCTGAACTATTTGTTGATGATGTTTGTTGTTCAGTAATGAAATCATGAAAGCTTCATCATTAAGTTATAACCTTCAGAGAACTCAATCTTTATATTCTCAACTTAAGTTACATTTATTCTTTATCGTTTACAGAAATAGTGATTTATTGTAGTGAACAAGAACATGGGTGAGGACAATCGAATTGTATTGAGCACAAAATTACAGAGTTACTCGGTAAAATAGAAAAACACCATAGTAAATCGTTAATTTACAAAATATCAATCCATCATATCAACCTGAGCTGTTCCTGTTGCAATCATCAATCCATTGTCTCATATTTCATTGTTTATACGTTTTCTTGCAAATTGCATTGTGTTCTCTCTCTTCCTTTCTTGATCTTCCCCCATCTTCTGTTGCTAGACATTACGTTTTTAACTTGCGTCATATACTACCTACATCAATATAAGTAGCACTCACGACAATATTATTCTCATAGTAAGATTTCTCAGTGAATATGATTCAGAGTGATTGAATATCTACAATTCTACTTAAATGAATGCTAAAATTGTTTCTTTTATTTTGTAAACATTCATTACATAGTACTGTATCATCAGGTATAAATAGTTTGGCTAATGTTTGCTTAGAAGATTTAATTCGACCATTGTATATTCATTGGAGACATTTGGATATTTCAGAAAGATCTAAATATCGATTGGCCATATTTTTAGGTATGTTTATGTTTCGAAAGACTTTTCTTCATGTTAAATTTTATTTATTCGATTTCATTTCTTAAATCGAGTTAGTTAAACTATGATCATTTCTGTTCATAATCTAATCGATCGATTATCAGTTTTCTTTTTTCATCCTGTATTCAGTTATTAAACCGTCATTTTTTTATGTGATATTATGTTCAGCAGTGTGCATCCACGATCCCGCTGCCCGCGAGATTCGAACCCCAAGACCTATCAGTCTCGCGCCAGTCGCTTAACCAACTAAACCACTGAGCCGGTATCCAACGATGTTAATGGATTGATTGAAATTAAACATTAACACCGTTGGATGCCGGCTCAGTGGTCTAGTTGGTTAAGCGCCTGGCGTGAGACTGATATTATGTTGTTGAGAAATTATGATTAAGTGTTAATGCGTGATGTCAGAAACATTACAGAATACCATGTTCTCTTATATATATTTCTCAACTTATCTTTGTCGTCTGTGACTGTCTCACTAAGCAACCTTAATATAAATGATAGAAAAGTCGTTAATTTGTATGATTTCACAAAATGGTCGACTACTAATGGAAAATGAATAAAAACCAGGTCTGACGTTTAAAGCAATTGCCATTGTTGCCATTGTACTTCAATTGATAGGTTCATGCGGATTTTTAATCCTTGTTAGTTATATTTTGTTTTAGGTCTCATTTTAAAAAACCTTCTTGTACATAATTTAGGAAGATCTTATGTAATGACTAAATAATAGATCAGAAACGCGTGAAAAACTGCCACTGTTTGTTTACCAGATAGATCATGTAAGTTCAATTGTAGTCAGACTGGGTTACAGTAAATCCTTTCTGTGCCTCCTTTCTTAACCTTTGAGTAACAATTTCTTCAATAGCATCACTTAGGAGTTGTCATTTTAGGAACAGTACTTTCTCCGAAATGGTAGATATATTTAGACTTCTTTTCATGTCATTTATGTTTATTAATGGGTTTCCCTTGATGTTTATTCCTACTAAGCGGGTTAAGTATATTACTCAATTCATCTACAATGGTGTCATCAGAGGAAATCACTCTAGATCGATGAATCGGGATGTTTACTAAGTTTCTTTTGTATCTGATTGGTACAGCACTATATTGTCCAACTGTAGACTTTATATGTATCTCTCTCTTAAATATTCCACTTAATCTTCTTGTTAGTTGGACATCTAAAAACGCTATGCTATTACTCTGTTCTTCCTCAAATGCAAAATTAATAGATAAATGAGTGTCTCTAAATATTTTGAGTAAACTATCCTGTTCATGTTATCTTTCTAATACTATGAAAGTATTATCTTTATATAAACAATAAGATACTAGACGACTAATTGTGTCTTTAAGTGGTTTACTTTCCAGTTTTTCAAGAAAAATGTCTGTCAGTAGCGGTCCCAATAGCTACAACATCCAATTGTATATAGTATTCATTGTCGAATCAAATGTGAAAATTCATCGTGTATTCAAGACTCAATTATTTTATTGTGGATACGGGAATTAAGGTTTGCAGCGAACTATTAGAGTAGCGTAAAGAAACCTTAATTCTCCTATCTACAATAAAAATGTTGATTCTTAGATGCACGACAAATTCTCACTGCTGGTTCAACAATTATTCGAATCCAGAACCTTAGATCTCACGTGCGAACGCTTAACCTCTAGACCACTGAACCGACATCCAATGATGTTAATATCAAACTCCAACCAATCCACGATATTTGACAACCATCTTCCATCGTCTCCGGTGGGTAAACGCATCACACCCGACACGGTTGAACTTCACTGGTCACAACTTCTCACTGGAATTCTGAGAATTGCCTCTCAAAACTAGTCACTGGTGAGCCCATGACAATTATTAGTATAGAATTGTGGAGATTATTGAGTTTTGATTGTGACCATGAGCTGACCAATGTAAGACCACTATTGAAAACCTGAAAGCACTGGATGGCCGCTTCGTTCTAGTATGTGACGCCTCAGCAGCAAACATCCACGATCCAGTACCTGGGATTCAACACAGGACCTTCGATTTCGCGCTCGTACGTTTAACTTCTAGATTACTGAGCTGGATTCGTTCTTTTTACTAAACGTCCAAGTGTGAATTTTTATTACAACACAAATTAATAATTTAAATGAAAACGAATGAATAGTATTTTTTTCTCTATCAGTTATGTCATTTAATTTCTTTCGATTCCTTCAAATGTATTTTAACAACTTTTGAAGTTTGTCGATTACTTAGGAATGTGCAAATTAGATCGTCTTTGATATATATTCTTATTGAAGTATACTAATGATCTTATGCTATGATTCTGCTATCATAAGAATTTATTCAGTCAGTCAGTAACAACGTAGAACATCGTACGTACGTACTTACATCAGTTCGAGTTGCAATACCACATTAGCACAGAGATGCAGTTGTCGATTCAAATCCTGTAGTGATAGAGGCGGATAGAGTATAAGCAGTAATCGGGAAGATTAGGGTTTGGAGGTGTTATTCAAGGAGTATAGTTCAGTGAAATAAATTTGGAAAGAGAAAAAAAGAGACAAGGAGGAATAAGGAGATTAAAATTTGGGAGAACACGAAGAGTGGATGCACCTGAGCCATGTCATTCAGGGCTTCTAACCACCGCTTGCTATCATCTCGCGGTCCCCAACCAGGTAGTCTACACCTACCAACATCACTCAGTCCACTTGTCAGTGACTTCATGAACTTGTGCCATGTTTTGGTCTGGCCTCTCCTAGTTTTCTTCCAATCTATTCCTATACCACTGAACATCGCACGTCGATAAGAATTTATTACTTTTGGCAATGTTGTGGTCTATGAACTAGAATGATTTAATGATAAGCTTTTTTTTATAAAAAAAAGTACATAACATCACTGTCTAATTAAATTGACAGTAAGCTTTTGTAGAAAACATATCTCATAATCCTTAATAAATCTGGTTGTTCTTGATCACTGTGTTTATTCATGAATCATTGTCACATGTTATTTTTTTAATCGTTTGTTTTTCAAATTCTTATGAATTGTTTCATTTGTTGTTTAACCTTTTGAACTTTTCTATATGAATCAGTAAACTGAATTGATTTCATTTATAATCACCTAATTACAGGCTAGTTGAAATGTCATGTTTCTGGTGATTCTTTGACATTTTAAAAGTTTTCGATAAATTAGAGAAAGTCATAAATAAATACTATTTCTTTGAATTATCTATTTAACAGTTGCTAAGATTTTAATAGTGAAGATCATCAGTCGATTGTAGGTAGACCACCATGGAAAACTTGGAAGCATTGAACGACCGTTTCGTTCTCCTGTGTGACTTCTCAACAGTGCGCATCTAAGATCCTACCTAGCAAGATTCGAACCCAGGACCTATCAGTCTCACGCCAAGTGCTGAATCACTAGACTACTGAACCGGCCGAAATCCAACGGTGTTAATGTCTAACTTCAACTAATCCACGAAATTGAGCGACACATCCATCATTGTCTTCAGTGAGTTACTATCTCACAACAGACTCAGTTGAACTCCACTGGTCACTACTTCTCACTAGAACTCCAGGATATACCTCGTGAAGCCAGTCACTAGTGAGCATATGCTGATTAATATCAGATGGGTTTTGTGGATATTATAGTAATTTCGATGGTTGAGATCATGAGTCAATTGAAGCTAGACCACCATGGAAAACCTGGAAGCATTGAACGGCCGTTTCGTCCTCCTGAGTGACTTCTCAACAGTGCGCATCTAAGATTCTGCCTAGCGAGATTCGAACCCAGGATCTGTCAGTCTCGCACACAAGCGCTTAATCACTAGACCACTGAGTCGGCCGGAATCCAACGGTATTAATGTCTAACTTCAACTAATCCACGAAATTGAGCGACACATCTACAATTGTCTTCAACGAGTTACAATCTCATAACAGACTCAGTTGAACTCCACAGTAGGACGAAATGGCCGTTCAGTGCTTCCAGGTTTTTTATAGTGGTTTAGCTTCAATTGGCTCATGATCTAAACAATTAAAATTACTACAATATCCACAAAAACGCGTTTCTATATTTAACAATTGTTAAGATATTTAAAAATGGAATGAATTTATTTAACTACATACAAGATCTAAAATAATTAGATTGTTTGGTAAATTTGAACAGTCTGATGAGATGATGAAGATGATCAACTATACACAAGATAATGAACTATTTTATATTAGATGGGTTTTGTGGAGATTGTAGTAATTTCAATGGTTAGGATCATGAGTCAGTGGAAGCTAGACCACCATAAAAAACCTGGAAGCAATGAACGGCTAATTCGTCCTACTGTGGAGTTCAATCAGGTCTGTTGTGAGATAGTAACTCACTGAAGACAATGGTGGATGTGTCATTCAATTTCGTGGATTAGTTGAAGTTAGACATTGATACCGTTGGACTTCGGCCGACTCAGTGGTCTAGTGATTAAGCGCTTGTGTGCGAGACTGATAAATCCTGGGTTCGAATCTCGCTAGGTGGTATCGTAGATGCGCAATGTTGAGGAGTCCTGCAGGAGGTCGAAATGGTCGTTCAGTGCTTACAGGTTTTCTATGGTGGTCTAGCTTCAACTGACTCATGATCTTAACCATTGAAAATATTTCATATCACTAATTTGAGACAAATGTCTTAAATGAAATGAATTGATTAAATAATCTTCATTAGTTTATAAATCTATGAAGAAGAATAATCTAAGGATTTTCTTTCAATTCATAACATCTCACCATTTTTCATTTGTGTTTTTCATAGGAATAAATTGCATTTGTTATCCTGTAAGCTTGTTACACACATCCTCTCTCTCTTTATTTTACTCTTCTTGGTGTGCAGGTATTTTATTTGGTACTTTAACTGTATCATTGGCTTTCATATTTACATTATCCAGTTCACATATTTTACAAATATCATTTTCTTTATTCGGTGCAATTGGTGGTCCAGTTTTAACTGTATTTACTGCTGGAATATTTTTTCCATGTATTAATGCTGAAGTAAGTAAGTATATCATTAGTATTAATAAAAAAAATCTATATATATTTGATGATATTTCTAGTTAGACAGTCATAAGTCAGTCAGTCAGTCAGTAACAACGTAGAACTTCATACGTACGTACATCAGTTCGAGTTGCCACACCACATTAGCACAGAGATGCAGTTATCCATTCAAATCCCGTAGTGATAGAGGCGGTAAGAGTATAAGCAGTAATCGGGAAGATTAGTGTTTGGAGATGTTATTTAAAGAGTATAATCCAGTGAAATAAATTTGGAAAGAGGAAAAAAGGGACATGAAGAATTCAGAAGATTATAATTTGGGAGAACACAAAGAGTGTATGCACCAGCACCATTGCAAACGATTTTGAGCCATGTCATTCAGTGTCTCTAACCATCGGTTGCTATCATCTCGTGTTCCCCAACCAGTCAGTCTACACCTACCAACTGAGACAGTCATAAGGAAATTAAAAAACGGGGACAAATCGACACCGGTTCTAGTTGCCACACTTTGTAAGCATAGTGAAATTAAAATATTAATATATAAATCATAGTGGTAGAAGTTGTGCAAACAACATCAATTTTAGTAGAAAAAATAAGATATAAATGACAGCTGGTATTAGAGTAGGATAGGAGGAAGCTAGGGGTAGCTAAACGAAAACATAATATCAGCTCATCAATTTACTCAGTGTTGGATTGAGTCATTTAGTTAGATGTACATTACTTGGTTGGTGTAACTAATGACCAAAGATTTCGGGTGACGTGGTTGAGAATCATTTACGACGATCCGAATGCATTCACTTTCTGTCTCGCCATAGACACTGGGCTTATTTATCTCTTATCCCTAATCAGATAATGTAGATAATCTGATTCAGTTCCATGGGATAGTGAGAATCGATGATTGATGACGTTAAGTGACATGGTCCGAAACCACTTGAAATACAACTGCTACATTCATTCTCTTCTGCTAAATCTTGATTTCAGTGTCATGCATAAAATTTTTATTACTAAACATTAATACATACGTGTATTTTAATGAGTGAAACAAAATTAATGTGGTCTTATATTATATGACTGACGATTCATTGAAAATACTTCCTATTTAATGTTAGTCTCATCGTTGCAAAATTTATGGTAGTACTGTTTATCTGGTTGAAATCATGAGTCACTTGAAGCAAGACCACAATAGAAAACCCGGAAGCACTGGACGGCCGTCTCGTCCCAGTACCGGACTCCTCAGCAGTGCGGATCCACGATCCCGCACCCCCGCGAGATTCGAACCCAGGACCTGCCAGTCTCGCACCAGGTGCTTAACCAACTAGACCACTGAGTCAGCACCCAACGGTGTTAATGTCTAACTTCAACCAATCCACGAAGTTGCGCCACCATATACCATTGTCTTCAGTGAGTTCCTATCTCACAACAGACCTGGTTGAACTCCACTGATAACGACTTCTCCACAAAACCCATTCTGATAGTACTGTTTATATTTAAATGTTTTTGATGTTCAATATCGATAAATGAATGACACTTGTACATTACCGTTTACTGATTATTTTTTTCTTTTCGTCTCGATTCATATATTCAGGGTGGATTATGTGCATTAATTAGTGGTGTTATTTGTGGTCTATGGATTTGCATTGGAAATACATTTATAACTTCAAGAACTGATAATGATCGTTTACCTTTAACCATTGAAAATTGTTCATCTAAAATTCTTCAAAATATATCATCATCTATTGTAATTGGTACAATGAATACATCAATTACTACTGTTAATATTATAAAGACGACAACATGGTCATTTTATTCACTTTCATATCTTTATTATGCAACAGCTTGTTTAATTGTTGGAATTCCTGTAGGATTTATAATTAGCGCAATTACAGGTAAACTGTCGTTTTATATGACAAAATATTATTTTCTTAAGAAATATGCATACAAATAAATATTTTGTTATCAGAAGGGGTTTTGTGGAGAAGCCGTTACCAGTGAAGTTCAATCAAGTCTGTTGTGAGATATTAGCTCACTGAAGACAATGGTGTACGGTGGTGTAACTTCGTCGATTGGTTGAAGTTAGACATTAACACCATTGGATGCCGGCTGGTTCAGTGGTCTAGTTGGTTAAACGCCTGGTGCGAGAGTGGTAGGTCCTGGGTTTGAATTTCGCGGAATCGTGGATGTGCACTGCTGAGGAGTTCCATTTTCTAGGACGAAATGGCCGTCCAGTGCTTCCAGGTTTTCCATGGTCGTCTAGCTTCAATTAACTCATAATTTCAATTTGTGAAATATTTTGTTGTAGACAATTCAGAATAGTTTGCTGTATAATTAGGATCCTGTTGTAGTAGAATCATTTTCCTGAACTTGTTATATTTGTTTGTTATACTGGTTGAATAAGTACACGAGTTCTGCCTGTTTCAAATCGTCTGATATTGGATACGTTTAGTTCATTTAAAATATACGTATCCATAAACTTCTTCATTTGACTCTTGGATTTAGCCTATCTAGACTAAGGTGAATGTAGAGTCCTTCACATACCTGGGAAGCATCATCGATGAACAAGGAGGATCCGATGCAGACGTAAAGGCGAGGATCGGCAAAGCAAGGGTCGCATTCCTACAATTAAAGAACATATGGAACTCAGAACAACTTTCAACCAATATCAAAGTGAGAATCTTCAATACGAACGTCAAGGCAGTTCTACTGTATGGAGCTGAAACTTGGAGAACTACAACAACCACAATCAAGAAAGTACAAGTATTTATAAATAGCTGTCTACGCAAGATACTCAACATCCATTGGCCGGATACCATCAGCAATAGCCTTCTGTGGGAGAGAACAAACCAACTTCCAGCTGAAGAAGAAACTAGGAAAAGACGATGGAAATGGATAGGACATACATTACGCAAATCGTCGAACTGCATCACGAAGCAAGCCCTAACTTGGAATCCTGAAGGGAAGCGAAAAAGAGGAAGGCCAAAGAACACATTGCGTCGGATAATAGAAGCAGATATGAAAGCGATGAATTACAACTGGATGGAGCTAGAAAGGATTGCCCAGGACAGGGTTGGATGGAGAATGCTGGTGAGCGGCCTATGCTCCTTCACGAGGAGTAACAGGCGTAAGTAAGTAAGACTTAGGTGATCTGTTTATACAGTTAGTTGCACATGTATCCTTGTTAATTATTTTATCAAAATATTGTAAAGTAGTTCACAGTGTACCTTGTGTCGAATGAACTGGTTAGCTATTCTCATATTAGGACGGTGATGTCATATAGTGTAGTAAAACTGAAATTTTTCATGAGGATTAATTAAAGTTGATTAATTGATCAGCGAACATAGCTGAAATCACATTTCTTTGTTCCTTGATTCTAACCTAATTCAATAGATCAAGGTACAATGTATCCAACTGTCTAAATGACTTGACATCGCAAACATTATGCTTTTGATCGTAAGTGGTTGGCAATCAATAGGATTTGATCATTGAACAAATTTGGCCTTAGTCACTATATAGTGATCTATCAGTGTATATATCTTGATCATATAAGAATTTAGTCGCTGTCCAAAGAGCTCACTGCTAACGATTCTGACTGTGACACCGGTATGAACTCTACGGGAGGCAAGCGTCTTCAAGACCGCGGATACACCTTGCTGACAAACGTTAACTAGCATGAAACTTAGATCTAGGTTTGTATCCTAAGTGTTTCCGACCATTTAGCATCAGTAATATGTTTGAAATGTACTGTACAAATACAATCACATATTTTTCGGAATATCTTCATTCTCTCACAACAACGTTGAAATACAAACAACTGACTAATCATATTAAATTTTATTTTCTACAAGCATATTTTTTATATTTATCATACCAGGATTTAATAGTCGATCACCGGTTAATCCACGTTTATTGGCTTGGCAGGCACGTTCATTCTATAGACATTTTCCAAATTGGCTTCCTCCACAAACAGCAAATGATCAGGTAAGTTTTAATTTGATATTACTGATACAGTTGTTTAATAGTCAGTCAGCTACAACGTAGGTTCAGGCACATATATGCATCCGTTCAAGTTGCCATACCTCATTAACACAACAAGATGGACACCAGATTCATAAAAGTTGTTAGTTCAGAGGTGATAATATATAAAAGGAAGATTGCATATGAGGATATAATACAGGAAGAAAGAATCAGTTCGTAGAAAAAAAGATATGAAGCGATTTTAATCTCTTAGTTTAATGGAAGACAGGGAGTGTATACACCGACGCCATTGTGATCGATTCTGAGCCATGTCATCCACAGTCTCCAACCACTGGTGACGATAGTCACGCGGACCCCAACCAAGTAGTCTGCATCTACCAACATGGCTCAGACTAGAAGTTAGTGACTTCAAGCACTGATGCCACGTTTTGGTTTGGCCACACCTAACTTTCTTCCAACCATCTCCAACACCAGTTAGCATTGCACGTCGTGCTAATCGGTGTTCGGGCATACGTAACACGGAGCCCAACCATCTCAGTCGATGAAGATTCACAACCTCATCAACTGATTTACCATCATTCCCTAATACCCTGAGTCTAACCTCACTATTACTTACCCGGTGATCCCAGCAGACGCCAGCAATATTTCTAAGGCATCTGTGGTCAAATACTAGTAGCTTACGAGTGTCTTCTACTCTTAATGACCATATTTCGCTGCCGTAAATTAAAACAGAACGGACTGCCGCGTAGTATACTCGTCCTTTTATTGATAGACGGATATCTCGCCTTCGACAAAGGTGACATAAGTTGGCAAAAGCCAAACGAGTTTTTCGAATCCGTGCTGAGATTTCGTCAGACACCAACCCATTAGGGCTGATCAGACTTCCAAGATAAGTGAAGTTGTCAACGCATTCGACTAATTCACTCCCTATTCTTAGTTCAGGTGTTGACGCAGGCCAGTCCTGAAGCAGCAGCTTGCATTTCGAGGGAGAGAAGCGCATTCCAAACCAGAAGACTGCATTTTGTCAGCGTCTTCACCAAACAGGACTATGTCATCTGCCTATTCTAAGTCGATAAGTGGACCTCCTGGATGGAGATCAATACCCGAGAATTCAGTCGACGAGCATGTTATTTCCGTCAATAGGTCTATGATGAAGTTAAACAAAAATGGAGAAAGTGGACAGCTCCGACGGACATCAATTGAGGTTGCAAAAGCAGATGACAGTTCGCCATAAGCTCTTACTCGACTGGTAGTGTTCGAGTAAAGAGCCTTCACAAGATTTATGTACTTCTGAGGTTCGCCTTTCAATGACAGACACTGCCACAGAATCTCTCGGTCTACCGAGTCAAATGCTACTTTTAAGTCAAGAAAGACCACCATTGTCGGACGCTGATAAGTATGCCCATGTTCTAGAACCTGATGAATGGTGAATATGTTGTCGATGCAGGCACGACCAGGTATGAAGCCAGCTTGATTCTCTCGTGTTTTCAGTTTAGATAGTATATTAGTTGTTTAATAAAACAGTAACTTTAGAATCTAAACAAAAATGGATTCCAAGGACAGATTTTAAATTCCTAACAAACTATATGTAATGATTGTGTAACTTTCTTTAATCCAAATATATATATATTGTCAAATTCTATGAAATTACAACAATTCACATGTCTTGAATAAGTATTTCTACTCGTCATTATATAAAGCCTAATGACACTTATTGAACATCCTTCTCTCTTTATTACACTACAATTTCTGTTATTAAATCTAACTGTTGTGTTTACATTCGTTCATTTTCAGGAATTTAATCCAATCTCTTCCACATACATTGAAAAAACCGAGAATTTAGACATGAAATTACCTCGTTTACAAGTAATCAACAACAACAACAACAACAACAACAACAACAATTCCATCCATAGAAAATGATCAATTCAAAGATTCTACTATTTGATGTAATAATAATAATAATACAAGGTAGCTATAATGTGAACAATAGAGTATACTTTACCAATTCTTGTTTATCTTTCATAACTATTTCTTTCATCTTTATATTAATTAAATCATATTTATCAACATAAATATGATCAATGATGAATACAATGAATCCGACTGTAAAGAGTGAACTATAATGTCGGTTTTTACTCATTCCCATATTTTGTTTTACATTACTCATGAAAATAGAAATCAAATATTGGGATGTTCATTTGTTAATAGATTATTTCATTTTCAAACTATCGTTTATTTTCATATAAAAGATGAATAACAAAATGGTGTACTTGTTTACTAATAGATGGATGGTAATGGCAACCTGGACCGATGCACATATGTGCCTGGTCCTACGTTGTAGCTGACTGACTGACTGATTGAGATGGATGATTACAACAATTATCTACAATGAAACTAACTAGTGAAATGTAATTTATCAATCACAAAATTCTTTGATGAAGACTAATCTAATGACTGAATTGGAAAAAAAAATGCTGACAGTTTCCGGTTACTTTATTGTTATGATTGAATAAATTTACAACGGATGAACGGTCTAAATATTATTATGATAGAAGTTAACGAAGATAATACAAAACAAGTAGGATCAACCTCAATCTCAGATGGTATGAGCGAGTTCATTAAAATGATGTCACTCACCAGATAGCTACATCATACAAATAGTGTCCATTACAAATATATGATGAAGTACCTTCAGTTTACGTACTATTTCAGACTTTAACAATTTGTTTTATAGGTTTAGACTACAACAGTAAACTGTCGTACAGCATACTAAACGATTAATGGACGGTAAACTATCGAGATAGCTGTTCAAGAACTCTGTACTGGGAAGAAACAGCTAATTAGACAACAAAACGTTTTCCAGGTAATATCAAACAACGATCAAAGTCATGTTTAATACGACGGTAGAAATTCCAGACAGATCCTAGTTTAAGTCGTACATGATGATTTCAGAAAACTTGTAGTAGACAATCTCACAGTCTGTGTTTATCAGCAGTAGATTGAATTACATAAATGTTACCCAAAATGTATATGCTAAAATGTCGTTCGAGTTGCTGCATAATAGCTAAAGTAAAGAGCTCAAAATTCGGAAGTTTAGTTTATTTTACAACCATTCTCTGATACATAACTCATCAATTTCTACGTGACGTTTTAACAATGGACAAAGTATTCGTTGAAATCAGGCGAATTTTCCTTTAAATGTTTATCGCGTCTTCATATGAATAACCAAACGATTTGAATTGAATTGTTAAGAATCAGTCACAATTTGCGGAGATACTTCCATTCTTTATCTCTCAACACGTTTTTTACTTTCAAAAGTACTTAACACTTTTTCTTTCTTCAATTTTACTTAGTCTTTAACCATATTCTATATGTTCAATACTTTAGTTTAGATTTGTCTTATTGTGTTGTGACGATTTCGACTGACCAAACTTATCCTAAGCCCCACATTGTCTAAATGGACGTACTTTTAGAGATAACACTTTCCTCATCTAAATTTCCAGGGATTGAACTTCTACCAGGAGATTCACTTGTTGACTTGGAATATGCCGATGACATAGTTCTATTTGGTGAAGACGCTGACAAAATGCAGTCTTATGACCACTCTAAGCAACAATGCAAGCATGTTCGGGATGCGACTCTCCCCGTCGAAATGCAAAATGTTGCTTCAGGATTGGGTTGAGCGTGTCGATAGCTTCACTTATCTTGGAAGTCTCACCAGCCCTTGTAGTCTGGTGTGTGACGAAATCTCAGCACGGATACAGAAGGCTCGACTAGCTTTTGCCAACTTGCGTCATTTATGGCGTGGGCGAGATATCCGTCTATCAACCAAAGGACGTGTTTACTGCGCAGCAGCTCGTTCCGTCCTATTTTATGGCAGTGAAACATGGCCGGTAAGAGTAGAGGATATTCGTAGGTTACTAGTATTCAATCATAGGTGTCTTCCCGATATTGCTCGTATATCCTGGGACCATCGAGTACGTAACACAGTTGTTAGGAAACGGGTACTAGGTAAGGATCAATTAATGAATTAGTGAAACCTCATCAGTTGAGATGGCTGGGACACGTGTTACGTCTGCACAATCACCGACTGCCCCGAGGTGCGATTGTTCAATGGTATAGGAGTAGGTTGGAAGAAAGCTGTGAGCAGCCAGACCAAAACATGGCACAAGTCCATGAAGTCACTGACAAGTGGACTGAGTCATGTCGGTAGGTGTAGACTATTTGGTTGGGGACCGCGAGATGATAGTAAGCGGTGGTTAGAAGCCCTGAATGATATGGCTCAAAATCGTTTGCAATGGCGCAGGTGTATACACTCTTTGTGTTCTCCGAAATTCTAATCTCCAAACCCTAATCTTTCCGATTACTGCTTATACTCTTACCGCCTCTATCACTACAGGATTTGAATCGACAACTGCATCACTGTGCTAATGTGGTGCAGCAACTCGAACTGATGTACGTACGTACGTACGTACGAAGTTCTACGTTGTTACTGACTGACATTCCAGGCTTGTTAAGACGTTGACATTTACAATGCACACTTTCGTGTTATTTATATTTGAGATGTTTCTTTCATCCTAATAATTAAAAAACTAAATGACAAGCGAAAAAAAGAAAGAAATTTCTTTAGTAGACTAATAAATATCAAATTACAGAAAGAGAGAGAGAGAGAGCAAAATGCAATCATCATGGTCATCATCATCATTATATCATTCAAGGCATAACAAATATTCACACTATAATTGTAATGAGACTAGAAAAATACAAATCTTAAAGACTGAAATAAACTCTGTATATGTTGCTGTTGTTATCACAATATTCTACTGCTTCTGCAGGCTAATTGAATTACTTTTGTTTGTAAAAATGCAATATACACAAAATTATACAAATAAAGACAATTTTTTTTCTCGATAACATTGAACCCTTCACTTTGATTAAAATATACGATCATTGATGTTAGATGAATCTTGATCTGGTGGAAGACCACGATAACGTTGATATGGTTGGTTAATAATTTGTTGATTTGGTACAGGTCCAGGGACCATAACATTTGGACCACGCCTAGCTGGGAAATTAGGATTAGCAACATTACGGTAATTATTTGCTAATCCACGTCTAGCTCTATTAGCTTGTCCTAAATACTCTAAAAATGAAGCACCATTCTTTGAAAGGCAGCTTAAATCACCAGGAGGTGGATCTTCATGGAAAAAATCATGTGATAAAGCTTGATCAGCATCCAAACGTTTATTTGGATCTAATACTAGTAATTTGTCAATTAAGTCAACAGCTGATGGACATGGAATTTGTGGTGTCAATTTTTCTTTGACATGACGTTTAACATCTTTGGGTAACTTTATTTTTTGATAAGTTTCTAAATTCTGAACAGCTGGCCAAACTTCCGGTGTGATAGAACCACAAAGTTGAATAATTAAATTAAGTTGAAGAAGTTCATTCTCACCCTTTAAGATAAAAAGGAAAATGTGGGAATTCAAAATAAACCAAGTTATCTTGAAACAAATCCGTATGAAATTGTTAGAGGTCATATTAAGTAAGTACGTTCAGAAATAAGTGTTCCAATAATCAAATAATTTTTGAATCAGTTGGTTTAGCCCCCCCTCAACTTCATCTATTCCGGTTTAGACAGCCATATACTATCATTAGTCAGTCGTGATCTAACTTAGATCGATTCATGATTTCAGTGAGACTATCATTAGTTTTCACACCAAAACCGTATGGCTCAAAGTCATGTACATATACCCCGACTGAAGGTAACAACCAAATGATCACTATGAATACAGTTAGTAACGACAGTCTAACACATACATCATACAGGATAAACAGTTGAATTCACCAATAAGAAGTAAATTCCATGTCATACAATTGTTTCATTTCTTCTAAATCAGATCAGATCATTGTGTTACAGACGTTATAGTTTACAGTAAGCCAGTTAACACGTATCAACCACCTAAGTCGATCAAGATTCACAACCTCATCAACATATTTGTTAACTATGGATAGTATTCAACTTTCCCAAAATGCACCGATAGCTATGGTCAGATAACTGCAGTCTGTGAGCGTCTATTTAAAACACCGTATTTCACACCTACGGAGTAAAATAGAGAGAACTACTGTGCCGGATTCCTTTGGGAAACAGACATATTGTTTACGCCACACGGATGCAAGTTGACAGGAACGAGCTGAGCGTTTTGAATCTGTGTCAAGACACTAACCAATCAGGGCTAATGAGACTTCCAAGCAACGAGGTCGATGAACTGAACTACTTGACTCCTAACCACTAGTTTATGCGTTGATGCATACCAGTTTTGAAGCAATATTTTGCATTTAAAAGGAGAAAATCACGTCCCAAACATTTTTGGATTGTTACTCAGTGTGTCTAGAAGACTAAATTTTGTCAGCATCCTTGCGAGGAACAAATCGTCTACGTATTCTCAGTCAATTTGTGGATCTCTTGGTAAGAAATTAATCTTTGAAAAGTCAGAGGAATAAAGTGTTATTTCTATGGTTAGGCAAAACACAAACTAAGATAGTTTGCAACCCTAAAGAACACTGAGTCGTCGGCTTTTCGCAAGCATCCAATAATATTGTCAGCCTGTTAGTTAGTGACTGAATCGGTAACTAGACACTATGACTATGAAAGAGGTCGTAGAGGTTCGTCTCAAATTTTAGCTGCAATCCACAAGAATAATGAGATTTTCAAAAAGATAAGCACTGTAGGACGATAAATAAGAAAATGTGTGATATGCTGGCAACTGAAAGTAAGGTTAGTTCAACAAATGACTTTTCGTACTTATGTATAGCTTATGAGACTGATATGAGTTTTATCCTGTTGAAGTTAAGTACTTCGGATCTCTTTCTTTTTGATGACGGAGGTCAGTGGAAAGATACGGGTGTGTACTTATGCGTCCATAGAATCCGACTAGGAATAACCCATGGTTTAAACAGTCTCCATTATTATAGGATTATTGCGTTATATTAAGAAAGAGGGATGTCAATGGCAATATATTACGACGATAGATCTAATTTTGTAGACGACATTTCCGAATTGCGTTAGTTTACACAACAATCAGATCCACAGGTGACACGCTCACTCCAAAGCAGATTCAGTAGAATTTTAAACTACCGCCAGCCAACCACTGTGTTCCGGTTTCTGGAAGAATGGTACAATCCACACATTAGTTGTTCTTCGTCATTTCCAATGAATGAACAAATTTTACATGAAGAAACTCTCAAAGGCTCGGCGTGT